TGTATAAATGAATCTTAGAGGAATTTCATATAACCACCCGACAGAGGCAATCCTGTTTTGTAATATCTATATCTTCATCAACTGTTGATGACTAGTCAAAATCGTTTCCACTACTAAAATAGTTACCGACTCCAGTAACAAAAGAAATTTTGATGGCATCACTTTCAGCTACATCTTGAAAAGCCTTTCTACAAAATAAAAACCCTAAAAATAAAACATTAGAAAATTATTTAATGCTATAATTCTGCAGCTCAAATAAAAAACTATTGAAGTGGAAAATCCTGATTTTTCATGGGAGCAGTTTAAAAATTGTATTTATCAATAGTTATACAAGCCTTATAATTTCAGTACCTCTATCGTATATAGTATCAGCTCACTAAGTTTTTAAATGAATATATAAAACTATTCACATAGAGTTTATAAGTCAACTTTTACAGCCTAGTGGTGAGCTGAGCTTTTTTTTTTTTATTACTGTCAAGGTAATTGCTCATTAATGGAAGGATTATATGCTTATGAGGGATTATTGTTTCAAAACTTGCCTCTGAAGTTTGGATTTTTCCTATGTGGGCTATTAAATTTAATAATTTGTATTGGTGCACTGTACTAAACAATTATTTCGTTTTGATCAACTATTGATTCCATTGAATTATAAATATATTTATTAATTAAAATGCACAAGAAGAAATAGAAATATTATTATTACAATGATCAAAACTATAAAATTGACAACTAGTGAAACTTATGAAGTACTATCTTCTTATCAAAATTTGTTTATCAAAGTATAAGTAATGGATTTGTGATAAAATAATGAGTAAGGAGAACTTTATTTTTCAAAGAATGAGTAAGCAGATTTGTTTTTTCAAAAAATGAGTAAGCAGATTTGTTTTTTCAAAAAATGAGTAAGCAGATTTGTTTTTTCAAAGAATGAGTAAGCATATTTGTTTTTTTCAAAGAATGAGTGGGCAGAAGTTTTATCAAACTTAAAATGACATGTAGAACACCACTACTCATTGATTATTTGATAATTTCAGGTTATAAATCAGTAACAACAATACTTGTACACAAAGAGGTATGGAATGGTATAAATACAAAATAAAATAAAGTATACAATACAAAATAAAATAAAATAAATACAAATATTAAATAAATGTCATCATAGATAGATTGGTTGAATAAAACACGTTATCTGCCAAGTTCTTCAACAGCATTGCAACAAATCCGCTCTTTACTAGAACTGAACAGGAATAAGAGTAATTGGTGGTCGGTTGCAAATTTGTGCATTTTGTAATGCTAAATATAAATACAAAATATACTCACTAAGTTGGTTCATTTAAAAAAATACGAATATATTTACTGATATGAATATAGATAGTCTTATATACAAGTGTAAATATAAATGTTTTCATCCATATTCATACTTGTAAATACCAATACGATTGCATTCACGTATGAAATATGAATATGCTTCAATTCACACCCATGGTCAAAAACTAACAGTTTTCCAGAAAAGACGAGCTTAATTTTTCCGCTCCTTCTTTTACAACCGTAACTTTCTTCTTTTGCCAGGTTTATAACTATTTATATATCATGTCATTCTCAGAAAATAGTTGCTATCTCGTTAATCCATAATCCTTGATGAGTGACCTTACCATCATTGTTTATTTTATTTCATGTTACTTCTTAAAAGTATTTTAAGTCTTATTAGATTTTTTAGCTACGAGTGGAATAAACATGGTTTATTCACTTGAAAATATGCATATATTGAGCTTGGCTTATATAATTAAATTTAGTTCATATCCTCTAATATTATCATTAAACATTGAAAAATCTATTCTCAGCATTTTATCCTTCAAAACTTTATAAATTGTTGTCTCCTATAATGTTTAATATTTCATGTAGGTTCACGAAGCTTTCAGTTGATTTGAAATTCGAATTAACCCACCAATAAAAAAAAACTTCTTATAGCGATGATTGGTTTTAAATTTATTACACTAAAAACATACTATCCATTCTTGGTCGGGGATAAGATGGCCTAACAGGAATTGATTATAGACAAAGGAATATCATGAGGTAACAACCAGACCATCCTAGCCCAGCGTATTGAGGCGTTTCGCTCTTCATTACTTTCGAGTAGGAACGGCACCGATCAGAATTCCGTCTCGGTATTTTAAAATTTATGAAATGACATAAATTTTATTCCGTGGCAGATCCACGGAATGAATCTCGTTTTAACAGGTTATCAACTCTCAAAATAAATGTGAGAGACCGGCCTTTCCTCGTCCGAGTCTCCGGTCCGATATCCATATATATGATTTAATACTACTCAATACAGCCCTAACACTTGCAATTATGTTGACAATATTTCAATAACATTTGATAAAAATAAAATTGATTTCAACCAGTTTGATTGACATTCAAATTATTGATATCAATGTAGCCCCAATATACTAACCCAGTCAATACATTGACGATTGAAGTCGATATTGGCTTAATAACATTGACAATGTAAGGCCCACAATGCAACGTCACTGGTCGGAGTTTTCACTACAATAATAATAATAAACTTACATATTCTAATTAAACTTTTGAATACAAATTTCTTTAAAATAAAAAGATTTTATTTTATTTTCAATTCGTGTTTTTCTTTATTAAACATATCGTCGGGAATTACAAAAAGTTACTTAGTAAACTTTTGATGGAGCTGAACTTTTAAGAATATTTTTGTGCATTTCATAGGCGATCTTATTTATCACTAAAACAAAATGTAATATTATACTAAAATGACACAAACCCTTTTATATTTCTCAAAGATAGTAACAATAAGCGAACAATTTTCTAATTTCACAAAGAGAAAATTCATATATGTTCTTAGTGATTTAAGGCTCCTACACACAGAACGAACGCTGAATGCCCCGGCGATACAATATATCTTCGTCGGTATTGCTGAGGGTTATCACGTTCTGTTTGACTGCTATAGTGCAATAGATAGTAATACAACTATATTGCCATATCGGCGCTGAAGGAAATATCGTATCGCAGAGATATTCTGTGAGTCGGATCCTTTAAATTGTTGTCTCCTATAATGTTTAATATTTCATGTAGGTTCACGAAGCTTTCACTGCTGATTATCACGCTCTGAGTGACTGCTATAATTCAATAGATATATAACAACTACATGGTCCTATCGCAGCCGAATCGTATCGCAGAGACATATAGCATTCTGTATAGGAGCCTTAAGGTTATGAAATATGAATGGAATATCAAGGCAAATATCTTTTTGGAATAAATCGACGATATGGACGATTCAAAATATTTCCCCATAAATAAAAAGGAATATATTGATCATTGAAAATGGAAGTTAAGTCATTTAATGTAAAAATGACAATGGATATAGTAATATATTTACGTGTATTAGTCTTGGTTTTGTATGTTTAATTCATATAGGTTTATCTCAATTTTACTCAATTCTGAATTTTATATATTAAAATTTTGCTGATAAATTTATTAATCCGAAATACTTATTAACTATAGTATTATTAAATTATAATACTTATATGATTTATCACCTCCAATATTCAAGAAAGGGTTAACTATAGAGGAATATGTGCGACAAATCCAATAATGAAGCTACTAGGCAGAACAATCAAAAACATATAGACTATGATTTTGCTCAGTCTGAAGACCAGTATGGTTTTACTGTAGGGAGTTCCTACACTGATCATATATTTACTTTCAGATAGATTTTAGATAAGCTAGCTGAAAAACCAAAGAGACTAGAAAAGTCAACTATGATATATATGATATATTCCGCAAGGGCCGACAATGTGCTATCGCTAATAAGAATATCGTCCGCGTATTCAAGACATTTAGTAAGTCGATTGAATATAGTCCCTCTAGGATTGGTCTTTATTGCTCTAACAACCCGCTCCAGATTAAAGAGTACTGGCAATATTGGGTCTCCCTGCTTCAAGCCCTGTTTTACCGCAAAAGTGTTTGAGAGGACTTTAGAATCTTGACTTTACATTTGGTATCTTTTAGCGTCAAGGCAATCATTTTTTCAGGAATTCCCAGCATTCTCATAGCTTTCTGTCTATCATAAGCTTGCTTGAAATCTATTGAAAACATGGTGCATTTCCATTATGTCAGTTTGTTTTCTCTAGCATTTGTCTTACAGCAAAGATATAATCCACTGCTATTTTTTTCTGAAACCACATTGATAGTATTTTCAAATTCTTTTTCCCCATGACATTAGTCTCTTACTAATAGCAATGGAAAGGACTTTATATACAGTTAGCAGTAGTGCTTTTCCTCTATAGTTATTGCAGTTCTCAAATATTCTCTTGTTATCAACCGCAGATGGGGAAAAAAAAACAATAGTGTAGAGAAAAAGCCATTTAAATATTTATGATATATAAATATTACTTACTAATGAAATGAAAGAAATTAACAAGAGTAATTTAAAAATATTTTGTATTTGAATTCATTATTAGAGTAAGAAAAACATTATCCTTTATTGAATATAATCCATTACAGACAATATGATAGTAAAAATATACTATTAAAATTTAAAATGAGAAAACAATAGATTAACAATTTCATAGCAGCCTCGGACATGAAATATTAAAATAAAAATCTATATTGTGGGCATTCAAGAAAAAGTCACAAAGTGAAAAATATAAAAAAAATTACATTTCACCGTTCTTTCTTTAAATTAGAAAACCATTTATTTTCACCTAGCAAACGAATAAATGCAAATAACTGTAATTTGATGGATGCATTTATTTAGTCCATGAATTTTTATTCCAGACACCAGGCATAAATGATTTATTAGACAAAATTCACTTACAGGATTTAGTGACTTTCGCACGAATGTAAACAGTATGTGTATCAGTTAAATAAATTTACTACTTAATAGCTAATAGAAATATATGAAATGAAAATTTTCTTAATTATTCTGGGAGGAAGTCTCTTTAGAATAAAATTAAAAGAACATTACATAGTGGCCCAGAGGTGTCCATCCCCCAAAGGTCGATGGCGTATGAAATACCCCTTTCCCAAGATATTTTATTGCTCTCCTCTTCATAATAACAGAGCAAGCTAAAGTCCAATTTTAAAAATCATAGGTCATATACAATTACACATTCAATGGTCTGTTCTATACATTTCTCTTGTCCTCTGGTTTGAAATTTTTCATTTCGAAAATTCATAACCACGTCGAAATGTGACTCCCTAAAAAATTCAAAATGTGCCTCCTTCAAAAAATTGTATGGTGCAACTTGAGCATCGTGGCCAAAACAGTGTGGCTATACTGTATATTTGTGGGGGGTTTTGGCATGCTAATTTCTAGAAAATATAAGAATATTGGTTCTTAGAAAAATAATATTTAATTTGTATAAATTTAATTAAAATTTTTTAATTGTATAAATTGTGATGTATAAAAAATGAAAAAAAGCAACAAGCTTTATAGTTTGCTTCTTCCAGTTATCTTCCTTTCCCTTAACTTTAACATTGCGTTCATAAAGTCTTCTGATTGAAATCTTTCAACTAATTTTTCTGCTTCTATTGAGTTCGCATAATGAAGTGATTTAAGATCATGACTCCTTGACATTTCCTTGGTATAAACTAAGGCCTAAAATAAATAAAAATACTTAAATAAAAATCATCTCCATAAAGACAATAAAAATACAAAAAGGACATATATAAGGATGAATATAATCAAAAGAAAAGATCTAACTCTCCAATCTACAAAATTATTATGATGCCCATGTTTCAAAAAATATTTCTTGTACAGATGTAATCAAAATCATATCCTTACCACAACCTAAGTATAGTGTTCAATTTTGTCACCAGAGACTCTAATGCAGTGGTGGATTCAGGATTTAATTTATAGGTGGCTAATTTTAGTTGTTTCTTTTTCTTTTTTTTTATTAATTGTAAATACAGGAATAATATTACATTTAGGGATAAACATTTGGTTTTATCTTGACATGTGCTTACTTTATGTAAATAAAGTACAAATGTCATCATTAAAAAACCGAATACATTGTGATTGTTTAAATATTTAGTTTGGAAGATTCTTAAAAACAAATATGGACCAATGAAAAAAAAAAAAATTTATATCTGGGAGAAGGCTTCAACCAGAAAGCAACCCTCCCCTTCTTCTTAAGTTATTTGATGTCATAAATTATAACTACTAGTGTTACATAATTATGTAATATATAATTTCCTATAGAAAGAATTTTAGAAATATTCAAGCTAAATATGTAGAAAAATATCGATTCTCCTTGTGAAATTCACTAACGCAAACATATATACCACCTTCCATAAAAATAATAAGACATATAATACCTTCAATGGTAATTCCCCAAATGTCTGTATTTCATCCATAAACTGAGGCAAATCTTTATTAGTTATAATATCAGCAACAAATCCACAATCTTTCGCCTCTTTAGCAGACATTGTGTAATTAAAGTATAACATTTTTGCTGCCTAAAACAAACCTTATTACAATAATGAAAAATAACAGGAACAAGAAACATAAATATATAATTTTACCAATGATTTTCCTAGGCAGCGTGAGAATGTGTACGTAGAGCAGCCTTCTGCTGTGATTCCAAGTGAGGAAAATGGAGTTTTGAATGTGGCCTATAAAGTGACGATTTTTGTATTATTAATTAATACGATTATTGAATTAAAAACATAATCTGTAATTAATAAGTATTTCTTAAAGTGTTGTAAAGAAACTTACAGTTTCTAATGCATAAACTAAATCAAAAAGAGGCAACATTGTTACAGCTATTCCAATTGCAGGTCCATTTACCAAAGCTATTAAAATTTTTGGATGATCAATTAAACACCGCAAAAACTCCCTGAAACATTAATAAGCAAACCATTAATTTGAAAAATCAGCAAGTAAAATTATAAATATTATAAAAATATTCACAAAACTACCTGACAGAAGAAATTCGATTTCGTATTGTTATATCTATATCTTCATCTACTTTCGGTGATTGACTAAAATCATTTCCACTGCTAAAATAGTCACCAACTCCGGTAACAAATGTAATTTTGATGTCATCATTTTCAGCTGCATCTTGCAAAGCCTTTCGTAAAATATAGTAAGCCTATAAACATAACATTAGAAAATTATTAAATACAAAATCTGTAACTAAATTGAAACAAGTGAAGAGAAAAATTTTCAATTTTATTTTTAGAGGGCAATTTCATTATTCCTTCATAAGAAATCTTGAAATTTTACATTACGGTACCAACATCTCAATTTTTTAAAATTCCTATGAAGAACCATTAATATAGTTTATAGAATATAACTTCTACAACTTAGTAATAACTCATTTATTCTATTCATGTTAATCACTCACTTTATGGGAGGGTACATATTTATCTTTAAATTACGAACAAATAATCAGCATATAGATTAGAAGGATAACAATAGATCAAAAAATAAAATAATTTGCAAAACTTACCTCTGAATTTAATGCATTTTTCTTGTGTGGACGGTTAAATTTTATAATTTGTACTGGCCCACTGTACTGAACTATTATTTCACTTTTATCAACTACCGACTCCATTGAAATAAAAATAAGAATATGTTTGTATATCAATTCTCTTATAAATCAGAGAATGAATTGCATATATGTATGAATTACATTGACAAGAAGTCGAGACTTAAATTCAATCTCTTCAAGGACAATCTTATCAAAGATAAGGTGATGGAGTGGGGATGGGAATAACCGCTGGTTAATTTCGGTTTGCTTTCGGGTTTTTTTTTTTTTGTTTTTTTTTTGCCGTATTTATAACAGCTTCCTTTATAATAATCCAATATCTGGGTAAAAAAAAAGCTTTGAAGAAAAATTTAATGTCTGTATTTAATGGACAGAGGTTTCTTTCTTCCTCCGCACTATTCGTTGTGATCATTGGACGATAGTGGAATTCATTCCATCTCATTTTTTTTGTCTATGAAAACCATGTTATATTGTTAAGATATGACCAATATTCGTTTAATATCGAATCATGATTGTGGTGAGATCTCTCACTGTAGTGCTGAAGATGAAGTGTTTACCAAAGCTGAGGATGATAAATTACTTTTTTAAGGGACAATCGATGCCATCACGTCTTCGATTCGACAAGCTCAGGTTCTAGTAATCCAGAGTGAAAATAATAAAAAAGAAATGACTCGTTACTGCGTATTCCTAAACTATCAATAGCCAATTGGAAGTAGAGATGAGATGAGTTTCGTGGAACTTAGTCTGAGTTTGGAAAGGTTAGTAACTGTTCTGAGGAAGCTCGCAAATCAGGTTCTGGTCCAAATAATGGGCAAGTTGCTAAAATCAGTTCTTATCCATAGATGTTTTTCAGATGCTCGTCCGAGCACTGGGTTTAGGAACTTTCCCATTTTTACGTCGGTGAGTTCAGGAACGACCTGATGGAATTCCGATGCTCATCAATGATCTTACTGCTGAGTTTAGAAACATGCCTAATACAACTAGGCATTAAAATTTTTAAAGTATTAGGGATGTGATGGTTCTAGATAACCACAATTAATTTTCACTTTGTAAATTTTAATCCATGATTGATAAGTATGTTTCTATTATTAGTAGTAAATTCTTTCTTAAAGTAGTTTGTAAATTTTATATATACTTCTAATGTATTAAATGGAATTCTTTACATAAAATTAGAAATTTAACCAAACTTCAGTTTCATCCATTTTACTTCAAATTCTATTCCTAAAAATAGAAAAAAGGGACCTGTACCACTAAAATCCACTAACAGTTTTAGTTCAGTGCTTTCTAAGGAAATACTGTTTCAGAGCCAACAGGTTTGCAGGATGGTGATTGATCCTAGATTTTCCTACCGTCAGATTTTCCTCTCATATAATTATTTAATTAAGAGTACCCAATTTATAGGAGCTGAGTGTGTCAAGGAAGTTTTATCGAGCCCAGGGAAGATCCACCTGCAAATACATGTGGACAATCAAAGAAAAAACTGTATAAGGTAATACTCACTGTTTTCGGCACCCTTAAGGAAACTTTAAAAGTTGTTTGTCCCATTTTCAATCGCATGAGCACTATGTTAAACAATTTCGATTTTGTAAAGTAAACAAAGGTCCATATCTTCAAACTAGGCATGAGAAACCTCGTATTTCCTTTATTTTTTTGTAGTAAAACGCAAACATTTAAAAATATCTGTTAGTGCTAGTTTTTGGCACCATTTTTCCTGTTGACAGAATCTAAAAGTACCGGTTTCTGGTCGTCTTCAGAATGAAAAAACTTCAATATATCAATGAAATATTGATTAATCAGTAATTTTATTTTAAATTTTATACCAAGTTAGAAGAGAAAACATCTGCCCCTCTACTCTGCCCTTCTCTGAATACGTCTATTTGTTTATAACAAAAATATCTAGATTCTCCACTTTTAGTGTCATAGGTATATGTTGTGCTTGCCATATAATTCAAATTTTAAATAGAGAAGACTTCCTCCTCGATCCCTGATAACCCTCCAAGGCGTCTGAAAAGAAGATGGCCTCGGGACCTTCTAATATAGAACTTTAATTTGAGTTCTACCAATGGGTAGTTTTTCTTCATGTTGTACATGTCATGTTACCAATGTCACATTTACTTATTGTATTTTCCATGCAATACAGTTGTAAATTTCAATAAAAAAAATATATAAAAAAAATAGAGAAGGACTCATGGCTTTTGAAACTTGCAGCAGACCAGATCCACCAATAAAAATGTCACTCCTCTCCTCAGCCATTTCCTGGCAGGATTTAACTTGGGACTCCATTTAGCAATACCAAGACAAGTTTTGACTTCGGTCATTTGAAAAGAGGAAGTCATTACCTGGAATCACATTTGAAATACTTTTATTTATTTTTAATAAAGTTCTGTATAGTATTCAGTCCTCTTCGAGTATTCGTCTATAGTATTTCAATATTTTCTCTACACAATGCTAGTGTTTTGATTTTTTTTTTTAAATCTCGCTAAGGATCGAGCTCCATCGAGTGCCAGGCTCCCTCAAAAGTTGTCAGATTTTTCAGTTCACTAGGATCTCCTTCAGAGTAACCAACGGTATTATTAGTTTTTAAAGATGTCCTTCAAATGAACCATCAAAACTATTCATGTATAGAAGGTGTTTTAGTACTTTCAAGTTATTTTAATATGATTAGTATAGATTTAAAGATGGTAAAAAATTAAAAAGATTCTTCAAGGGTGTAAAAAAGTATAGCTTTATCTTAATATAAATATAAGTATTACATCTCCCAACAATCTATCAATTTAGTCAATAAGGATTCACTCTTTAGTAAATTTCATGCTGCAAACTATTTTAAAACGTCAAGTGTAGTTCCGTTTGCGATTGAAGGTTTTATGTTTGTAGCAGGAACAGTCATCTAGAATTATGCCCTAAAATCCCACCATATTTGTGCTGAACTCAAACCCAATTTTGTAAAAGACAGAAATAAAAGCCTCAAATCTATTCAAACGGATCAAAATCGGTTTTAATGTATCTCTTCCTTCAACCGCCTAAAACTTATTACCACAGGTATTTTAGGTTCTCGTTTGCTTTGCCTTGTCGAGATCTTTTTGAATCTGTAGTTTTTTAGATCCCTGTACAGCCGAAAAGTCAATTATCCTATATATTTGGGTTACCTGTTTAAATTCATATAAATTGTACGAGAAACCGTATGTCTACTGAGCTCACATGGAATATCAGCTCGCAAAAAAAAAAAATATAAATAAATAAAAATGCATACGATCCGAAATAGTTTTTTTTTTCCAAAAAAATGTCTGTACAAATAAATACACAGATTTTATGAACAATATTAAATTTTGAGTCTAGTTCTGTGTTCAAACATAACATTAATAAAATTCATAGCATTAAATGTGACTCATAAGGAATTAGCAGCAGTATATATAAATGTATAATTAGTAATATTTTTTTTTTGTTTTTATGAATATTTTAGAGATATCAAATAACTACCCACCAACCGTGAAAAACCTTAAGAGTTTTGAAAACAATACACAGCCTCGGATATATGGATTGTCACAAATGTTATTTGACCTCGGCACGAAACCATGGACTTAATATAGCTCCGTTGAATGTAAGAGGGTTAAATCAACCTGGATTTAACAAGAAATTGGAGAAGGAGCTTGATAAATATAAAATTTATGTGGCGGTTCTGCAGGATATACGTTGGAGGAACTAATTGAAATAATGGAATTGGACAATTGTATGCTTATTAGCAGTGGGCATCGTACAAATATATGTGGGTCTGGATTCATTATTAGAAAATCTATTAAGCATACTATAATAGAGTATAAACTCATTAACGAAAGAATCTGCGTATGACGACTTAGAGGAAGATTTTTCAAAATGACAATCATGTGTGTCCATGTACCCACAGAGGATAGAGAAGAGGAGGAAAAGGATATTTTCTATGACACAATGGAAAGAGAATATGAAAGAATCCCGAAGAATGACGTGAAAATAATCATAGACGACCTGAATACCAAGATAGGAAAAGAAGAGGCATTTAGACCCACTATAGGCAAAGAAAGCAAACATGACTACTCTAACAATAATGGACATCGTATAATTAACTTTGCAATGGAAAAGGGGCTGGTCATCAGTAATACGAAATTCGCAGACAAAGAGACTTGGATCTCGCCAGACGGACTAATTAGAAATCAAATAGATCATGTTCTCATAGAATCTAGGTATGCATCGGATATCAGAAACATTAGAGTATTTAGAGGAGTGGACTGTGATACTGACCATCATATAGTAAAAGTCTTTTATCAACAAAAGCTATCCATAAGAAGGTGTGGCACGACAGAGTGTAGAACACAGGCTACAACACAGAAAAGGTATAAAGAGGGAAAAGATGAAACAAAACACAACCATTAATGATAGATGGGAAAAAGTGAAAATGCAGTGACAGAAGGTGCAACAGAGGTACTTGGGAAGAAGGAACCAACTTCCAGAAGTAACTGGTTTGACGAAGAATGTGAGAGTGTTCTGGACGAAAGAAATAGGGCGAGGTTAAACATGTTAAATAGGAAGACCAGAGAAAGTAGAGAGGAATTCATGACTAAAAGAAGAGAAGCTAAAACAGTTTGTAGGCAGAAGAAGAAAGCACAGGAAAAGGAAAAACTTGAGAAGTTGCAGGCCGCCTGGGAAAAGAAAGAAACAAGAAAAGTTTACAAAGGAGTAAAGGACATAAAAAAGGATTAACTGCCAGAACTGGATTGTGCAGAGGGAAAGAAGGAAATCTGATTTGGGAAGAGCAGAACATTCTCAAAAGGTGGAATTAGTACTTTCGTGAATTTCTGAACAAAAAAAAACAAACATCTGAAGAGAATAGCAACTTGAATATACTCCTGGATGAAGCACATGAAGGAGCAGAAGTAGAAGCTCCGGAGAAGGAAGAAATAATTGATATCATTATGTCAATGAAGAATCATAAATCGTCTTGACAAGATGACTCCAGAGATGTTAAACATGGTGATCTGAGGGATGTAATTTATGACTTAATTTAGGAGAAATGGATGGAAGAAAAAATGCCTGAAGATTAGACAAGAACAGCAACATGTCCAATACACAAGCATGGAGACAAGCTAGTATGTGAAAATTATAGAGGCATTGCTCTATTAGGTACAACCTATAAAATATTAGCAGTACTCCTACTTAAAAGACTGACAAATTTTACTGAGAAAATCATAGGAGAATATCAGGGAGGATTTAGCTCTGGAAGATCAACAGTTGACCAGATATTCTCTCTGTGGCAGATAATGGAAAAATATCATGAATTTAACATAGACATGCACATTCACTTTGTGGACTTCAAACAGGCATACGACAGTGTAGACAGAAAGGGACTTTTGAAATCTGATAGATGTAGGCATACCCAAGAAACTGGTCAGACATACAAAAATGACGCTAATGAAGACTACCTGTCGAGTGAAACTTCCAAATTCGCTGTCCGAAGAATTTGAGGTGGATAATGGATTGAGACAAGGTGATCCTCTATCTCTATCCCTTAACTACAGATAGTCTTCTGGACCGATGGTATTAAAGGAGCAGATTTTTCTATATCTTGAGTGTGATTTGGTGTTTAACATTCTGTCGATGTCCTTAAATGCGTGATGGTTTCTCATTTTTTATATGAAAACATATGAGAAATGTTCCTGACAACCCATCATTTTTACTTGGGTAACCCAGTTATAAATTGGATCAGGTTTTCCTCCGGATGTATCTAGAGCACTAGTAGTATGATTTTATAGTGGAAACAGTGACTCTTTTATGGTTATCAGGAGTCCTACTTTGGATAGGACAGTTCGCATAAACTCTCGTATATACGGGTCCAACTTTTTTTATCAATGTATTTCGTTTTTCAAATTATTTTACTCATTGTGCTGTTTTTCCAATCTCAGATGGTTACCTTCACGTACTAACTAGATTGGGAGCGTCAAAATTCATTTCCAGGAACTGTAGAGAAAGAAATTTTAACTGACCCAAATGGGAATCGTACCAACTGGGTACTCTAGGATCCTCACCCCAACCTGCTCATACATCATATTCTCTTAATTCATTTTGAGTTTATAGCATAACTCAATACTTTGAATAGAAATGGCAACTTGAAACTTCAATAGCCTATGATTTGTCCAATATATTTATCTTATTTTATAGGAGAAAAAAAAAATGGCTAAACTCTCTGACTGCCCTCTTTACTTTACCGATAGCAGTGGTAAAAAAGAATGAGATCACTTTAAGATACTCCACTAATTAATTTAATATGTTGTATAATTCCCTTGATTGTGGGTTGAATTTCTGCCGAAGAAAACTACCTACAAATATATACATTTTTTATTCAATTCAGTATTTCATCAATTTGTATAGAAAATGCTACCTTAAAATTATTGTTTTAAAGATGTTTATAATAGAAGAACTTACCTATGTTGGAGAGTTTGATATATTACTATTCGTTTTTATTAAGTTTTGAATGACAGATCATTACCTTATTAGTATTATCAATTCCTATCATTTCTGTTATTTATATCACTAAATCTATAGGTTGAAAGATAACTTATTAAGTTAAATATTTTATGAACTTGAGCAGTAAATATTATAAATTTATTAAGCATTGGTGTCGGTACATTTTCCTGAGTATTTATAATTTAATAATTATAGTAGTTAATTTAAAATACTTTTCCTTGTAATTTCCATACCTTTAAGCTGTAGAAGGCTGTGCTTAAATATCCATCTATTCTTCATTCTTTTCATGTTGCGTCTACAGTTTTTTTAAATGCTTGTATTTTAATAATTGAATTATAGCAAATAGATAGACTAGAACAGAAGCAAGGACTTTTTTATTAAATTTTTATGTGTTTATCAAATTAAGTAAGTTAAGTGTTGTTTAGTGCCTTAATTTCAGGCGGTGTCATGGCTAGTCCTACGGGACGTGTAGGTAAGTTCTTGTAAAAGGATTATTTTATTTGTTTTGCAGAATTATTATATTCTTTTGCACTGAAACGTAGTATGGTACTATAATTCGCTTTGTTTACAGTCTGTTGGAATTATAGTTTTAATATGGCATATCTTAATGTCTTGGGTTTTTTAGTGAACTGGTTTAATTTTTTTTTTTGTAATATGTATCTTATTTCTTTATTATAAATAGTTAATAAGAGGTTTTTATGGGCCATTAAACAAATGTGGATGTTGAATTTTTTGAAATAATTTGTACTTTGATCTAAAACCTTTGATTACACATATGGGTTTGATATTATCATTTAGTTTTTATCTTATTGGTTTTGTTATAATGATTGGTTAATTGCTGTGTAAACTAATCTTTCATCATTAATATATTTTAGAGAAAGAAAAGTTTAATTTAACTAAGCAGGTTGACTTTGTTCTTTTTACAGTTTAAGTAGGATGTTATGACTTTCAATTACTGAAGTGTAAGTGGTTTGCTAGACCCTTACCTATGATTTTTCTGAAATAAAACCAATTTTCCATTTGATTTAACATTTCTAAGGATTTGATTTATAACCTCCTTTACCAATTTAAAAATAAAATTGTGAAATACTTATTGGTATTATTTTTTTTAATGTGAGTCTTAAGGAGAATCTGTGAGTTTTATCATTTATCTCTTTGAAATGAACCTTCATCTAGAAACTTTACACAGGTTACTTTGTGTCATTTAATTGTTAATATTTTATGCATTATTTCTATACTGTTGTGTACTTCTATTTTTCTGTTTTAATTATGTTCAGTTTATGAGAGTTATATCACCTCATACAGTATTCCTTCACTGTGAAAGCAACTTAACCTATCTCAATTTTCAACTTTATATTCATTTAAAATGACAGTTAAATATGTATTTATTACTTGTATAGTTTTTATTAATTATTATTGAATTAATTTCAATTTTGTTGACCTATTATTGTCTCTGGATTCATAGAGAAACTTTTATTAAAGTCATTAAAGTATTTCAGTATCATAAATATTTCTTCTAAATGTTGAGTTTCTTACTTTTCTGGCCAAAAAAGTTATTATTTGATATTCATTATCAAGCAAAATAGGATTATAATTTTAGAGCAACTTTATTATTATTTTTTTATATTTTAAGTGTAAGATTTTTTTTTTGTATCCACTATAGTTTCAATGACTTATGTTTAGTACATTTATGATTTCTAGAAGTGAATATAAAGCTTTTATTTACTTTAAATCTATTTATCAATATATGCAATGAATATTAGGTGTAATGGAAGATTAGATGTTCTTTAAGCAGCTCAATTTTTTATCAGTACAGGATTGATTATTTGAATAGATAAAACTGATGTAAGAATATTGATCATATCACTGGCACCATGTTAAACTAACGAATGTGAACCTGTACAACGTTGTACATTCGCTAGTTTAATATGGTGCCGATGATATGTTTGACATTGTTCCATGCATTGGAATACTAACTGTTTGTTTTATATTCTATACAGATGATATTTAAGTACCAAGACCTCAACAGATGATATTTAAGACCCCAACTATTAAAAAGCATTATCAGTTTTCGGTGATCATTGGTCTGTTCCATAGGTTATGTATCATTGCTTGCTTTTTGTTTTATGCACATGAAATTTAAGTACCAAGTAGACCTCGACTAATAAAAAATATAATCAATTTTCGGTGATTGTTGGTCTGTTCATTAGGTTATGTATCATTGCTGTGCTCTTTTGAATTAAAAAATAATAAATCATTTAAATGAAGGTTCATGAAAAAATTCATGAACTATTTTGATCACTGATGATCATTCCTTGTGATATGTATAAGGTGGTCAACATTCCAATGTTATTCATGTTATGTGACTTGTCCTCAACAGGCAAACATAAATTTATATATACACAAATATTATAATATATATTACTACACTGAGTTAGGGTGGCTCTTCCCCTCCTTAAGAAGACAATATTTCCTAGGCACTTTCCTTTATCAAATCATTACCGATCATCGTCCTTATTATGCCTACAACCTTCTCCAATTTAATTCCTCAATCCATTCCCTCACTACAAGATCTCGACCCTCTGACCTATACATCCCTTCTCATAGATCTGCCTCATTCCAAAACTCCTTTATAGCCCGCTCTGTCAGCTTTTGGAATTCCCTCCCAATCAAAATTCGACATGCCCCTTCCATATACCCATTCAAAAACCTATTCCAATTCCTGTTCCAACATCAATTCTCTGTGCTATATATACCAGCTAACTATTAATACTATATATGTATTGTGTAGCAATCATATAATCATAATACTTGGTAAGAGATAGTACATGCATTTCCTACTATCAACGTAGGAATTTCAATACATACATTTTTTTTTATTCAATTATAATTAACTGTTTATTTTTATATATATATTCAAGTAAAGTTTTTTTTATGAAATGAACTCATTCTATCTCTTTTTCGTTATTCATTTCTCAAAGTGTATGTTTATGTTGTTCAACCTTTATATTTAGTTTTGTTTATAGTTTTAAATGCTCTGTACTTAGTTTTATCTGTATTGTATATAGCTTGTGCCACCAAGGTTTTCTTTACTTTTTAGTTTATTTTATCAATTTTATTTATTGTTTCAAACTTTTAGGCCAGTTATATTCTATTCTTTTGTACAATATTTTTATTTCTAAAGGGACTTAGTCCCAGAATAAAGTTTTTTTTTCTATCTATCTATCCATATATAATACAACGATTAGAAATATAATATCTGTCTGTTAAATTATTATTTTTTCTTATCGGCTGTTTTCTTCTAGAATTTATCAACACTAAATGTAGAGACTAATACATGCTGAAACATAAAGTTAGGAATGAGCTTTGCTTGTACCCTGTTTTATGATTTAATGATGTACTCGTTAACTTTTATTTGTAATTGTGGTAGTAGGTGCTAAGAGAGCACTCTAGCTCCTTGTACTCTCATTATGGATAATGCAGTTTTCACTTCTTTGCTATCTAGAAAACGTTATGTACTACAAAAACCATGGGAGGAGATATTGATATTTTATGATATAAAGTTAGCATTTAGAAAAAAATAAATAAAAGAAAAAAACCCCGAAGATGTATACTGCTAAACCATATCTTTTGGCAAGAGTTGAAGTTGAAGAGAGAATAGCATCATTTGAAGTTCAAGATGGTTTTGTTGATTTATGATAAATATTATTTATATTATGATATATATTATTTATTCCATTATAATATTGGAAAAAGGTGGTGAAATTTATTACAATCTGATGTAAGCATGAAGCTATTTCCTTATATTAAACGTATACCCCAGTTGTCTTCTCTTAAATCATGTTCTGGAATCTCATCATTGAAAGTCTTCATAATCATGTTCTGGAATCTCGTGACGGCGAATCTCCAGACTCATGTTCTGAATTGATTCATTATTCACAGGCAATGATAGAAAAATATCATTAACTTTATCAAACAACTCTGGAGTTGAAAGTAATAAGAAGAAAGATGTGGGGAACATGTACTATGTAAATGCTGGATTGGACAGGTTTTTGAGACCCATTTTTGAAGAGTCTTTATGGAAAAGTGCAAGAATAGTATTATTCAAGTGACATGAAAATAAAAAACGCACAATTATTTTAGTTAACATTCTTGAACTTTTTTTTCTCAGAAATTTCCCCTATTGTATATATCATTTGATGTTCATTATATCCACAGCAGAGATGGGCAAAGCTACTCTGAGTACTTAGCACCAAGTATTTTACTCAAATACTGACCTTTTTTGAGTGCCAAGGAATTTAATTACTACTTTGATTTATAACGATTAACTGAAGTAGTGATTAAATTCCCTATAATGATTCAATTTGAGTAAAATACTTGGTACTGTGTACTCAGAGTAGTTTTTGCCCATCGCTGATCCGCAGATAAATTCTTATTTAAGCTAGAGTATTAACATTATTTATTTTTAAAATATCTCTGTGCTATATATAACTGGACTTCAGTCAACCAGACTGTTAATTATCCAGACAAATCCTGACTTAGGTTTATTTTATTTTATTATTAAATAAGATCAGTTAAAAATATTCTTTCTATGTTTTATGTATGAGAATTTGAAACTTTTCTTAATTCCATATATTTTACAGAATGAACATATTTTTGGATTGTTCAATACTAATTTTGTTTATTAATTAAAACAGTTTAAAACAAACTTTCATTATTTTACTTAAATAAAATATAGTTTAAATGCTTTGATTAAAATTAATAATACTTTAATGTTATTCACTGTTTTTGTAGTAAAGATAGGATGCGTGATTTTTGTTAACTTTGAAATTGTTGAAATCCTTTTACTTACTCCTTATTTATTTTTTGAGACTATGTTTGAACATTGAAGTATGATTTATTTTATTTTGTTAAAATTTATTACCTTGCAATGGTTAAACCTTTAAACAAATTATACCCTTTGAATAACATATAACATAACTTTTAAAATAAAACATTATTTAAGGACTGTTATTATTTGTTCCCATTTAAAATTTTACTCTAAGCATAATTGAGTCAATTAACCGTGCTATTTCAATATCTGGGCTATAGCTGGTGCCATCAGTCAGTCTGGCTGATAATAAATTTTATTGCAGAATTAATGTACTTTTCAAAACACGACAAGCTAAAATTTTGAAATGTGTTTTTCTTGTATCACATCTTTTACTTTCACTTACCTATAATGTAATATATAGGTACACGTTTTGTAATACCCTGAGTCCAAATAACCAAGTCCCGCGAAATGGTCTGTGTGTATGTTAGCAGTCAAGCTCAAAAACGAAAAGTCGTATGAAACTGATATGTATTTAAGATAGGTATATGCCTTAGATGTGACAGCAACTTTTTCCTTAAAATTGGCTTACCGGAAGTGCTACTTTATATCAACGCTGAAAGACATTTTTACAATTTTCTCAAATACTAACGATTTTGATTAAACTCAGTGTGTCATTGTATAATGAAATGTTCTTAATATCAATCAGGCCTTATCCCCATTGATGTCACTATACAGGGCTTAAGTGCCCAATATTCACTTATGTCTTCCTCTAAAGTACCTTTAATATGGTTTATTTTAAATAATTAATCATCTCACATTATTTAGAGTTACTAAAAAATGCTTAATATAACTTTTGAAAGAATTTCATAATTGAATAAAGGAGAAAAAAATAAAAATGCTTATCCAGGTCGAAAATGAATCTCCGGAAATATTATTCAGAAGGTATATATATAATATATTGTTGAAAAGCAGAGAATTTTTGAAAAAAACAATATCTAATATAGAAAGTTGTTGAGGGTAACGGAGAGTGGCCAAAAAAATTATAAATAATAATTTTGGAAAACTAATATTATTTAACGTTAATCACATGTTTTCAAGGAAATCAAATGAAATATACTAACCAAATGTGAACTTTTAAAATATTTTTAGGTTTTAAAAATTATTTAAAGTCTACCTAATCAAGGCAATACCATTGTTTAAAAAACTATTTCATGGTATTTGTGTGAAAGAAGAAGTGAAATATCATATCATTTCATGAATGTGTAAATCATATGTTTATAACCTTAAATACATTTACTGTAGTTTAATAATTCTAGATCTGATATTATATTTAAATAATTAGGTATTAACATCCGTTTATTCCAAAAAATCGTCATGTAACTTTAAAAAAAATTAAATTAGTGAATAATTTGATGAATTTTCCCTTTTTGAAAATCCAAAATTATCGTGTCTTCTCCTCTAAAGTACCTTTAATTTGGTTTATTATAAATAATAACTATTTCTCATTGTTAGGAGTTATGAAAAGATGCTAAATATAACTTTTGAAAGAATTTGATAATTGAATATAGGAGGAAAAAAGAAAAATACTTATCTAGGCCGGAAATAATAGTCAGAAGGTCTACGTATAATATATCGTTGGAAAGTGGAGAATTGAAAACAAAAAAACAATATCTAATATAAAAAATTGTAGAAGATAACAGAGAGTGGTGAAAAATATAAATCATGATTTCTAAAAACTAACATTATTTAACGTAAATCACGTGTTATCAAGGAAATTAAATTTAATTTTCCTATAAATATAAACTTTCAACATTTTTTTTTAGTTTGAAAAAGTATTTAAAATCCACGGATTCAAAGCAATGACACTGTTTAAGATACTATTTCATTGTACTTGTGTGAAAGAAGAAGTGAAATATAAAAATATTTCATACATGTGTTTATAACCTCAAATATGTTTACTATATTTTGTTAGGTTTCTCAAATAACTCTAGATCTGATATTATATTTAAATAATTAGGTATCTACTGTCCATTTATTCCGAAAAATCATCATGTAATCTTTTAGAAAAATAAATTAGTGAATAATTTGATGAATTTTTCTTTTGTGATATTCCAACAGTATCCACTTCCGATTAGTGTGACAACTTTTGACCTGTCTATGACAGACAATGGAAATCTCTTAATTCCATTTTAGGAAACTTTGCAATGGAAAATAACAGTTTAATAACTAATAGTCCTACAATCCATAATCAATGGATCTGCAATGAAAAATAACAGTTTAATAACTAATAGTACTACATCCATAATCAATGGATCGTACAATCCATAATCAACTGGTGATATAATAAATAGGACTTTTGTTATTTTAATGGTATTTATGATTTGTTAGCTGTAAGCTTTTAGCCTTAGCTTGATTAAAAATGCAATTCAAAAATTTTATAATAGCCCAGCATAACCAGAAAATAATTTCTATTCAAATTTGAGCCGTTAGTGGAAGTTGTGTGTTGTGCGCACCAGATATTTTCTTTAGTGACCTTATTGTACCTATTGTCTCAATTATTAATCATATGAAGTGAAGAAATGGTGTTTTAGTTTCATACTAAGGCCTTATTATATTAAAGAATTCGCTATTTACATGGATTTCAATTATTAATGACATGAAAGCAATTATTATTTATTTATTTCTGATTTTGTCAGTTTTCATGTATTCTCATTTTGCTGTATTAGAAAATATCTTAATATAACTGATTTTTATTATTGTTAATCTCATATTTATTTGAAACATAAGAAAACAAATTTTATGCCTGCTACCAAAATATGCATTTTTTAAGAAGTCAAGAATAATATTATTAGTCTATATCTTTATCTTGTCATCAACACATTTGAAGTCATTTGGAAGTAAATCGCTTAAAAAAATTAATCAAATGTGGATTCTTAATGAGTAATTTATTTCTTAAATTTTCATATTATGTTAAATGAACTTGAAATGTGCAATGTCAGATACTTTCATCTGCCTTCATGTAACAGTTATGAAATAAATAAATTATAGAATTATCGTGGGAGTAGACTAAGAGTTGGCAGGTTTTAAGGAGCAAAGATTCACAAAATGTTAAGAATTGTTTAGGATAGAAATGGATTGTCGGGTCATTTGGGAAATATGATAATTCTAGAATAGGTTTTGAACAAAAAGCCATTCCAAGGTTTCTGACTCATGTTTGGAAGTGGATAGGTGGACAATTGAGATGAAGTAATGGATTTTAAGAAAGGGAATGAAGGGGGATATCTTCCTCTCTCAAGGGGCCAAAAATCTTTCTCAGTACTTTCCTCTCCCACACATTGAATTGAGCACTTGTTCTGACTTCCTGGTGAGGACCCATGTCTCACCTCCATATGTCACCACTGGTCTAATAACACTGACATATACAGTCTTCTTTAACTGCCAAGACAACACCTTTGACCTAAGTACTTTTCTGTGCGCCCAGTAACATCTACTTCCATCCATCCATCCATCATGGGTGATTTCATTTCTACCTGTATGTCATTCTTTTTGTTAATGTTGGCCCCAAGTTATTTGAACTTCTATACCTGCTCAAAAAAGTACTTTCCAGTCCTAAGACCATTCCTTTCCCACAATCACCCCGGGAGGTCTTCATATACTTAGTTTTGGCTACATTAATGTTGAGTTCTGCCATTTTTGGGGCCTATTCACATTCCTCAAAATCTCTTAGTAAAGATATAAGTTCTTGCATCTCTAAAAAATTACAAGACTCCAGGAGAGAACGAGATACTATCTATATCTTGTAATTTTCGGATCACCTTGAATAACTTGGAAGGATAAAAGAATTGGTAAATTTGATGGTTGTCAGTATATAGGTGTATGGTCAATGAATTAGGAAGATTGTTAATATAAATAAAGGGTTGATCACAGCATGTTTGTAGAAGCGGGAAGAGTGGAGTGTTAAATGAAATGATAACTGTTTGGGATTGATGGGACAAGAAGGAATGGAAATGGTTTAAAACACCTTGATATTAAAAGGTTTTGTAGTTTAGAAAGAAGGATCATGTAGTTAACTGATTCCAGTTCGAATCCCACCTGGGCGGGTTGAAATCCATTTCATGGTGGATCTATTGAATGTATCTTGACCTTTCCACTTAGGTTAAAGTAGGTTTGGCTGCACCTTTAGAACAAAGAAGATTTGGTAAAGGTTTTGAAGGGACTTGAAAGAAGAGTAATTATCATATGATAGTGTGCATCTGAAATATCTCCTGACGCCATCTGATCTACACATGGGGTTTTTTGATCAATTCAAGGAGCATCTGAAAGTGGAAATTTTTAGAGGTGTGTTGTGCTGGTTTGGGAATATAGGATGAATGTAAGGCATTCCTTCAAATAATCAATGGAAGAAGAGGAATAAATAAATATAGGTTCTGGAGAATGGGATGATATTGAATCTAAACAAAGATTTATGTTTTCATGTCAAGAAGATTTATAATTAATACAAAGATTTATGTTTTAGTTTTCTCTTTAAAATTAATTGTTTGTAAAAGTCATGCAATTGGTTTAGTAATAAATGTTGAGTTTATCTATTATTAAAGTATAGAGCTTTTTATTTTAATTATTAATCAACTTTGTTATTGTTAACTAAAAGAAAACTATTTTTTTTAGTGGTCCCGCGTAACTTTAGACTTTTGGAAGAACTCGAACAAGGACAAAGAGGCGGAGGTGATGGAACAATATCTTGGGGGCTTGAAAATGATGATGATATGACATTAACTCATTGGACTGGAATGATTATTGGGCCCCCGAGGGTAAGACTCTTTTTATTACTGCTCCATTTTATGAATGTGATGAAACTAATTTGGAAAATAAATAATTTTTTTTTTTTTATGCATATTCATTGATTTTAATTGTATTAAATGAGGTATTAGCTTGTTAAGTTAATACTGATCGGTGTTTGCACATGAATTTGATACATGGTGTATCTGTACCTTTTATTTTGTTGTGTTATCTGAATTGTTAACATAAAATGATTTCTCTACATGCAATGTCAATTTGATGGCTACGGGTTTTTTGCATGGAACTTGAGATTAGATTGTGATTTTAGCTTTCTCTATTTAAATAATACTTTGTATTGATTAACCTATTAATTTTTTTAAAACTTAACATGCAAAATTTGTATTATTATGATATTTTACTATCATTATTTAAGTATAAGTTGGATATGTCTGAGGGTTTAGGTTAAGGAGAAAATGTATGAGGTATGCATTGTTTCATGATATTTGAAAGTACAAAATAGATTAAACCACTAAAGTATTGTTTAGAATATTGTAAAAATACACTATTTTGCTCTTAGCGAATTGGCAAAAACTTTTAGCTTATTTTTCATGATAGTTGCAGAGTGTAATGCAAAGGTATTTATAGTAACAGTAACATTTTTATGTTAACTGCTTTGCCACCTAACCTTTTATTGAAAGTTACAAAGAAAAAAAGTATGGTAAAATGAACTGCTGCATTACTTATTTTTAACATAACATAATTAGAGTGCTACCAATCGGTTGTTTCTCAACAAGCGTGTTTCATGTGATAATATTCCTATGTACACATTTACTTGATGTATTCATACTAATACAGTTGTAAATATCATAAAAGTTAAAAAAAAAAACATAAATTGTTCTGCTGTTAAATCGAGTTATATTTTCTTGATCCATTTCTTAAATATTCTTTTATATAAAATTTCTTTTAAAAGATTCTAGTAATGCCACATTGAAAACGTTTGAATAAATGATAATTTCATATGAATTTGGAAATATGATTTGATCAATTTGTATCACTTTAGCCATGAAGGTTCTTGGGTTCAGTATTATTTTAGGAAGTAGATAGAGGTCATGCTCCACCACCAGATTTCCCTCCATAATTAATTTATTGGTTATGAGTATTCACTTGAGGCCGCAGCTGGACTATAACCCAGGACCAGGAGAAAAGGAACTCAGTACCTTACTCACTCAGCTACTCGGCTCCCTTTTCAGCATTTTTGAAGAAAATTAACAAAAGCTGTATATTAAATTTACAAATGCTATACAAACATGATAAAATACAATATTACAAATGAGGATGAAAAAACTGTCAGTCAAAATTTCTTAAATGAGTTAGCCGACGTTTTGACTCAAACATGTGGTTTTAAATGTTGGCTAACTTCTCATAGAAATTTTGAATGAAATTGAAATTGAAATTGAAAAAAATTAAATGGAAAATTGAAAAATGTTTTCCATCCTTATAATTTCAACATTCAACTACTTTCTAATAAAGTTATTAACCTTTAAAATAATTACTTCAGTCTCATTTATTACAGACAATTTTTAAGAACCAGGTCAAAACTTCAATAAATTTCTTTAAACAGCTATAAAGTTTTACTTAAATATTAAAACCTAATTTTTGTTTTAATATGTTTCCACTCTTTTTCTCCTATAACCTTCAATTTTATTTACATGAATAACTTTTTCACTCTTCTAAAATGCACACAAGTGGGACACCACCAATTTAATGATTGTTTCATGAGATTTAATATCGCTATTTTGATTTAGTTTTAATTTCAATAATATATCTATATCGATATTTTTCTTGGATGATAATATTGATGTTTCTGTTTACAAATACTTCAGAATCTCCTTGGGTTGATGCAATAAGAATAATTGTAAAAATTAATGGGTCCTCTAATAAAGTTCTGATAAAACAATTGCCTACTTATCTTCTTCCTCAAAGTTTTGTCCAAATCTAAAAGGTCAAGTTTAATATCTGTGAATTTATTCTTTTGGTTAGCTTTGCGAAACTAATGGGGAAAGGGATAACGAGTGGAAGAATAAGGTAGTTTATCTCTTACAAACAAAAGTATAGATATATATATATATCCGGCTCCTCTTAAGTATACCTACATATCCGGGTCAAAAATTTTGCATCCCTATTTAAGTTGCTTCAATTTTATTTACTGGATGTAGGTCACATAATATACTTGTCCAAATTATTCAGTTGATTCATCTTTGTTCAGTTTTTAGTGAAGAGGCATGTTTCATATCCACGAAGAGGAATAAGCATTATAATTTTCTAAATTGTTACTTCCATTTTTCTGAACAGTAGACAAGAACTAAATTGTGTAAGTTCGTGATTCCAATCTAATTTGGGTTTGTATATTGAGATTTATATAACAATAATTTGTATTAAATAATTAAACTACACAGTTTCAATCTTTATGGTCGCTTAAAAAATGTTTCTTGTTTAAATTAAAATAGCCTTCATGAAGTTTTGGTTTGATTGGCATTTATTTGAGGGTTTAGCTCTACATTTTATCATATTTGACAAATAGTGGATGTTTTTAATATTTTTGTTAGCTACACTTATGATTGTATTTTACACATGGAAAAACAGAGTATTATTTTATTAACATGCTATTTCAACTTTAATAGTCCTCAATAATTTGAAATTAATTTTGTTATTTATGGTTTTAACAGTATTCATTATTTTTTTTTTTTTTTCATAGACTCCCTATGAAAACAGAATGTACAGTGTTAAGATTGAATGTGGACAAAGATATCCAGAAGATGCTCCATCGGCAAGATTCATTACTCGGATTAATATGACTTGTGTTAATAATACTACAGGCCAAGTAAGCTGTTATTATTTTTCTATTTTGTTCATGTATGTGAAAATGTTAGTTTTTGTATTTTGTATGTTCACAATTTTTAATTTATTAATCTTAATTAATACATACCTATATATGTAGTATTAATTATAGTTTTTAAACACATCAAATAACATTTAAGATAAACAATAGTATTGGTGTATTTTTTAAATGTTTGTCATTTGGAAGTTATAAAGTTTAAATAAAATGTTTATATAGGATGTTAGTTTGGGTGATTTTTTTTTAATGGTGTAATATTACTACAGTATCATATTTAGTATGTCAAATACTAGCTGATGCACCCAATGTTGGTGGGTGTATAGTTAAATTGAATTTAAATTAAATTAAATTGGATTTTTTAAACGCATTCTTATCAATCCGTAGAAAATATTTTAAAACCAAATTTATAAAAAATCCCACACAATTTGTCTGCAGAGAAATAAAAAAATAGAAATTGGTCTGCAGAAAATATTTCATTATTTATTGCGATAGTTCAATATCAAAAGACAAAGCCGGGTTAAGTACCAAGTAACTATAGAAAAAAAAATTATAAAACCCAAAGAAATTTGGACCAAATGTTATTCCAATAGTTCATTATCAAAATACGAAGCTGGACCAAATTCCAAGTAAACTGTAGAGAAAAAATAAAAACAAAAACCCAAGGGTGTTGGTACCAAATCGTTATCCAAATAATTCAATATACGAAGCCGAATCAAATTCCAAGTTTGTGATAATCACCCAACCAAATACGGTTTCAATAGATTATATCGAATGAGTAAATTAGCAGTTCAAGTCAATATCAATAATCAAAGCCTATTCAAATCCAAAAGTTCCAAATATTCTCGGCTTTTATCATGGGTTAATCTCTTACAATCTAACCATTGGTAGTATACTGAGAATGATAGAGAGATGGGCAACAAACAAAAGGAGAATTGGGGAGTAACGGAGTAGGATGAGACAGACCAGATATAAAAAAAAGTGTCTGTTGCTTCGGTCTTTTCAAAACAATTGAAATAACTTCAATAGAATAAAACTTATTTCTAAATTTAATTTTTACCAGTTGATTCCAAATTAATTTCAATTAACTTGAAATAAATTGTAACCTTTAGATTAAAAGGAATTTAAACCTTCAATCATTTCTGTTCAATCATTCAAATTTTTACTGGTGCATAAAAACTTAATTAATATTTTATCCACGTTTTCAAATACATAGTAAATTGCAATAGACAATTTAAAAAAAAAATTAATTCTTTTATGTATTTAGATTTTATATTTAATATATTTTAAATGATTTCACCTTGTACATTTTTTCATTAGCTATGAACTCAGGCTAAAGTAACTACAACCACTGAATAATAACAATTATTGCGGCTGAATAAAATGTCTTTATAAAAATAAAATAAAGAATAAGACTATATGAAATAAAAATAATAGGTATAGTTTTATTAATATAGGTTTAAATTTGAAAGACTGTTATTCTGATGTAAAATTGCACAACTATTACCTCTGGTCTTGCATTTTAGAGGTCGTGATGACTGTGTGTGTTAGGTATCACTTTAGTTGCCGCTAGCCCCATTCATATGCCTAAGAAATTATGAAGTATACTTACTTCCGCAGCATTACAGTCTAAGGTGGAATTGGGCCTCCCGTACAATTTGATTCAATGCCCGCTGTTCAGAAACCTTGCCAGATCCTCCTCTAGGTCATCGAGTCATTGTCTCCTTGGATCATATGCTCCATTATTTTCTTTGTGATTTTATGAGGCGTTGTATATTTTTATGGCTTATAATGTTGGGTTATTTCTAATGAACGCACACACCGTGGACGCAAACGGCCAAAAATACGCCTTAAAATCTTTCTTTCAAACACACTTAGTATGTGTCGGCCTGTAACTTCCAGGATCCAGATTTCTGCACCATAGCAAACAACAGGCCACACAAGTGGTTTGTAAAGCTTCATCTTGGTAGCCCTAGAGAGAGAAGTGGCGATTTGAAGAGGTTTACAAGACTTTGATATGAACTATTTACTACCATAACCCGTTTTCTGATCTCTTCACTCTTCTTGTTTCCGCAATTGATATTTATTCCAAGGTATGTAAAGTGTTCAACTGCTTAAAATGAAAAATCATTAAACTGGAAATCAGCCAACTTTCTTGCTCCAGGTGCAGACATCACTATATACTTTGTCTTTGATTTGTTCCTTTGTAGGCCAACATTTTTACATTCGGGTTGGTGCCTGGGAGTACTTCTCTTATTGCTCATTCGCTTCCCTAAAAACCAAAGGTCATCTGCATATCCGGGAATCTATGAGGTACGGACGGGTTGCCAAACTTCCTCTTTGTTCAATTGTTTTTAGGTCTTTGTGGAGAGCTAAGTTTAACAGTATGGCTGACAGAGCATCACCTTGTCGAACTCCACCGTTGAAATGAAGTATGGAATATTAAATTAAATTACTGAGAAAAAACAACAATTCAAATATTGAATAATTTTCACTGGTACACTTAGCTTTTTAGTGTTTATTCCATGACTCTTGACGTTTACAATAAAGAGTAAAGACTGAAGTGGATAACAAAGTAGGGAAATTAAAACAATTAGATGGCATTATTCAGAAGATAAAAAATTGATGATACAACGCATTTGGTGTTTTTAATTGAAAATAATGCTAATTTTGACATATATTACATGTACAATGTCTACCAGATTAAATCAGTTAAGAAGATAAAAATACTTTTAAATTGAACAAGTATCATTTTTATAAAGCATTGATTTGTTTCAACCTTGTTCACACCACTCTACCTCTATCATCAAATTAATCTCTCTCTTACTATTAAATCCTGGGTGTGCTTTTGATGTAGAAAGTATTTAGTACACATGTTAAGCGTAAATTCTTTCTGCAACTAATACTGCTCAAAAATGAATGGGTATGTTTCTATTTGATGCTTATTTTAATGAATGAAAATACCTTATTTTTTTTTTTTGTATTATAGGGATTCTCCTGTTTGTTGGTTAACATAAAAAGTAAACATCAAGTATTCTTTATTATTAATAAATTATTAACTAAAGGATAGTCTACATGAAGAATACTCAATTTGTAAAGCAACAGTTGTTTTTGACTTTTCTCAATTTTAATCCAGTAATATTCTGTTCAACGAAAGAAAGAATTATTGAATCTGTAGTTCACAATATTATTGTTAGAATGAACAGTCAAGGGCATCAGATTCAGAAAAAGCGGTAGTGGAAGTACCAATAGGAGACCTACCTGCTAGTGGATCTCAGTACATTATGGCATCAAGGGATGACCCATACCAACATTAACCATTCGTAATAGTTAGTGGGTTAGTCTAACATACGCACCTTTAAGACGATCTGCAACAACAATCTGTTGCCAGCAAATCAGGGCCATAATTGGCACAGATTTCCATTTTCTTGACGACAATACGCGACCTCGGAAAAGTTGTTCATCATTGTCGTGAAAATCTGGACATTTTACATTTGTCCCTTCTCATATTCTCTCCACATCTTATTCCCATTTACCACATGTGGAGTGCATTGCTGAATATGCTTTTTAACCCCTTTCACAGCTTAATAACCTTTAGCAACTGAGAGAAATATTACCATGTTAATGTTATGAAATTCCTTGTGAAATCAGTAACAAAGTTATTAAAAGTATGCTGAATAGGTGCAGAGGGGTAGTGCATAACAGAGGATATTACACAGATTATAAAATTTTACAAAATGTTTACAATATAAAAACAAGATCACATAAACCTTTAATTTTATTATTTTTTTAAAACATTTTATAATATTTCCTGAGGTCAAATATAATCTTATTTATATTAATTTTCAACTAGCTAGCTCGTGCGAATAACTCACGAATAATGGTCAGTGAACAACTGACAATATGGTATAAAAATAAGTTGATGATATGTATTATGAGAGAGAAGAAATAATTTTCTTTTTCTCAGTTGATTCACATTATTTAATTCAAACTAATAATCTCAAACATGTGTTCATTGCTATAGGCTGTATTTTTGTAAATAATTATCTGATTTCTATAAAATTTTTTTCGTTTTGTAGGGAATTAGTAAATTTTGAAATAATCATGGGTCTTATCAAGAAAAAAATGTATTCTTTTTAAATAACTTGCAAATAAAGTTTCTTTTTCATTCATAACTTTGAAAGCTATCCTAAGGTATGGGTACAATGACAACACATAACGGTATTTGTTTTTTACCATGAAGCTACATATCCTGGGGCTACGATACAGACAATTCTATCATGCTCTCACTGGATCCAATACCATCTAAGCTGCCTTTGGAATGAGTAAGCTGTGATTTTGAGGTGGTGTGAAGGAAGCTCTCCCACCGCCTAGATCACCATTATTACTTTGTAATTCTCTAATTAGATGTAAAAACATTATTAAATTTGATCTAAAATATTTTAACAAAAGTTTTATTTACAAATCTTTGTTTACTATAGAATCACCCTTCACTGCATTATACGGTGAATTTACTCTTAACATATGTACTAAATGTATTCTACATTAGAAGCGGATCCAGGATTCAATAGTTAGAGATTATTTTGATTGTAGACATATCTTTCTCTCAAGAAAAGTTTTTAATCACTGATCAAAAATATGTTTTTTACAGCATTTGAAATAGAGAACTTACTGCACAATTTTTTAAAGAGTTTTATCATATATAGTCATAATTAATAATTTTAATATTAATTAATTCTAACCCTAGATTAATGAAGATAGCCCAAAAACATTTGGAGGCCACAGGTTTCTTACCTGTGCACTAGAGAATTTGAGCAGTTATTTTTCCTTTATCTTACATTGAAGTAAAAACTTTTTAAATTTCTGGCAATACTGTACTGGAAAAAATAATATTTTAATTAACCTTATGAAACAAGGAAGATTTGTTAGATTTTTTTTTTGTCTACTAATGGGTTACTAAGTAGATTAGTTCAAGTGATTCACAAGATAACCTACATTGGGATCTTGATGAACAGTTAGATAAATGAATACCTTGATGTACTGGTACTGGTACGAGGAGCTAGTCCAACAAGAGGTCTCTGTGGTGGTCCATTTTGCCAATCTCCGATTTCTACATTGAGGTTGTCGCCGTGTACTTATCAGAGTGGGAATGTCAAGATTCATTTTCACGTGTCGCCAAGAAATAAAAACTAACTAATTGACCCATGTGGGAATCGAACCCAAATATTCAGAACAGGGCACTCAGGAACTTGCTCCTATGTGCTCTGCCATCTTGTCCTCATATCTCACTTAGATTGTCTGACTACTACTAGATGCAAGGGTCAAGCTAGTTTATATAAACTAAAAATAAAATACTATTAATTGTTAGTATTGCATATCTTCTAATGAGTTTTATATTTTTCTGTACAGGTAGACCAAAAAGCAGTTCCTCTATTAGCAAGATGGCACCGAGAATATACTATCAAGTCACTGCTTCAAGAACTGCGAAGACTTATGACCCTTAAAGACAACTTGAAATTAACACAGCCACCTGAAGGGAGTGCGTTTTGAAACATCCCTCCTTTCTTCCCACTATCTTTGTACCATCACTTTGCTTTTTTTTCTTAATTCTTCCTTTGCCCCTTTCCTAGACATCCCTGTTGTTGTCGTATTAATAGCTATTTGACTTTTTAATATCTTAAGTATAATAGCTAAATCGTATTGGGCAAATATTTTATATCAACTTAATTGCTATTCGTTTTAACTATTAAAAGTTTTAATGAATTATATTACTTATTTTTTTTTTTACCTTTTAAAGGGGCAAGAGAAGAAATTTCCTCAATGTTGATACTTATTATTTATAGCTTATTCCAATAATTACTTGTTATATCCTATTTATTAATGATAGATTATTGCATCGTGTTCTCATCGAGAATGCTTAAAATCAATTTTTATTCTCCTGATGCTTTCACAGCCATTTCAAGCATCATTTCTATATATTAAGATTCTGTGTATATATAAAATATTTAAATTAACAAAAGTAAAAAGAATGAAATGCGACAATTTAGATTAACTGCTCGATAGTGCAGGTAGAAACGAAACACTGTTCATTTATAATCGTCAAAATATTCTAGTTTTATAGATAGTTACATATGTTTCTATTTCACCCAAAAGCTTATTTTATTATTTTTGTTTGAAGTCCAAAGTTTGTTTCGCAAAATTAAAAAGATGTAGGAATATTTTACTTAACATTATTTCATGTTGTTATAGTAACTATAATTGACTGTTAATTTAATTTTGGTTTTATATGATAAAAGCAAAAAAAAAACTATGATTAACTCCCTCATGAACCTTACTGTTAACCTAATTATTTTTTATTTTATCAAACGTCAGGAGTAAATGAAACTATAAATTAAAAAAAAAAGCTTAGTGTTTTTTTTTACTTTATTTGTCGATTAAACAAGTTTATACCATCATCTAGCTTTCTGTATCTATATACCTTTCTTTTCTTTCTAGTTACTAATTCAATTTTTATCTTTTATTTTAAAATAGTACATAAGAAATAAAGTGGTTTTTGTTATTTTTGTACTTATTTTTTAAAAAGAAAAAAAAAATCATTAACAAAGCAAATAATTCTTTTAGGTCTATTTCCTGATAAAGTCCCTCAAGTGAAATCAAAGTGATAAATACTTCCAGTTTATAAGGTACTTTCGTTTAAATGGAATGTTTTTTTTTTTATTTAATTTATGTTTTCCTTTGGAATAATTTTTATTTGTTATCCAGGATATGAAATGAAGAAGCAAGAGTCTTCTCTCCTTTTTATAAGTTCGTACTGCATTTAAATTTTAAGATATGATTGTCCGCGTTGAATTTTGTAAGAAAATGAATTTATATTAATATTATAATGTAAAGATATTTGTCACTAAAAGCAAATGTAAGAATCGTGTTATAACTATGATTTATAATCTACAATTTTTCAGTGAAGATATGTGTTTATTTAAAATACAATATCAGTTTATACATCATTTTAGTGTTTATTACAATAATTAACAAGGACATATTTACATAACAAATCTTTTTTCTTTTTTAAATTAATCATAAAACTAAAATATACAGTTTTTTGTAGGTGTCAATTAATATACAATAATTACATGAATTGCCTTCCTATGCCCGACATTTATTAGCATGTAAAAATTAATATCATATTTTAGACAAACACTGGCAGTATAATTGGAGCTAAATGCAGCAAGGTAGGTCATAAATACGTGATGGGATATTTAAATAAACAGTTTATTTACACAATGTATAAACAATCTTGTTCTCTAATCGATCTAATTTTGAGTAGACGAACGAGAATGAGAATAAAAGTTAACTACTTTCACGGGCCACTCAGCAACATAAAAAATTGTTATAAATAAAATTTCCTACATGGTATCTATGTTCACAATTTTGGTGGAGATGGTGGTGGTCTAAAGACAATTTTTCGGCTCTTGAGAGTGCTCCACTTATGTCTTTTCCAGTAAACTGCAGCAGCGATGAAGAGTGAAAAGATAAAAATTACCTATGGAAAAAACAAAACTTTATATAGTTATGACAATAACTGGGTGGTAGATAGCACTCAGCATTTTAAAATTAAAAATGACAACTAAATTTAAAATAACTGTAAAAAAAAAGATAATATCAATCCACAGTATTACTTGAATTTAAGGCAGAGAGTAAATCAAGAAAACACCATAAATTAAGAAATGCACAGTCAACTTTCAATAACACATTTTTTTCCTGATCCCATAATAATATTTCAGCCAAAAATAAATAATAAAACAGAAATTGAATAATTAAAAACAACAAAATTGATTGTAATCTTAGTTAAAGCACCTCCGTTGCAAAACTATTGATCAAGAAACAGCACTTCCTTACTAAACCCAAGACCCTTCCCTCCATAGTTTTTTTATGTACAGATTTTCAACTATACATACAAAAATTATTTCTAATTTTCTTGATAAAGAAGTTATCGAGAGTTGACTACATAACATGTCTAGTTATAGTAGATACTACCATAATATTTTAAATATAGAAATAGCTTATGGAATTATTATATTACTTAAACCTGTAAATGTTAAGTTTCTTAAATTCCTCTTATATATATAAATCATGTAATGAATTAAGGTATATTCTATATTAAATCCTAAAAATCTCTAAACAAAACAAGGATGCAACCAACATAATAGCTATAATATTTAAAAAATTTAATTGAAAGAGTAATCTTGGTGGTCATATATAATGTGATAACTTCGTAACTAACTTTTTCAGTATCTTATATTTTCAATTTAAATGAGAACCAATTGGATCTGTACAGAAAATCTAAATGACGTTAAATTTATTTTATTTATTTGACCGCGCCCTACGATTAACTCCTTCTCATATTACATCAACGGTCAACCATCTCTACATCATCAAAAATTTATTTTAATTAGTTCATAGAGGGAATCAAAACTTTACCTCTTAATTTCTGAAATAATGAAAAAATATTTTTCATAATTCATATTAAGAATTTTAAGATCATGGTACTACTTATTATTTATGATTAAAAGTGATAACATAATTTAAATAAAATATGAAAATTAAATGGGAAAAATAAAATTACAAAATTAAGGTTTGTATTTCCCAAGATGGAAATATTGGAAGTAGGAGCAAAGAATATCGCAATATGATCCTTTGTAACAGTTTTGAATGAAGGGGAGGGGGATAAAAGGACAGAACACAATATATAATGTAGCTCAATTATCAGTTTGTTACATATAATATAGTTTTTTTTTTGTCCTCTTCCAGACTAAATGGGGTTCACTGAACCAGGGGATGAAGGCAGGGTATTAATGCAAGAGTTAATACCCTCCCTCCCAGGAAGTGAACTCGTACTTATTTAATCAAATCGTCTTTAGCCAGGGTTGACTGTGCACTCATTAGCCCACTCGGCCACCCCGTCCCCACTATAATATAATTATTATCTGAACTTTTAAAAAGTTATTTTAAGCAAATGAATGCAAAACATTGGGAGGAGCAGAAAACGCTCCCTTCCCTTAGTGCAGCCGCCTAGAAAAAGGACAATAACCTCTTAGTGTTGGACGGATGATCTAACAGATTCATATATATTATATATATTTTAACAATTCAATTCTACAAAGAAGTGAAAGAACTGACAAAAATTAATAGACAAATTTCCTGTAGAAATACCTGATCAAATCTTTAAAACTTATCCATAATCTGATTATACTGTTTATACATATTTTAACATTTTTTTGCAGCCCTCCAGTACCGAAGAGAAACACAGCTGTAGACCATTCCATCCCCTACGGATACATTTAGCATCTACCACACCTCTCGCTTGCTGTGTTCAGGATGCCTTTCCAGTTATATTCACCTTTTACTAAATTAGGTCTTAGATCCACAGAATATTTAATTTTAAGGTTCATTAAAAAATTCAAAATAAATTACATCTTGTTAAATCGCATTCGAATTTATAATTTTTTTTTAGAATAAATAAAAAAATTAAAATTGCTCTAAAATTAATTAATTTATATACATACCTTTAAGGCCATTTGTTTTCGTACATCATGCTCAGGCTCTGAAGTCCATTTAAGGAAAGTTGCAACATCCTTAGCTAATTGACTTTGAGTGGCTGGAGTTCCATCAGAGTATTCAATAATCTAATCCCAGAAAATTCAACCAAAATTAATAATAAATACATAAAAAACCCATACTTATATCAACAATAATGATTATTTTATTTTTTAGATAATTAGTCTCATTATACAACGAAAAAATATGACACTATAAATTGAGTATAGAAATGAAATAAAAGGTAGGAAATTGTTCACTAATTAGAATGTCTTAAAGAATATCATCATAGATAACAGAAAAAAAACAAAAACTGAAAGATCAAATGTTTGGTTTGGTTAACTTAAATTATTCGACAATAGATGGTAGTTTAAAAAAATTCATGACTGAACATACCAGCAGAATTAAGAGAGGGAAAAGAAACAGCAACAACAGTGCAAAATTTGTAAAATAACTTTCTAAGAGAAAATATAAACAAGTAATTCAGAGATTGGTAGATGATAAAATAAATAAACATTGTAAGCTGGGTTTTGAAAAAAATCAAATTTTTGGATAAATATCAACGTTTATGAAGCAATGTTTGCAGTTCACTCTACACTAAACTTTGAAATAAATCTCAGTCACCAAAGAAGTCAGATCAGAGTAACTGCTAATTCTTCAGTCAGTGAAATGCTTTCTCTTTAATCAGTGCTTTGGGCCCAAGCAAATTGATCAAATAATCAAAATCTAATGAGGACATTGTGATTTTTTTTTTTATTTACTGCCATGTTTTATGTTTTAATCACATAAAAAAAGACAATTTTCTGATCAATGTTTTAGCACAGTTTTGACTCTTTTTTTATTTCTTATTGAAAAATCTTCGCCATTGATCAGAGCAGTTTAAAAACACTGCACAAAATGAGATCTTCCTCGGTGCTAGAAAGGATTGTTACTAAGCTATGAATTTTGTTTCTCTTATGTAGATTCTTGGTTCATAAACTTTTGTAGCTTCAAATATTGTACAGAAATAATGTTGGTGTAGGTGTGGACAGAGTGCGAATAGCGAAGCAATAGTGAACATTAAATTTTTAACAACAGCTATTTGTAACTGCTTAACATATTATAGAATACATGCCAACTGAGTAGAAAATTAAAGTTATTACAGAAATTAACAATTCATATCATCAATTTAACACATTTTTTAGATTTCCTCGAAAACTGCTCTAACAATTAGATTGAACTCGTTATACCAATGTACTATCAATTGGTTTTTAATATCAGGTAGGTCTCAGTGGTATCTGACAGGACTTAATTACTAATTCTGTAATGTACCTTTAACATAGTTATAATTTGAAATAATCGACAGTCTCTCTTGGTTGTTATTCATAAGGAATGGCTTAATACAAACTATGTGAGAATTTGAAAACTAATGCAAGGAAAACAGAAGGAGAAACCTTTTTCCAGATTGACAAACATTTGGAAATAAGAAATATATATATTTAATAAGATGGAATGCTAAAGTAGAAAAATTAAGAAGTAGCATATAAAGTCGTGAAGAGTAATGGCGAGTAACAATAAAACTAAGTATAATAACTTTTTTCAAATTTTTGTTTTAATAATAAAAGAATTATTTTACAATAAAAGAAGACAGTAAAGTGCAGAATCATATGGCAGTAATAAATAGGATATGATGCAAACATATTTCATAAAGAAATAACAACTTTATGGCAAATGATGGTAAACTATGAACCAATATATATAAAACAAATCATATTTTTACCTAATGACATGAAACTTTTGAATGAAGTGTTTCAACTAACAAGTGTATTTTCTTGTAAGTCAATTTTTAAAAATAAAAAAAGGGAAGAAACATTTTAAATACAGGAACCAACTAACCAAAAATAAACAGCCATTACCATAGATCAAATTCACTTCCAATGCTGAATTTTTTTTAAAGAGGAAACATGTTTACTTAAGAATAAGAACGATTAAGATTAGATAAAATACATTATTTTGAAATATATTTCAATAAAATGGAAATATTGAGTACTGAAATTAAATTACATTTCTAGATTATTTTAATTTAAAGCACTCATCTAATGGATTATACTTTTAAGGAATTATACTAATAAAAATAATAGTATAATTGATGAGTATGAAATATAACTCAATTCAATAAGAAATCTAGTCAAAATGTGGTCTTTAGAAATATTTTTTAGATCACTATGACTTATACAAACTTTCTTATATAGGTGGTATATAACATCAATAAGTATTGTAGATGTTATAATTGTTCTTTATATTGCATAATAATTAAATAAGTTTTGAAATATCAATAATTTGGAAATGTTTAATATGGTGGTCAAGAAGGGATTGAAAACAAAGAAGTTGTTTAATGAAAGTGCCAAGAGAGAAAAGACATACAAATTAAATATTTCATCGTTCAATAATAAAATATGAATCAGTATATTTTTTATTTCCTTAAAATCAAATAATATATTTTTTCTTTTAAGATTAATTTTTTTTTTTAACTAATATTCTTTTCATTTTGTTTTATTCATTAACTAGAATATATTGCACTGATAGTTGTTAAATTGTCTAACCCATCAGTTATTATTAACCAAAAATGCTAATTTCAAGGCTAAAAAATATTAAGTTCATGACATTTATTTTATTTTACTTTCACTACTTATAAATGAAATACATAGTACTACAATGGTAAAAATTTCATAGTACTACGATGGTAAAAATTTCAAATCCGAGTTCTTCACAAAATATGCATTTCTAGTTATGTTGAGTAGAGTAACTTAGTTCAAACACATAAAATTGTACAAAACTGAAATTAAATATTCATGTTAGACATGTGCTGGGGATGTTAAGCACTTTTTTACATAAAAAGACAAACCATAAGTAGCTCTGAACTATTATGATTAAGTTAATTTTGTCAAGTTTGGTTAAATGGATTTTAATATCAGTTAGATACTCAGCGCATTGAAATAATAAGACAGATCTTAATTGCCTAATGTTCAAAACAGCTTTCTTTCAAGTACCTGTTTCTTTATTTTCTCATAAATTATTTACCATCTGTTATTTTTAGTGTTAAAAAAACAGCTGCACTACATTACAAGTTGTGCTGCACTTTGAAATCAGAATGGCTGATCACAGATATAATCTCCCTTTATTTAGGTCACTAACAATCAACCAAAGGAGAAATATTTATCTAGGCTGAAAATACAGTTCTGGAAATAATAGTAATATGGATGTACATTGAAGCATAATATAAAAAGTTGTTGAATGCAATAGAGTAACAAAAAGGGAATAAACTTGACAGATGAGACAACTGAGTAAAAAGGTAATAACATTACTCAAGTTGAATAAGTCCTTTCGACCCAGTAATAAGAATTGAAATAATTTGATTGAAAACATGTGATTTTTACCATATGATTTAGATCATATGTTAGTTATTTAGGTATCAGCCTTTGTAAATAATTATTATTAATGCCATTATTAGTGGAGAAATGATGTAATCCTGTAAGTTCAACAACATTGTAGACAAAGTATGAAAGTAAACATCGAAGGGTAAATAATATGTCCTTCGTTATCTAAGTATAGATCTAATTTCAACAGGGTTTAATTAGTTTTGAGTTTCATATCAATAGAAACAAAATCTTCAGCAGGTCGCAAGTTACAGCTTTTACTTAAACTAGTAGTAATCAAGATGTCTTAGTGAATTATATGAAGCAGAAGGTGTGAAAATACTTAATTTAAAGATTAATCATGTACCTGACTATATGAAATAAGAAATTTAGATCAACATTACCTCATTATATAATGCTTGTGCCATACTTATGGCTCCTCCAGGAAAATAAGGGTTAAAATATTGGCCTTCCCTTAAAATCAAACCTTCAGGAGCATCACAGTATCCAGTCAGTAAGTGGAATATATAATCCTAAAACAACAAAGTAATTAAGCACATCTGCCAATATACAGCAATAAGACTAATAAATTAAATGTATTTACTTCTTCACCATGACGTCCAGGAACTATGTATGAAAGATCAGGAGGATATGCTCCATTATTAGCTGCTCTTGCAGCCTCTTCATTTGGATAAGGACTAGGCATATGATCAGAAAGTTTTCCAGGCCTTTTAAACATTTCACCAACTTCATTTGGTCCATCCAAAACCTAAAATCAATATCATTTTCAAAAATCAAATTGAAATATTTAAAATGTGAGATAATGAAAGTTAAAGATTACGAGTTGTTCTTCGGCTTCCGCTTTAGCCTCAGCTTCAGTATGTGAAACACCTACAAGATCTCGATAGCAAACAAATCTTAAACTGTGGCAGGCTGCACACACATTTTTGTAAACTTCATAACCTCGTCGAATGCTACAATGTTCATTAAATGTAATAATTAATACTAGACAAACAACATTAATAAAAATTGAAAAAAATAAATGAAAATTGATGTACCTTGCATGATCCAGTGATTGAAAATACCCACTGTGGCTCCAAGGAAGTTTGGGAGGATGGAGTTCAAGATCTCCAGCTTGAAGACTTTTTTCAAGAGCATATATCAACATGCCTGTTCCTCCCGTTAAAATACCAAGTGAAGTATACAACTGAATAAAAAAATTAGGTCAATTATTCAAATTGAATAAAGTTTGAAGAAGAAATTAAAAAAAAAAAAAAGAAACCTACAGCTTTCTTTCCTCTTGACCATGATTTAGTAGTAGAAAAGCTGCCTATCTAAAAAATAAAAATGACCACTAAGACATTTATGCAAGATTCCCCAAAAAATTTTTGGTTAATGAAAGAAAAATAGATTGCATGTGATAAAATGTATTTGGAAGAAAAATCACATATAAAAGCTCGGAGAGGATTAAACCATAAAAATTACACAAGATAAGTTACCTGTAGGTGCTTCGAAACCGGATTATTTTTTAAAAGTCTAGAGCCATATATCCGACCTACAGCAGCAGCCATTTTAGATGGTGTGGAGAGAAAATACCATGATTTTATGAGTTTATAAATATTTATAAGGATCGATTAAAAATAGAATATTAAAGCAGTTTTATAATGGAAAAAAATGTTGTTTCATTTTATTGTAATATAACTCATGAGGATTAAAAAAAATGTCTTCCCATTAAATATATAAAAAAAGAAACAGCATTTATTTTATAGACTTATACTTCTTTTCGCCACCTAAAAATAATTCTTTTATTTTTATTTAAAAAAATATCAATTAAATAAATTGGGTTACTTAGAAAACTAGAAATGAAGGTGGAAATAAGAAAAGAAAAGGTAGAAATGGTAGAAATAGTTGTTAGTTATGAAAAAACTTGGATAGTAAGATGATTCATAATTCATGACCAGCTATTTACTTTTCAGTGTTTTTAACTTAAGTAATAATAGATTTTTTTTTTATATACATATTTCGTATTAATACATTCAACACTAGCGAGCTCTGTACGAAACGCCGTTAGTCGCCATTTTTCCCACATCCAAGTGTGTCATTGTAGTTAGAGATGTGAATCGGTCAATATCGGTGAATTCTAGTTCGTGTTACAGTTAATCCGTTTATTAAAAATGAGTTCCAATGATATGCCCGAGCTGGGCAGTAAAATTAGTTTAATTTCTAAAGCCGATATCCGTTATGAAGGAAAATTGTATACAGTCGATCCCCAAGACTGTACGATTGCTTTAGCTAATGGTAAGTTGACCCAGTAGTTCCAGATCTTTTTTTCTTTCCCTCATTGGTGTAGTTTTGTCATTTCAGCGAATTATTTATGTCCACTTATATACTGACCTAAAACTGCGCAGTTACTTTTTCTATCATGGTTAATTTGCGTATTTAATAATAATTATTATTTTGTGAGCAGTTATTAAGTATTAATTTTGTCCTTATCTTACCTATTAATTAATTAAGTTGAGATCTTAAATTAGATCTTTTGACTAATCAGTTGATTTGATTCTTTTTAGTGACAAAAAATTCCATATTGCCCTTATATTTACAGTACTATTAACTGGTTAAGGGTCATATTGATGTATTTTCAAGATTGATCAGGTTTGTTGTTGCAGTTCAAATCATGTAGGTCAGGTACAATGTTTAATCCTTTTGCTGTAATTGCCAAATCAAACATGCAATAGATGAACATTATATTTTTTATGCAAGACATTATTATTACTGTAATTGTTAAGTCTACTCGCACAACTAATTAAAAATGTTAACACGAATACATTTTTATGAATACTCAATTCAACTTCATGCAATAAATATATAAACTATATTTTATAGAATTTAATCTAGTGTTATTTATTGACATTTTTTTCAGTTGTTTATATTTCAGTTGATAGGTTATATTCATAACTCATTGATTTATTTTGGCTTAATGCATTTATGACTGAAGTTAAATGTATGTTTCAGTGCGCTCCTTTGGGACTGAAGATAGGAAAACATCACATCCGGTACCTGCTCAAAATCAAGTGTACGACTACATTTTATTCAGGGCGACTGATATTAAAGATATAAGTGTTGTACCTCCTACTCAGCTTCTTTGTGATCCAGCTATTGTACAGGTTTGTAATTAAATTTGTTTATCGTAAATCTGATTAAATTTTATTTTAATTTAGCAATCCCCACTTCTTTTACCAATTTTATTATTGGTTGCTAATTATGTTTAATTTTAAATTTTACAAAACTTTTGTCTTTAACCTAGAATCATGGTGTGGAAGAGAAAGTAGTGTAGTCATGGCAACAACTTATGTAGTGGTTAGATTTGCTTTCTCTTTTAAAATTTTTGTGCACATATCACTGGATTAATATTTTGTTCTATAATTTTATTTGAATGACTTTACATCCTACTTCAAGATTTGCTTTTTTGATGTTGTTTACTTTATTCCACTTACTGTTCTATTGTAACTGTTCTTTCCCCCTCCTTTTTTTCTCTACACTGAGGTGTGTTTTTTCAAATGTATTAGTATTTAAAAACTTATATTTGAATGTTTTTGTTATAGAAATACTTTTTACTTTTTTAAAAATACTTTATAGAAAAAATTAAACATTAGGTTGTTAAAAGTGTTAAGTTTTGATGTTATAGTTTTTTTCCCATTACATCACTATTTATGTGTTTAATCCTAGCCTCTCTGATTTAAAATTGTTGAAGACAATTAATCTTTGGTTTTTGACATTAAATAATTACTCATATGTTGTTTACAATCTTTCTATTTTGAAAGAATATTTTTTATTTGTGAAACAGTTGAAGTTTTCATTGTTGGTTTATATGAAAATCTTTGCCTATATCTGTGGTAACATTAATCACTGATTAATTTAAACCTTGTTTGTTAATTAACTTTAACTAATAAACAAATAGAAAATTTGGAAAGTGCTGAATACATGTAATCCGCCTTCTCTGTTTGTTGTTCAATGAGAAGTTTACTTAAATCGTTCATTCATCGATAAATAATAAATAAATGTAATTATAATCCTTCAATGCATTTAGGATGTTATATATTACTTAATTGTACTATAATATGATGTAATTTTGCGTTAAGTAATAAAATAGCTATTTAAAACAACTCATTTAATTTTATCATGAAAAATCTCTTAACAATCTTATTTTATTTTGTAATACTTGTTTTTCATTGGTCGACTAGAAATACCGATGAGTTGAAAAAGAGAGCTACACATTTTTGAGCAACTTATTCAAATTTGTCGAATCTTATTTGTTAAAAATCTAATCCTTCGCAATACTGCTAAGTTAAACATGTTCTTTTACTTATGGGTAGGAGGGGAGATTTGTGTTATTTCTGAATGACTGATTTTGATGAAACTTGGCCCTTATGTTTCTTATCAACCAATTATAAATACTGTAGGATTAAATCTCTTCTAGGTACCACTTATTTTGATTGACTTCCAATTTTGAACAGTTGTTGGCAAGAGACCACATAGAATGTTCTTTTACTTATGGGTAGGAGGGGAGATTTGTGTTATTTCTGAATGACTGGTTTTGTTGAAACATGGCCTTTATGATTCTCATCAACCAATTATAAATGCTTTAGGATTAAATAAGTGTTACATCTCTTCTAGGTTCCTCTTATTTTGATTGACTTCCAATTTTGAACAGTTGTTGGCAAGAGACCACATAGAAGGCCAAAAAACAAAACAAATGGATTTATCAAATCCACAAAGATATTACTAAGTGACAAATTGGAAAGCATTAGCCATTGTAAATGAACCACTAACATTCAAATTCAATAGCAAAGTTACTTTTGACCCTGGTTATGTGGAGTATAAAAAAACTATATATTTTATAAGTTTTGTATAGATATGTGTACTTTTCTTAAATCTAATATGTGTACGAAATATTAATAGTTGATTTAAATATTTTTTTATTGATGTAGTATTTTGATAAAATATTTTAAATAAGAAAATCTTATACATGACGTAATATTTCGTATGGCGGGGTCTGCTTTGCCGTAATAGTAAGTTGTAAACTGAATATATTTGTTTTTTATTGGTTGTCTAATAATTTTGTAGCAGTAATAAAAATGAATTTTAATATTTTTGTCTTACTATCTCATTTTTATGAAATTTGATGTTGGTGCACATATTTCTTATTCTATATATTTAATAGTAAATAATGTACTCCATCCTCTCTTCTAAGTGATACTGCTTTTGAAATTAAAAGATTTTGCTGGAAGTTGGTACAAATGTATTTGAACAGGCCTATATATATATGTATTATTTTTTTTTAGCTCGAGCATTTTAAAACCACTGGATCACTGAGTTGATTTTGATAAAATTTGATTTTTGTAGGTTGTAAATTCATTAGGGTTAAATAATCCTTCTTTTTTAAGTAGTATTAATATTTTGTTGATTTATTTTACTCTGCATTTCCGGGAAGTCTGTTTTTTTAAAATAGTTTTTAATAAAAAAAGTAATGTAATGAAATAAGAGAAATTGTTGTAGAGAACTTGTCTCTCTAATTGTTATTACCGTACTATAGTATTCGAAGGCTTTGTAAAAGTAGAAATAAGACTTTTTGTTTTTGAAAAGAGCAATGAAACAAAATTCGGTGCTTGTCTTGAATCCAGTCGGGATCAACTGCTATCTGCCAATGTTTACAACCTGGACACTGATAATTCTATTAAGGCACTAATAATCCCTATCTTCGTTTTCATATTTATTGAAATTGGAATAGACAAAAACAAATGTCATATTTATGGGAATTCAAACCCCTCCAACTATGTTCCTTTCCTTATAGATAAGTTTTTCTTACAAGTGGTACGAAAGCGTCTCAATTTCACCTTTGGAATTATCCCAGTGTTTTGAAAATATTGATAGGCTCTTCTTCTGAAGATGGCAATTCCCACAATATTTCCCACACCCATTTCAACAAAAATACACAAAGTAATAACTCACAGCTTGCAGGAGATAAGAAGGGAGGTTATGTATGTGACATAAGATAAGATTAGAAGGGAGGTTTTGTTCCGACCAGATTCTACACAAGTACCCAAAATTCTTATGAAAAAAATTGTTTTAGTAGAAATATTTAAAATTATAGCTAATTTCTTCCCAAGTATTCTGTATGATATGCTTGAGTTAGGAAATTATGAAAGTAAAACTAATTTTTTTACAGCTATGTGATTTTGTTTTTAATGAAAAATTATAAAGCAACCAAAAATGATTATAAATCTTCATTAAAGTAAGTTATGCAGGGAAGGAAAATTAGTTAAGGACAAGCTGAATTTGTAAGAAGAACACGTTAAAATAAAAAAAAAAATCTTTTTAAATTAAATTATATTGTGAAATTGTGTTTACTAGTTGGTATTTTTTCAACATTTTATTCAAACATTTCCATGCAGAAAAAAAAAATTAAGAATATTTTGCTTTGTTAAGTAATTTTAGTTTTGTTGCCAATACTTCTTATGCTGTAGTCATCTTAAACCGATTACTTATAGTCTGTCGTGTTGTTTGAAGATGCAATAGACAGCCTCATTGTCCCTTCACGCTTGACAAAAATATCATTCGAGAGGTTCATGGCATTTTTCTGTTAAATCCTTGAATTAAATTTGTCCAAAATTTTTAATGCTATTGGTCCTTAAGATATCCGTATACCCAGTGGAAGCATGGTTTGAAGGATTCTTCTGCCTTCCCAGTAATATAGGGAAGATTCCAACTGATGATGCAAACTGACAGTTGCAAGTCTAATAACTGGAGGAGGTGGCAATTGGTATTGATTGAGATACTTATGGATACTTTACTTAAGGCTCTTAAGTTTGATTAATCTTAATGTACTCTTATCTGATATTACATTAAAAAATTTACTTTCTGAATTTTAGTTATCCTCATCAATTGGAAATCGCTATGGAGGATCACAGCCAGGAGGTCAAGATTATCCACCAATGCTCAGTGGACTATATGGACCATCGGGAGGAGGTCAAAGTGGAGGCTTTAATCCCATGCAGTCAGGGCTTCACCCCTTGGCCTCACGACAGCAACCACAGAGTGAGTTCACATCTAGGACACTATCCAACAGCGGTACGTGACAAAACTACAACTCCCATACTATGCTTCAGCTTTATTCTCTCTGCTTTGCCTTTTTTTCTCTTTCTGTTATTTTTTTGATAATTTTTTTCTTTGAATTGCAAATGCTTAAGTGATATTTTTTTTAATTTAACACAAGTGTTAATAAGTGATATTTTTTAATGTTTTTATTTTTTTCATTGTTGATTAGTTATAAAAATTATTTTGTCTCATATTTATTGTTACTGAAGGAATTTCTAAATTGAAATTCCTATCATGGAAATGTCAATATTATATTTCTTTAGAAAAGATTCAATATTAATTTTCATTTCCTCTCAAGGTAATTTAATTTAGATCCTTTCATTATATTTTACACAATTCACACAACCGTTTCTTTTAAATGTTATAGACACAAATTTCATTTCATGAGGGTAAAATTTCTTAAATTTTTAATGAGCTTGTTAGCTATATGAAAGCATTCTTTTGTTATATTTTTTAACATGCAACCAGACTTTTTAAAGACTTTAGCTTTAGGGATATATATTCTTGTATATTGTTCAGCATTTTACATTTTTTAGCTTAAATAAAGTTTACTTTATTCTTTTAGGATTTAGTTGTTGTTGATTCATTATTTGAGTTATTTTTTTTTTTAATCTATTTATTGAATAATAATACAATCAGCCACTGCTGGAGGGCTATAAGCATTAGGGCTAAAAGTTATTTGAGTTATAACAGTATTATATAGAAGATTTATGAGTTTCAGTGCTTTTTATTTAGTAACTTAGCTCCAGTTGTGAATTATATTAAGGGTTAATATTAATTATACGAAGGGTAAAATAGACAAACTAAATATAACTAAATTGAATAAAATACAATTACTGATATAGGACGATACATCTGAGATTCATTGAATGAACAAAAGTAATAGTGTATCTCAAATCATAAAAATATCTTTAAATCAAATACACAGGCAGATAACAGGATAAAATGATTTTCGCAACACTTATATTCTATTTCTGTTAAAGAAAAAAGCTTGTCAAGTAGGATCACTGTAACTTCCTAACCATTTTTATTGTGCTAATTTTTATTGGTTATATGATTATTATATTTCAAGGTCTAAAATTTATTGTTAGAGAATAAAATCCACAGAAGAAGCTGTTTTTAAAGCATAGGCTTGTCAAGGAAAAATGTACACTTGAGTGAAAGAATTTGATGAAATTAATTTAGGGCCATCGAGGCAATTTCCTCTAAGCAATTTAAAGTTGAACCAGTATTAATTTAACTCTCATATTTGGAATAATGTATAATCAAGGTTTTTGTCCACCCATTCCAAGCAAGTCATTCACCCAGTTCAAACTCTGTATCCTGCAAAAGAGATGCTCAAATCATTGTAGTTTTTATTCTATTGTATATTTTTAAAAATTATGAATTCATTCATTTAAATGTGTTTAAATTTTCATTTATAAATACAGGATGTTTCAGGGTTAAGTGGCCAAACTGCAAAAATGAACTAAGGACCTCAAAACAAGAAAAAAAATTTCCTCTGAAGGTATATCCGCAAACTCTTTGTTTAGGAGATATTCACGCCTAAAGATTTTCATTGTTATGAATTATTTATGTTTTATGAAATAGATAAAACCTATTTATTTATTTTACTACTTTATTAATTAAATGTAAACATTAATATTCATATTAAATATTGTTCAAAGTGATTTCCTTGAGCATTAAGACAGGCTCGGCATCTTTCTTCAACAGCAGCAGTGGAAGAACATCACTGGATATGTTATTGTTTCACAAGATTCAATTATCCTTCTTTGTAAGGAATTAAGGTCATTGACCGGACTTGCTCAATCATATTCCATATCCCAATCGATGGATTGGCCGTGGAGAACTCGGGGCATAGCCTGCACGCTCTCCAGACCTGACAGTACTGGATTTTTTTGTTTGGGGTGACATTAAACAAAAAGTCTATGCAAGTCTGGTCAATGACCTTAATTCCTTACCAAGAAGGATAATTAAATCTTGTGAAACAATAACACATATCTAGTGCCGTTCTGCCACTGCTGCTGTTGAAGAAAGATGGCGAACCTGTTTTAATGCGCAAGGAAATCACTTTGAACAATATTTAATAGGAATGTTAATGTTTACATTAAGTAGTTAAGACAAATAAATAGATTTTATTTATTTCGTATAACGTAAATAATTCATGACAACGAAAATATGTAGGTGTGAATATCTCCTAAACAAACAAACAAACAACAGCGGATATACCTTCAGAAGAATTTTTTTTTCTTGTTTTGAGATCCTTAGTTCAGTTTTGTAGTTTGGCCCCTTAACCCTGAAACCCCCTTTATATTTATAATTAGCAATGTTTTCTGTTATCATTAAAATGTTTATTATTATTTACTTAATGCTAAAATATTATTTACTTTTTACTTTGCTTTTACTTTATTTAGGTTAAAATATCACTATCACTTAACACTTGTCTTGTGTCTTTATAATTTCATTATATTTTACTTATTAAACTAATAACTTTTTTTCTTTGCATTAGATTTGAAGGAATAAAAAAAAGAATGGCTTTGGCATGATGTGGTATGGTTAGTAGTTTTGCATGGCACCTGTTAACTATTATTGCTTATTATTTATCTATATTTCTATTTGGATGATGGTTATAAATTACATAAGATGATATTTTTAATTATTGAAATTTAATGCATGATATATTGTTTTATAGTAGTACTATTAACACATTTCTTTTATTTAATTTAATGTGAGTAGATAACTCACAGTTAGAATTCTATTTCATGAGTCTTTTTCAATGTCTTACGTTTTCAGTACTTCACTTAAGGTTATTGATCTCTAATAATTATTAGAATTTTATCTAACTAGCAATTTTTATATTTATTATCATTATGTAGTTGTTAATTGGTATTAAGGTTTAATATTGAAAATATAATCATGTCAATTTCAATGCTGCCTAATTCAATTCTCACAACTTCACAAATGGTTAAAAGAAATCGCCCAATTTTATTGCTGATGACCTCATTATAATTTATACCATCTTTCAACTTCAAAATGTCTTGGAAACATTTATTATACATATTCATGGTTACCATTAACTCACTTTAATCATAAATTGAATTAGATAGTGTTCAAATTTATATGACAATATAATAAAGGGGAAGGGGAGAGAATGTTTTATAGTTTGAACTAAACCACTCCCGCTCTTAAGAATTTGAAATTTTCCTAGTAATTATTTTTATATGAAGATATTTATATATAAAATTTATGTAAGCTCATACATATTTTCAATAATATCATAATAATTTAAAAATTCTAATTTTTTTTCTTGATAATTCCAACTTCTGGATAATTAAGTCTTGATAATTCGGACTTTACTTGTTTATAATTATTGAAAGTCGGCTATATAATAAAACACGCCTTTCTGCTGCTTTGTCTTTAACGAGTGATATTTTGAGAAAAATATGAATTCTAATGTTTTTAAGTCATGCTGGATTATGCAATCTGGCAGGACTATATGATGCAGGGTGTCTTGATTAGAAGAGTTTTTTTTTTATTCTAATTTCATATTTCGTGTTATTTGGAAACTAGTAGATATTTATATTGTGATGCTAATTGAAATATAGATATTATTTGTAAATTATTAAAATATCCTGTTTCTTATTAATGAATTGCAATTAAGTTTGATAACTGATTTGGAGTAGAATCTGTTGTAGAACTGTTAATCGGATCACGTAGCAGTACCCCTGGCCTTAGGAAACCTTCTCCTACCGTTGATCAGGGAACTCAGGCGAATGCCAGGCAGAAGGACAACAGAAACCCACAAATGTAAGCTTGGCACAAGTAAATTTACATGTTTATTTATTTTTGTAAGTTGTTTTCTGTGATTAGAAAACTACTTATTATATATCTGAATTGAATAAAAGTATTATTATTTTTTATATCAAGTTACTAAAATTGTGGTTTACAAACGAATGTGATGAACAGGTTTGTATTTATATAACTGTTTTTAAAGATATTTCTTAATCTTAATAGTTCTGGAAACTTGCGAAAAATAATTTTATAATAGCTGCTCCAAAAAATAAACGAAAAAAATTCCTTCTCTTGTCATAAAAAAACAAAGTTATTAATTAAATAAGAAAAATAAAAAGATGTCCCATAAAGCAATGAAAATTTAGAAAAGGTCTAATTTAGGAATGGGGTTGGTACTTATGGGAATTAACTTTACTTGTAGTCAGTCCTAGCATTGTATTCACTGGAAGTTTTTTTTGTGTGTTACTATCTATGGAACAGTTTTGAAACTAGCAATGGGGTTGTTAAATAAACATATAGAGCAAGGATTTGCCAATTTGTTTTTATATAAAACAATTGTTGATTTAACCTAATGTTAAGTTAAAAGTACACAATAGTCAAAGAAAAACTCTCCTTTTAACTTATTTATTTCTATAGCGTGTGTGTCTGTGAGTTAGTAATGATGTATGTATATGTATATATGATTTTTGTATTAAAGGATGGGTGGTCGAATGAATCAAGATCATAGAGGAGATAACAAAGGTCGTCCGGGTCAGCCTTCGCAGCAGAGGACACGAACATATCAGCAAGTAAGTGCTCCAGAGGTATGTAATGAATCAATGTTGTCTTTTTTGTTAATAACTTATAATTAGTTTAGTTTTAAATTTTTAAGTAATTTAATGTCTAATATTTATTTTTTATTTGTTATGTTTGTATGGTAACTTGGTGAAATATGTGTTACTTGTTCAATTATTATTCCTTGTGCTAATTAAATTTGATCAAATAATATCTGTGTAAAGAATCAAATAATTGCAGGTTTATTAATACAATTAGTTTCAATTTTCAATAGCTAAGTTATATTCTTACCTTAATTAGTTAAGTCTTTTTTAATATCTGAAGAATTAAATTAATACATTAAAGCCTGTTATAAGTAGTCTTATAATTGAGAGATAAGCCCAATTGATAAATAAGATTCATATAAAATATACTTTAAGTTTACATATTGAAAAGCCAAATGAATACCTTCTGACTTGTAATAGTAGATAATTAGGCTGGAGGGAAGAACTTAAATGATGCAACTGTTGTGTCATTAATTAATTTTATTTAGTTCCTGGTTTTTTTTATAATACTGTAACTTGTATGTTTTTTTTTGCAAGAACTTGAAATGGAAAGTTAACTTTTATTCTTTATCATTTTTTATATGAATGCATTTTTTATTCTGCCATTCATTTCATCAAGAAATGAATTTAAAATATAAAAATCGTGCAGTATATTCTTAACTACAAAGATGTATCAGAATCAAACACATCATTCAAGAGTAATATCCCTCTTCTCCATAATACATTTAAAGTTTAAAGGATATTAGGGAACCATTTATTTATAAGAATTATATAGTACAAAGAAAGTTTATTAAAAAACACACAATTGGTCAAGCTTTATACATTATAATGGCTTATGTTTAAGTAATTAGTTTGCACTATAGATATATATATTTTCAGTTAAGAATCAACTGACTGTCTACTATTACTAAACCCAATATTGTATTGGTTAAAATGGTTTTTTGTTTCTTTTTGTACCTCTTTAAGAAGTTAATTAAATGTTCTAAGCCTTAATTACAATAATAAACATGTGAACTGAAATTTTATAATTTTCGTAATATATAACCTTAGGTATTATTATTTACTTTAATTTGTTTTTCACATATATTTGAATGTGCTTGAAAATGGCTTACTAATACTGAAAATTAAATAAGATATTAAAAATATTTATCTGATATTACTTAATGACCAGTTATAGTTGTTTCATATGTTTTAATGTGTGAGGATAATCTGGTGAGAGGTATATGGTTTGGAAGTTAAATTTACTGAAAATGGGTATAATTCCCCTTTGTCTTGTCAACACTGGTTGGTTAGATTAACTCATAGGTGAAGGCAAATTCATTGTGCAATATCTGATTTTCATTAATTGAAATCTCATTATCAGAGTCAACAAGGAGGTAGCGGGGGAAGAGGTTGGCAGAATCAGCAGCAAAATATGAACCGCCAACAGCACCCTCAGCAACAGAGAAATAACCGTTTAAGGCTTGGAGGAGGGAGACAGTTCGCTCGAGCTCCAGGCCCTCGACCGAAATCACAGCCTACCCAACCTCTCAAATTTGAATCAGATTACGACTTCGACAAGGCTAATTCTGAATTTGAGGAGCTTAAGTCTGAAATTTCAAAACTAAAATTGAGTAAGTTCACTCCCTTTACTTTTTTTTTTTTTTACTATTTTTTATTTTAAATAAAATACTAAAAAGTTTGACACTCAACATTTCATTAAGTTCAATAACACGAAATTGATTTGTGAATTCCCGTTTAGTAAACGGTACAATATAGTGGGACTGCTTATTAATGACTTTCGTAGAAATAGGATCTTGAATTTTGGCTAGAATGGGAAGGAAGAAAAAAACATTATGTTCATATAGTCAAAAAACTATTATCAAGGTAGTTAATACAAAAGGGATATAAATAATTCAAAGGAATTGATAAGATTGCAATCTACTCGCAAACTCTGAGGCTGTGATGAAATTATATATCACTAGTGATCCAAAAATAGTTTCAATTTATATTTCATTAATTGATATTTCAATTTATATTAAATCTGATAGAATTTTCATAAAAAGCACCCTCCTAAACATAATAGTAGCCCTTAATATCGATTAAATCCAAAAAGATGATGCCCGATGCCCGAGGGCACAATCTCAAATCCGACATATTTTCATAAAAAAACACCCTCCCAAAACATAATAGTTGACCCTAATATCGATTAAATCTAAAAAGTAACAAAACATCGATGGCCGGAGAGTGTAATCACAAATCCTTCAGTATTTTCATTAAAAGTGCCTCCCTCGCAAAACATAATTGTCGACCCAAAATAACGATTAAATCTGAAAAGTTACAAAAATTCGATGCCCGGGGGCGCAATCTCAAATCCGACTGTATTTTTATAAAAAGCTCCCCCGAAAACATAATTGTCGACCTTAATATTGATTAAATCTGAAAAGTTACAAAATATATAAATAAACCCAACCCTGATATGAAAGAAATCTGAAAACTCAAATAATTCGCAACACCGTGGCGTAATCTCAAAATGGACATCATTTTCAAAAACTACGGCTCCGAAAACATGTAAATAGACTCATCTAGAAGAAATCCGAAAAACTCAAATAAAAGTTAAAACATAGTGTCGTAATCTCGAAATGGTGATCATTTTCCAAAAACACAGCTCTGAAAACATATAAATAGATCATAATATGGAGGAAATCCGAAAAACTCAAAAAAGTCACAATACAGTGGCGTAATCCCAAAATGGACATCATTTTCAAAAACTATGGCTCTAATAAAAACATATAAATCAATCCTTATATCAAAGTCATAAAAAAATTCTCAAAGTATTGGTGTAATCTTAAAATGGAGATCATTTTCACAAACTATGGATCTGAAATAGGATATATAAATAGATCCTTTTATAGAAGAAAAATAAAATTAACTTCACATTATTCAAAATTTATTTGTTATCAAGATAAAAGATAAACAGAATTATTCATTATTCGTATTTGAAAGTTCAATAAATTATTTATTATCTATTATTTAAGATAAATTTTGCCCAACACCTGTCTATCAGCAGCCACAAAAAGACTTCAAGAGGATTTGAATAGAATCTGTGACTGGGCTGCATGCATCCTTCCTATTCCAAGTCATCCAATTCCGCCGTCCTTTATACATTTCCGAGCTTCTTCAATTCAAATCCTCTGTCCACTCCCACTGAACTGCTGCTTTCGACAGATCTTACAATATTCAATCCACATCCCTATTGAATTCTATCTCGTCCTACATCCGTCCCTCCAAAACCCTCCCCACCTTTAAATCCCGTCTGTTCAATTACCTCTTATCCGTTCAGTTCAAATAAAATTGTAAATATGTATGTAAATAATTAGTTTGTTTTAAATAGTTTTATTTAATTTTTTTTTTCAATCTCTTAATTGAAGATTGAAGGTAAATAATATTCTTTTCTTTTATTTATTCATTATATAAATCTGTTTATTTTGTAATTATTCTCTGAGGCTCCAAAGTCCATATTTCTATCTCTGTACATTATTCTAAAAGGACTTGTCCCAGAATAAATAAAGCATTATTATTATTAATTGTAAGTTGATACTGCTGGGATATCCAAAAAGGGAAAATTCATCAAATTATTTATTAATTTAATTTTTTTAAAGTTTACATGATGATTTTTTGGAATAAACGAACAATAAATACCTAATTATTTAAATATCTTAGATCTACAGTTATTAAACTAAACAAAATATTATACGTATACCTTCTGACTATTATTTCTGAGATTCATTTTCGAGCTGGATTTTTTTTCTCCTTTATTCAATTATCAAATTCTTTCAAAAGTTATATTTTGCCTATTTTCACAACTCCTAACAATGAGTTAGTTTAGTAACAATGAAGTTAGTATTAATGAAACTAATACTTTAAATTATTAATAATATTTAAATATTAATAATTTAAACCTAATAGGAATACAATTAAGGTCTAGAAATTTGTTTATCTCTCTCTTTTCTAATAATTTTATGGAGAAAAACTTAATGAATTCTTATTAATTCTTCATGAAGTATTATGCAAAATATCTTAAAGATTTTGTTTTCTTGCCATCTCCCTCATTTTAATTTAATTTTTTCAGATGATAATGGTGAAGCTCCAGCTCCACTAATGAATGGTGATTCCGATAAAAAGGATGATTCAGGCACTGAAACTGCCATTGTAACGGATACCGAAGGTGATGAACAATATTTTTATAACAAGAGCAAATCTTTCTTCGATAATATCAGTTGTGAAGCTATTGAAAGGAGCAAAGGGTGTGTATATAGTTTAGTTAGAAATGAACAATATATATTTATTAGCATTTCTCTTAAGTAAGGATTTTAGCCTCATTTAAAAACTTGTAGCAGGTGAGGTGTTGTAATTTATTTATTGCAATATATGATTATTGTAAACAGGAAAATCGTGATTGTTATATTTATAAAATGTCAAAAAAAAGATAATAATATTTTCAGTAACAATCAACCTGCAATATACTTGTAACTTTTGTTAATTGATTGCTTGACATAACATTGCCTAAAAGTTCTTGTTTTTAGTCAAACAGTTATTTTTCTTTTCAATCTTCAAGGAGGAGAGGGAAACTTATATTATGTACTTAACAAAAACAATTCAGTTAGCATCAATAAAGCTTTTAGGCCTAGTTACACGGCTAAGTTTCTTGATTAAAGTCTGGAAGAAACTTATTTTGTTCTCGAAATTAACCATGTAAATGTGGTTTGATAAGTTGACATAGCATCTTATAGGTGTTCAAATATTGATTGAGTGATAAGCCTCCTTAAATTAAATTAAGTTGTAATTTTAGAGTTAATATAAGTTGTTCCTCCTCAATTGCATAACAATATCCTTAATTTTAATATTTCCATCAAGACAAAAAATAATTAATTATTACGAAAATTGGTCCATAAAAGATTAAATCCTGATGAACTAAATAACTCAATTATCATGTATCAGAAATTAGCATTTCTTAAAAATGTGTTATCAACTGATAATATCTAGTTTACATTTAAGAACTAGAAACCGAATTTGTTTTTGTACGAAAAAGAAGTATTAATTCATAGTTATTATTAAATTTATTTTATTTTATTATTGATCTGAGTGTATAAAGATCTTGTTCTTTTTATTAGACGATCTCAAAGGACAGATTGGAGAAAAGAAAGAATGTTGAATTCGGAAACATTTGGTGTAGCCACTGCCAGGAGGGGTAACTACAGAGGTGGTAGGGGCGGTGGTGGCTTCTTCTTTGGAGGTGGAGGAAGAGGAGGAGGTGGCTACTACCAAAGAGGTTACAGGGGCCAGCAGGGTCAACGCTACAGGTCTAGCAAGTCTCCTGCTCAGCGTCAACCGCAGCAAACCCAGGTTTTTATATTTCTCCTTTTACTAAATATTCAAATATTTTTGAAGATGAAGGGTGTCTGCAGGTAGGAATTTTCTAACTCAAAACATTCCGAAATAATCTATTGAAAAAAAAACCAAAAAAAAAAAAAAATGGAAGTTACAAAGTAACTAAAGTAAAAATAATTAGGTAACACCTTCGAATACATGTCGAATGTGTTCTAGGTTTTATGGTTACATTTAATTTTTCCCATTCTCGACTCTGGATATTATGGTGATCAACTGGTTCGGTTTAGAGCTATTATTAAAATTTATATCTAAAAATAAAATGTATAAATATCAATTTAGAGCTCGGAATTCTTGAAAAATCTTAAAAAATGCTCTTTAACGGATTGGGTTCGCTTATTAATTATGTTCGGAGAGGGAGGGGAGGGGAAGGGGGCTATAAGTTTTGGCAAGTTCTCAGACTATATTCATGGCTTTCCTCAACCATCATCTTGATAACTCTAGCTGCTCTCTGATGTGTCTAATGGAACTGTTATAAGAATTTTATAACCTGTTGGAGAGAGGGTACCACCTCTTAGATGCTTTCTCGATTGAAATTTTGCAAATTAATTTTAAATGACTGAAAGATCACATTATCCTCTCTATTAACTTAGCATAATTACAAACAATCAATAAGCTCAAGCTAAATACTAAATTAATTATTTTATTGAAATAATTGATTTAATTGTCATTTTAACGTTCAATTTATGTACAATGTATTTATAGCAGTATAAAGAAAGTAAACATGAATATTAATTATATAGTTTTCATCTTGTTAACTATCAAGTATTTATTCAAAAATATTTTTGAATATTGTGATAAGAGATTTTTAATGCATTTCATTTCCTTATTTTTGATGGGGATGCGGTATATTTTATTTAAGATCAAGAAAACTCAGGAGATCTGAGTATCACATAAAACTGAAACACTCTACTAGACACCATGTAATTAATAACAATTTTAAAAAAGATAATGGCAGTCTTATATTTTTTATTTCAGGTCGCTAGTACATAATGGTTTCAGAAGAAATTTCTAGACCACGATGACCCTGAAGAGATTTAGGTCAGAACGAGGAGTAGGAGATGGAAGTTCTCATTTCAGTTAATTATACTTAAAAAAAAAAAAAAAAAAGGAAAAAAAGAAAGTTTTTGGAAAGTTTCCAAGATGAAAATTTAGGTTTTACTTTAGAAGTGGACAATAATGAACCGTGTGTATGTAGTGTATGTTAAAAGTCGTGCTAGTGGTCTATATTTTTGAATTGAGCCGTTCATAAGCATTCCTCATGGTCACTTGGTTTGAGCTATTTGTTGGCTGTACAGCTTGGGAGAGTTATAGTAGGGATCCTGTCAAGGAAGAAGTTGGTTACTGTGAACCAGGAGGATTCAGCATGGCTGCTGTTGTACAAATTGCTTGACCAGCATCGACTCCTAGCGAAACCGAAGAGTAGTTAACCTTACGGAGGGAAGATATCTTCAACAGAGCAGTTTAATTATTATTATTATTATTAAGTCTCATAAGTTCTGGGACATTTTGTGTAATGTAATATTGTGATTTTAATATTCTGTGGTATGACTTAAAATTAGCTTTAATCTTTTAATGTATGGGATTATAGTACATCATTTAAAAATGTTATATGTACAAGATTCTTTTAATAAGAGGGCTAAAAGTAGATTTATTTTTTCTAAATAAGAACTATCATTTTCTTTTCTTTTTTAAATTAAATAATTAACTGTATGGTAATAAAGGGCAGAAATTTAATTTATGGAACTAATTGTGCATGGCTGAATTAATCAAAAGCATGCTTTTCTTTTTTTTTTTTCCTCCCCCCCCCTTTCTTAGTTTTATAATCTTTTTTTTTTTCTTAAAAAAATATTATAAAAGGTAGTCCTTTATTGTTAAAATTGAAGATTGTGATTATTTCATGGAGTTACCATTTCCAAATGAATTAATTTTATTTCTCTTTTACTACTTAAACTACAGCTTTAATTTTATACCTCGTAAAATGGAACAAAAATTAATAAAAAAAAAAAAGAAAGGTATAAGTTAAGGCTGGCTAGTAAGTGACTTGCTCACTCTGTGTTAACCCGCTTGGCCTGTTGCAATAGGGCTTCAGTCTAACTGAGCATCTCTTTATTAGATTAAATTTAAAAGTTTTTGATATATGAACTATGAAAACCTTTAATTAAGAATAAATTTTGTTATTTTTTTTTTTAAGTCCTTTGATATTTTTCTTATTGCATATTTTTTACATTTGATTAACAAGTTTACATTTTAAATTTTGCTTATCAAATACAATGGTAAACTATATAAGGCATATCTAATGTCATCTTTCAGTGCATTGCCGATAACTAAAAATAAGTTAATACTTATTAGTTATTTATAAAAAAAAAGATCTGGATGGAATGTTGTGTGTTTAAAAAACATATGTTTTCAGGCTAATTTGTTATCTGCCCTCTTGAACCGTCCAAATTGACAAAAGTAATATAGTTAATGATACTACTTTTTGCCCAAATGTGTTATTTATCTATGTTAAAAGCTGATATTTTCTTTTAAACGAGCTGAAAGATAGGTTCTGTTAATTTTTTTTCATATATTTTAGCGATTAAGAACGGCAAAGAAAGAATAATGTAGTATTAAATGAAGTTAAGCTTTGTTATAGATTAAGTCATTTCATTTAGAGAACAATTTTATTTGCATTTTTTGTACCAAGTTTTTATTTATAAAATATATGCTTATATATGTGTATGTATATATGTATATTACATACATAGGTATAGGCTATTTATTTATACTGAAGTGTCAATAAATGTGCACAACATATACATATTAAATATATAAATATATATATAAATATATTGGAAGAAATGATGTTATTTTGAAATAATGTAAAATATTTATGAAAAAGATAAAAAAAAAAAAAAAAAATTATAATGAGAGAAGTAAAGGTTTACATTATTTTATAATGAACTTTTCGACTGATCCCAAAGTACTTTTTGTACTCCTAATTTTATTTTAAATAAATGAATCCATCTTCCTTGATATATTTTGTGTATATTGTCCTCTTGATATTAACATTTGCCAACCTAAGCCATTGTCAATATTTTAGTTTTAATTATTTCTGAAAGTAATTTTTTTTTCCTTAGTTCATTTTTATTTAATTTAATGTTCCTGAACAATTTTAATAATAAATTTAAGTTTTAATAATAAATATTTTTTTTTAAGACCCGTCTGATTTTTTTATCTTCATTTTGTTTAAAGCTTATTCTAATCTCATAAAGGCAAATAGAAATATTACTTTCAAGTCTTGATTAATTAGTAATTTTAAAAGTCACGTTTACATTGTATGTAAGGTGTTAGCCTGATAGCAATGAAATAACAAATAATTTTTCGTAACCATATTTTTTATTAATACTGGGTCTGATAGTACCCAATCACTGCTTAACCCGCTCTGTGTATGTCTGGATCCTTGATATTATACTCCATGACAAAATTATTGATGAATACAATTTTTTATGGTTATCGCTAATTCTAGCGGACAAGACATTTAAACATATTTTACATTGTAAAATTGGATTGAAAATAAACACAAAAGAACATTGTCATAAAACAATTACTTTCTGTGCTAAATAAAAAGTCTGCAAAAATTTTGGGCAGTCTACTTATATTGACAAATTATCTCAGTAGTTGTTTAAAGCTTGATTCAAAGGCTTTGATTGATATTAATTCAGTATTATGTTAATCCAACCTTCTTTAAAACATTCACCAATTGTTATTTACCTAGTTTTTCATGTAGTTTTCTATAATTCATTTTTTTAGTTCCTCAGAAGAGTTTTGCTGTTTCCCTTGTGCATAAACTACTTGAGAAAGTTCTCAACATTTTTGAAATCTAGTGATCATGTAGACCTTAAAATATTTTTAGCTCAAACATTTTTTTTTTTTTTCCTGCACAGAATATCATTTCAGTCTTTCCACTGACCTTATCCAGATCCAAACCAGAATACTTCCTTTATCCATTTGACCATGGCTTAAAAATATTTTATTCTTACATATCAAAATAATAATAATAGTCACTAAAAACCACCATATCATAAGGTTTTTAATTTAAATTTTTTTTTTTTTTTGTCCACAAGACATCACTTTTGGAAGAAAGAAGGTAGTTTTGTTCACGGGTTTTGCCTCATACGATAGCTGAAATTTTTTCAAAATGAATTTCAGTTTTTTCTTTTCACTTTTATTTTTCAATTCGGACCTGTTAACCACATTTATTAACCATCAGCATATGTGTTAAATAATGAGAAGAGAAAAAGTTATAAAACAACTTAAAGAGGCTTGATAAGTATGAGGAAAAGCAGTACCATTTCTGCAGCTTCGATTTGCTTAAATAATTATGGAAGTTTGTCCTTAGCTGGTTAGAGTATCATTTCGACTTATCATGGAATTGTTTATGGTATGTCTGTTTGTATTCTTTCACTCATGGAATAGTTTATGGTATGTCTGTTTGTATTCTTTGACTGTCAGGATGCTTTTGTAATTAGTCATAGTATCTTAGATCGAATTTCTTTATGTGTTAGTTTTGCTATTCCGTATATTCACCATCTGAAGGTCCATAGAGGTCTTTGACAGCTCTCGATGGAAAACTAAAACATGATAAGTTCAATCATTTAGAAACATCCCTGTTTGTTTGTCGTTCAAAGTGGATTTGAAATCAGATTTCTTTTTAATGGTGGAATATTCCATAGTTCTTTGATAAAGATGGTCTTCATATAAAAAATTGAAATGTTATTCATTAACGAGTCACAGTTGCATTAAAAATTATATCTGTATCAATACATCCTATTGACTAATGACATATCATTTTCATAAAAGGTGTCATCGGTTTATTGCATAAAGTCATTAAGTGACATTTCATAATCATAAATAATTAAGATGTAGAGATGGTTGACTGTTGATATAATATGAGAAGGAGTTAGTCGAGGGTGCGGTCAAATAAATAAAAAATTAAAATATATTAATTATTTTAATTTTTGCCGACGTTTTGACCCACTTTGCAGGTCGTCTTCAGGGCTACAAAAGATACAAAACATGTTGAAAATAAAAAATAAATATAAGTATATATAAAATAAGAAGAAGTTGTCAGATACAGAAATAAAAGATGGTATCAGAGATATAGTGAACGTTAACGAATAAATAAATGTTAATCTTATCTTATCTTTTATCGCAATCTGTTTACTTTTAACTTACATGCTATATTCTCCTTTATTTTTATTTTTATTCCTACTTATTTTCCATTTATTTGTATCTTCTACATATATAATTCTTAATATTTAACTACATTGTCACCACTATATCTCTGATACCATCTTTTATTTTTGTATCTGACAACTTCTTCTTATTTTATATATACTTATATTTATTTTTTATTTTCAACATGTTTTGTATCTTTTGTAGCCCTGAAGACGACCTGCAAAGTGGGTCGAAACGTCGGCAAAAATTAAAATAATTAATATATTTTAATTTTTTATTTATTTGACCACACCCTCGACTAACTCCTTCTCATAAATAATTAAGAAATTTGATGAATTTTCCCTTTGTGATATCAGAAAATTGTGCTCAATAGTGTAACTGTTTATGATAAATAAAAGGATTTGTGCCATTTTCATTCACTAATGGTGTTTTTGCCTAGAGATCAAATTTTACAAAAACATTTTTGAAAGTTAACCTATATCAAAATGACAATATATATGAAGATGAATAATTTACATAAATGCTACATTTTCGAGCATACTGTTTTTCAGTCATTATAAGTAAATTGCAATAAAAAGCACTTCACACAGGCACTGAAATTAGTGCCATTACACTAATTACAGTTTCATGAAGGTTAGTGACAATCAATTTGTAATAATTAGTTATGTAACTAACTTACAAAGTCAGTTTTGAAAATGAGCCATGAAAGTTAATTTATTAACTAATAATAATTTGATAGGTCATAGTCATTTAACGGTCCAATTATTTAAATGAAGAATTATGCAAGAATCAGATGAGGAAAAATCATTTATTAATTGGCTTCATTATTGAAGATTAGTCTATTAAGAATACTTTTCATACAAAAAAAAAAAACAACAACTAAGAAATAGTTGATTATATTTTATTCATACAAGAACTACAACAAATCCACAATTTTACTAAACGTTTTTCTGTCAGGAATTTTGGTTTTGAAAAGAGTAGAATTTTCAACAACCCAAACTGATCCAGAAGGAGCATACCGAATGAGGTAGGTCACAGCACTGCCTACTTTACCAGGCCTGTAAGAACAAATTAAAATTATTTATTGTTAATTTTTAAAAGGCATAGAACTTTATACTACAACTCCCAGCTCTAGTTGTATAACATGAAATGTCCAACTTTAGATATATAATATATAAATTTAGATAGATAATACTTTAGATAGATAATATATAAATTTGTACTATTAATCAAAATTATTATTGAAATAATTCCTTAAGTAGGTTTGATGTTTTACAATTTAGAATTTAATTTCTATTCCAGTTACTAATTGGTGAATTTTAATTATGCTCAAATATGTTTTTACTTTCACTTACCTATATATGAAATATATAGTAAAGGGGAAAGTATTGTTATCGTGAAAATTTTTTAATCTCAGTTTTCAATGGAAATACTCATTTTGAGGTCCCCTGAGTCCAAATAACCAATTCCCACAAAATGGTCTGTGTGTGTGTTAAGTCTAGCTTCGAAAAGAAAAGTCGTACGAAAGTAAAATTGCATATTTAAGATTTTTATAAGCTAGGGATGTTACTTTTTCCTCAAAATCGACTGACCAGAAGTGGCACTTTATATCATGGGCTAAACACATTTTTACAATTTTCTCGGAAACGGCTCTAACGATTTTGATTAAATTCATCATATCAGTGCAAAATTAAGCAGTTTTAGATGAAATGTAGTTTTTATTCTGATTGATGTTCTGTATCAGAGCTTAAATAGCTAATTTTCAATATTAGCTTCCTCTAAAGTACCTTTAATTTTTTTTTATTTGAAACAATTGATTATTTGACTATAATCTCTAATATAAAATATGAAAGAATTTGATAATTAACCAAAGGAGAAATAAAAAATCAACGGAGAATAGTTGTAATTGATCGCACCCAGGCTCGCCCGAAAGATTATAACAGGCTTCCAAATGTCACATGAGCTTAATATAACATGGACTCCGACAATATCATATAAATATACATATGTAGTTTCCATAGATGCTATCGTTGGTATCATTTAATATTTAATTGTATAGATTACACCGATATAAATATTAAAATTTGTATATATAAGGGTATAAAATTTGTATATATATACTTATACAAATAAAAATACCCACAATGAAATATAAATAATAATTTTTACTTTCACATCTCCTTTGTCTGAAAATACTTATTTCTGCTCATAGGAGGGTGGTAAGTGAAAGTTGTGTGATGCGTGCACCACACCAGAGTTTTAGTAGTGTAACTCCAAAAATTAATATTTCATGTGGTACAAGCGATTAGCTTTTTTCTAGCACTGTGATTCTTTTCCTTTATTTTAATAATTCCGATAAACACCCTGTCGTAGGATATATTGGGAGGATAGAAAATTTTCAATATCCAAAATTGCAAGCTCATATCCCACAACACTTATGGAGCAAGACCCTCATTTGGAACATGAACAGTCTCAATTTATCCTTTTTTCTTTCATGTTTAATTTATAATTTATTAATTTAGAAACTAAAATTTAGATTAATAACAAATCTGGGTTAATATTGATTATATTTACTCATAATTTTGTCATAATAAGTCCTATGTATTCTTGTAAATACTTACTGGAGGTCCATTTTTTCACTGGGCCAACAAAAACCAGACTTTCCAAATATGCCTTGATGGAAAGTTGAGCTACATATAAGCTCTGTTGCACTAACGGATCCAGGATTTAATTTTGGGAGGCTTCTGCCAGAAAGATTTTTTTTTTTGTAGGTGTATATTACGATAATTACTTTGGAAGAAAGAAAGAAACTAAGTACATATATGAAATGGTGTTTATGTGATTTTTTACGTCCTATTAAATGTAGTTACACCAACAATAAGACTTTTAGAGATAATTTTTTTCATAAAGCAATGTTATATTTTACCATTTTGAGGGGGAGGGGCATCAGCCTGAAAGTGTTCCCCCTTCCCCTCCCTCCTGTAGATTCGCCTGTGTTCTGCCAATTGTAAGAAGTAATGAAAAAATGTTGTTTTGATAGATTTAAAATTTCTTTTAATTTGTTGTAGTATGTTTTTTAATATTTATATTAATAATATTTTTCATTATGCAGGTTTGACCTTTGTTCATTTTATTGTGATTCATTTGCCTATTGATCAGAAATAAATTAATCAAGATGAATTAGTCTTTGATTACAAATTTCTTTGAACGTTTCGAGGAAAACTTTGTCCCCTTCTTCAGCAATATGTTATTCACCTCAGGAATTGGGTAAGTCACAAAATTCAATGCAATAAGATTGGTCAATGGTTAGGTTTTTTAATTAAGTACTGTACTATTGACCAATTTTATTGTATTGAATATTGTGACTTAGACAATTTCCAGGGTGGCATAACATATTGCTGAAGAAGGGTACGAAGATTTTCTCGAAATGTTCAAATAAATTTGCAATCAAAGAGTAATCTTGATTAACTTATTTCTGACCAATAGGCAAATGAATCGCAGTAATAAAATTTACAATCTTAACTCTTGTTTCATTAACCACTTGTTTTTAATAGTAAACTAATGAAATAAATAATACGAACGGTTGACGAACTACGCCTTGGTTATACTGCTTCACTTGATCGGGCGCTTTAAGTTCCAAGGGATCGTTGGGATTGTCCTTTCCAGGGCAGAGACATACAACTCTAACTCCGTTACTTAGAAAATGTTCATGAAACTATAAAAAGTTTACAGTTATTTCCAGCCAATTATTATGGTTTGAAAATAATTTAATTATAGGGAAAATAAATAAATGTCAATGAAAATTAAAAAGTCAGAAAAAGTAATTATAATTGTGGGTTGATGGTTGACTGTCGTGAATAATGAAGAGAAGGCTGGTTGGGGTGATGGGTCAGAAATAAAATGTCAAAAATAAATAACAATATTTATTATTTATAACTAAAAATAAATATTATTATTTATTTTTGCCATTTTATTTCTGACCGATCACCCCAACCATCCTTCTCTTCAAAAGTAATTATAGTTTGTTTTAAAGATGTGAATGTTCTTTTTCCAGCATGTATTATTATTTAAAACAAATGAATCACACCCAACGTTTTTGAATTCTGTCCCATCATCATTACATCGTTATTAATACACTTTATCTTTCCTGTTCTAGTGATATAAATTAATGTAAAAATTTTACGGTAAGCATCTTTTCAAAAGAATAATTATTTAACTAATAAAGATGGACATAGTTTTATCATTATTTCTTTTTTTTATTACTACATGCTTCTTTCTTTAGAATAAATCCGATTTTTACACTTCTTTAGAAGGATTTTTTTCGAAGTGTTATAATATTCTAAATAATATATAGCATTTCCAAGTCTAATTTAGAAATTGCCAAAACAATTGGGTTGAAATGAGAAGTAATTCTGCTTAGAAGACTGCTTCCCGTTGGTTAGGTAAGAGCCAACTGGCACTTCATTAAAGACAATATTAACTATTCCTTAATAAGTCCTATTCTACACATTTGATCAGGTCTAATTCATGGCTTCAAGTAAGAAGCACTTCTTATATAAATTCTAGAAGCTTTATTTATTTAATTTCACAAGAAATAATGATTATTATTAAATATAAACAGTATTAGTTACCCCCAAGGCTTTTGAAAGTCCAACAACTCCATGTTTTGTACCAGTCCAAATTGGGGCCATTGATTCTGAATCCAAGCCACCTGTTGAAGCTACATTCACTACAATACCTCCCTTCATACTCTTTCTTTCTTTAGGCATCCACTTCATAGCTGCAAGTGTTCCTCTCATGATGTTCTTCTGAAAACCATTATTACATCCTCAGTCCCTGATTTGAGAACTAAAAACCACAAAAATATGAGCAATTCAAAAAATGTTATCCAATTACCAAATTTCATTTGTCACTTACTAGATTGGCATCAACATCATGCTCCCATTTATAATCGTTGAGTGGCCACGTGTTGTTGACTAGAATATCAATTCCTCCAAATTTGCCATGCATTATCTTGAAAATTTCTTTAAAACAATGTATATGTCATAAAAGTGTATTTAATAATTTTATTTCTTGCCATTCCATTCTAAAAAATATTAACAAAATGAACATTTTTACCTTCAAATTCTTCACTTTTTTGGAAGTCTAGCGGAATATAACAGGCTTTATCTTTGCCGTATACATTTTCCAAAGCTTCAACAGCTTTAATTCCAATTTCGACATTAGGATGGGCAATTAATACTTTCTAAATTGGAAAAAAAAAGTCAGATAGTTATTTCACTTCAGGAAAATCTTTAGGCTGATTAATTTAATGAATTAATTAACCAAACTTGCATAGATATTAATCAAAGAAGGTGATTATGGCCTTATTATTGTACAAAATTTATAATTTTTTTTTAAACTGTTGAGGTATTTAGTTCGTTTTTAATATATATATATACATTTTTCACAAAAATGATGGAACTATGCTAAACTGATTGAATGATAACAGTGTAAATATTAATGATTTTTTTGTCCATAACTAAAGTATGTTTTTCATATGGAAAAATTGAAAAACAGGCAGTGAAAAAATCAAAATGTCCAAAATTAGATTGTTACATAATATTTAAGTATGCAAAAATCATATTAAAGTTTAATTTATGATATTAATACATGGAAAAGTTATTTTATTTTGGGTCGGAATTATAATATTTCCATGTATCAATATCACAATATTTTGTGATTAATACATTAAATAAAAAAAATATTTTAAATTAAGCTATTATATGAGTGACCTCATTTCAAAGACACGCATCTGTCATTTTCAGAATGTGGAGTAAAAGTCAATTTTTATTTTATATGATCTACTCAAGCTGTTTCTCATGACTTTATTTTAAAATTTTGAAGTTGAATCATGAAAGAAAATAATTAGAATTGCTTTAAATTGAAGCTACTATATTATAAAAATCAGCTTTTTCTTAACTTTTTAAGAATGACAGATTTCCTTCTTTGATATGAAATTACTCATATAACATCACAATTTTTCATTATTACAGTCTGATTTCACACACTTTCAGTTTTTCACTGTATGTTTTTCGAGTTTTTGCTGCATGAAAATCTGGTCTTTATCTATAACACTTCCCTGTCTTCTTGAACAATGAACAAATTCTCAGCAGTGATAAATCTTTCATCTGTATTGTGAAGCCATTCAATTTAAAATGTAACCTCCTCCATTTCATTTTTCCTATGAATCGTTACTATGATTGCTTATTTATTATTTACGTACTAGAAAAGGCAACTACAAAATTGTTTTTATCGTAATACAAATTTTGTTGTTTATTGACCTTCATGCCCTTATTCATACCAGAACAAAAAGAATGGAATAATCTTCAAGTTACCCACCTATTCAAGATATATTGTGGAGGTTGAAATTTTTTCTCAGGTTGCCAAAAAAAGAAGAAAAGATCATAAGTCAGCCGTGGTGGGTGCTCAGTCACCCAACAAATTGCTGTAGTATGAACTTTATGAACATATCAATTGTGTATATCACAAAGGACTGTATCTATCTACTAGAAAGTATAGTTAAATTTTTTTAATGGTGTTCTAATTTGGATTTATCTAGTCCTATCATAAATATTGTTACAAGGAAATATAAACTGATTTCACAGTAAAATTAATTTTTTTCAAACACTTTATTAGAAAAAAAAATGTATATCTATAGAGGGTAAAACTAAAAATAAATTACTCAAAATGTTCCTATTTTGCCTTGACACAGGCATTTAATCTCTGCGGCCAGTCATCAGTAGCCGCACGCAGCACTTCTTGAGGAAAGCGCTCAACTGCACGGACCAGAGATTGTTTGTGGCTTTCCAAGTAGGGGCTCTGTGGCATGCCATTCTCTCCAGTTCGAACCAAAGCTGATAATCTAGTGGGTTGAGATTAGTGCTTCCTGAGGGCCAATCCGAGGCAGAGATGAACTCTGGAATGTTCTTTTGCAGCCACTGCTGAGTTTACCTATCCTTGTGAGCTGGAGCGGAATCCTGCTGGAAAACCCAATGACTTACAGCAGAGTTCATTTAGAGGCTTGACAACAGGTTCCAAAATATTGTTCTGATAGTTTTTAGTGGCTATTTTAATTCCTTTTTCACCAAAATGGAGCTTTGCAGTGTTATCAAAGCATACTCTCCACCAAACCATCACTGAGAGAGTGTGATGACCTCTTTCGACTCTTCCAATGACTTCCTCCGCTCTTTAGAGCTGTGTGCGTACACACCATCATTTTGGCAATTAAATTTTTCTTTATTGTAAAAATTATGAAGGCCATTGGTATAACGGCCAAGGGGCACTTTGTATCTATCTACTCTAATTTTTTTTTAGGGAAGTGGTTAGCCTTTGTCCTGTCATTCTTCGAAATGCTCCCATCCTAAGGTCAATTTTTATCATCGGAGACATTGATCTAACAGATATTCCCATTTCCGGATATATGATTTTTTGTTTTCGAATGGGATTTCTTCTGATTCCAACAGCCAATGCATTTGCCGTTCTCACTGTGTGGGGATGGCCCACGTCCTTTCACATACAGATAGGGTCTCATTATATCTATTTATAGTATGGTACACGAACATACGGCTGATACCCAAAGGTTTCATAATGTTGAAAATCTGACTTACATTTTCCAACTTTATGTAAGGCGATTTCAGCTATTCAGTTTTCTTTATCACCCAACTCCATGTTAACTGAGCAAAAAAAAAAAAATACGAACTAATTGGGATTATTATCCTGGCATGTAAAGAAAATAACTTGACAGAGGTAAGGATTATCTTAATAATACTGAAGGATGTAAACAAAGTTCAACTTTTGTGACAGTATTTATGGCAGAACTAGGTATAAACTCACCTAAACTGTAATAGGAATCATCTATTAAAACACTGTTCTGTTTTAGCTTAAAGTATTTTGTGTGACAACGCTTTTTATAAGGAAGGGCGTGAAACAACACATTACTTGCCTGAGATGGTAATTTTTATATAGGATATATTCCAAACAATATCCCATGCCTTCCCCATCCCTATAGTTCAGTCCCCCAATAATTTTCATAATTTGTCACCTCTGGCTGGAGTTAAGTCAGCTTCGACATATGACAAAGCTACTGACATTATAGTTGTAGTTATACAAATAACAACAATGGCCATATGTTGTGATCTCCAGTTACTTTGAGACCATTGAACTCAGCCATATCCCACCAAGAGATACAATCTGTATTAGTTAATGAACAGTGGTTTTTAAGCTAAGATACTCACATGGGCGTTTTGACACAATAGTTCATTTGCAATAGCGAAACCAATACTAGAGCCTCCTCCCGTCACCAAAGCAATTTTGCAAACAATATCCATATATTTAAATTTACTACAAGGTCCACTGAAAAAACATTATACTTTTTATCAACCTAATTTAATTTCATAACCATATACCCAATATTTATATATAATTAAGTAGTTAAAAAAAAAAGGTGGCTATATCTCTCAGTTGTATTGTATACCAGACAACTATGGAGTCTGCAATAAATAGACATATTGAAACTTTTTGGACCAACTTTTACAAGTAATGCCTAAATCTTACATATGCCAGATTACTTACTCAGAGTAGAATGTAGATTAGCTAGCATTAAGGTCAAAATTTTAAAATTAACCATGTACTGGCTTATAAAGATCTATGCCAAGCCCACTTCTGGAATACTAAGAAAATGTTACAATCAGTTTTTAAAACTCAATTCATCTCATATTAATTTGCTACAGTACATTTTAAGTTAAAGCAATATTTCAGGAATTGCGGAAACAGATTTATAGACAGAGTAAAATTGTAACAAGCTTGACGAAAGTACAGAAAATAAACTTTATTCTGGGACGATGTCTCCTAAGAATAACAATAATGAACAGTTACAAAAGAAAAATACATATCTGGCCAAAAGCTAACTTAATAAAGATTTAAACAATATATACAACTTAAATAATAGTATGTAAACAACTAAAAAATAAAATAAAATCTTCTCAACTATAATTGTACTAGAAAAAAACAAAAGCAAAAAGAATTGTATGTATAGAAAGAAAAAGCAAAACCTCCAGAAAAGAAAAAATATCAAAAGTACGTAAATAAAAAGTATTGACTTTTTATGTTAAAACATAAACAGCTAAAACATACAAAATATATACATAGATTAAAGATATATCAATGACAAAAGACGAGCAATGGGATCACAATATTGCATTATCCTGTCATAAGAGATATAAAATAAGAATAAATAATTACAATTAGGAAGTGGCATTACATTAATTTTATGAGAAAATAATTGCAAAAAAAATAAATAAATAAATTATTTATATATGTTATACAATATACAACGGTATTGTAAACTATAAACAAACACGGAGATTAAGATAGGAAAAGATATATATGTATACAAATTGAGGAATGTAAAAAATGAAATACATCTAAAATATACACAATCTTGTAGATGGAAAAAAAAATTGAATAAAAACAACAATCACTTATTTTTTATGCATCATATCACAGTGCTATGCCAAAAGTGATACTGAATCTTTCCAAATCATAAATAATAAACAAAAAATAAAATAATGGTGTGTATAAAGAAAAAAAAATGAATTATCCTTGTTACATAATACTTAATTAACTTGCTTCTAATTTGATTGTGAAGATGGTTTTGAATATGGAAAAGGATTGTTCATGGCAGATTTTAAGTGGGATGGAATTCCAACAGTTGGTGGAGCGGACAATAAAAGAATGTTGAAATGAAGCAGATTTATGGAAAGGGGTGTAAAGCTCAGAAGGACGAGATCTTGTGGAGAGGGAGTGGATAGATGATTTAAATTGGAGGAGATTGTATATGTAGGACGGACAATGATTGTTGATTATTTGGTAAAAGAATGTGCCAAGGAAGTATTGTCTTTTGAAGGAGGGGAGGAGACCCCCTAACTGGGTATATAAGTAGAAAACATGGGAGAGTCTTGGCGTCCCTTCGACAAATTTTACTAAGCTATTCATAATTCTTTTTTGTCTGTCCCTGAGTTCCACCGAGAGGCCACCGTACACCACGCAGCTGTAGTGAAGGTGGAAGAAGATGAGAGAGGATACTAGGAGTTTATTTCTGGGTATAGGTAAGAGATGGTGGAAGCGATGGAACAGTTTAAGGGTACAAATTGACCGTTGAGAGATGTGGGCAATATGGTGATTCCAGGAGAGGGTTTGGTCAATGAAAATGCCTAGGTTTTTAACTGAGGGACTGAAGTTAATGGGATGGTTATTCAGATACAGAATAGGAATGTTGGTATTGGATTTGAGGAGGGGTTTGGAACCAATGACAGTGGCCTCAATTTTATCAGCGTTTAATCTTAATCCATTTATGTATGCCGAGGTGTTAATGCGATTTAGATCTTGGCAAACACATCATACAACTCAAAGGGAGGGAAGGAAAGGTAAATTTGGGACTCATCGGTATAGAGGTGATGGGAACAGAAGAGGATTGATTTATGGAGGTCATTGCTATAGGAATGAAAAAGAAGAGGAGATATGCTAAAGCCCTGGGCCACTTCTGAGGATAGAGTGAGATAGGAAGACAATGGTTGATTAGGGATAGTGACAACTTCTGAACGTTGAGAGAGGAAAGACTGTAACCAAATAATAGTGCTGTTGGAAAAGGATAATGATTCGCTAAAGGGGATGGAATGGTTAATGGTATCGAAGGCTTTGGAAAAGTCAAAGGAGTCCAAGGAAAGTTAGTTTTTTATCATCTATAGCGGACTGATTATCATTAATGATTTTAATTATGTTGGATTGTGTGGAGTAATCTGGTCAAAAACCAGATCGGAAAGGGACGAGTTGATTGGAATATTCAAGGAAATAGGGAGACTAATTTCAAAATAAGTTTAATTATTTAAACAGAAAGATGTAATTCACATACAATCATCTTTATATTCAACCCTTTGCTCATCAACAAAAACTCATTACTATACAGAAATGCATTTGGCAATAAGGCCAAACACTAATCCTTCAAGAATCATTTCCCAGTTGCTAATGAGCTTTAAGTGCAAAATTCATTTTTGTTGGGAAGGTTCAAATTGAATGTTGAACCTTGAAGAGATATATATCCCCGGTAGCCAGCTCAAAGAGTAAGATCTCACATATTTTTTATTTGATTGTCAAACGTTAGCAGCTCCAAGAACACCCTTTATGTAATCATTATTCACCTGTAGGAGGATCGTATTTGAAAAGTACAAAACATCACCTAAATAAATTTTATCTTTTCATTATAAATTCAATAAAAATTAGATCATTTAATTTTGAAAGAATAACTTTTTTATATCTCCATTTATTTGTTATTTTGTCTATTACTTTCTGTTAAGCACAATTACAAACTAATGTATTGTAGTAACAGTTATTTTCTATCTTCTCTTATCAATATTCTTAACTTTATTTCAATCGAGGCGCAAATTGAAAGGAACTCGTGGGCATCTGTGTTCGAGAATTTAAAAGGATCATTGATTCTAGTCAGTAAGAGTAAGTACTTAGTTTGCTTAAATAAAGATTTACAGAAAAAAACTTGAATTCTAACTCTAGGGAGAATAATTTAGTTAACTGTAGAGCTACCCCTGCACTGTCATGAACACATAAAGAAGGGTATATATAAATCTCAGCTAACTAATACAATAATATGGAATGAAAAAATAACAGTCATCACATTAACAATTCAACAAAAACAGTTTAAATCACAAAATAATTTCAATGACTCTAGCTAATGCCAATTACTATGGTAAAAGTATGGCTTATAACTAGGTGTTTAAAAACGAAAAAAAAAAAAAAATCAAAAAAAGAAATATTTTGAAACATGTATGTATTCTTAACATTACGACAAAATCTATATAATCCAACATTGTTATATCCTGACATTTTTTCTCCCAAAAATGTTGGCCTGTTTAAGATAAATGTTAAAATGCATAGGTAGTGCACTTCTTAATAAGAATACATGCACATCTCAAAATTTATGTTTCACTGTTGACTGCGACAGTAAAATATTTAATTTGTTCTGTAAATATTCCAGGTCAAAATTTTAGTATCACCTTAAAAATAACTTGTATTATCCTGATTATTGTTTATTTAAACTCAGTTATATTGTTCAACATTAAATTATGTTTAAATTTTAATAAAATATAAATTTAGTTTAAAATCTATGGCTATGTATCTAATAATATGTAAGTACTTTAAATTATTCAAATTACAGTAATTAAAAATATAAATGGAAGAAAACTTTAATAAATTCTACTAAATAAATAATTTGTTTTTAAACCCACATTAGCAAAAATTATTTGTAAATTGGTACAAAAATGAATTAACTTATATTCTGCACAGTAACAGTCAAGAAACATTTCTTTTTACAACACAATCTGTGCTTACCATTCTAGAAAGCTTTGGCAACTTTTTTTTGCTTCTAAGTGGACCTTGCTTGATTTTTTCATTGGTTGTTTACAGTTATCTGGTACAGCAGCATAAAGTTTGGTAGTTTTGGAAAAATTCCTTGATCCTGTCCTACAGCTAAATAAATTATACAATTACTATCAGATAAAACACACATATAAGTCTGAATAATAAAAAAAATCCACAATACATTTGGGAGGTAGGATGATTGAATCTTTGTAATAATTTCATGTTGTATGTAGTTCTTTCTGATATAATCAACTATTTTATTTTTAAAAATATTTTATTCCAACTTGTTGAGACAATAAATAATTTATGATAAAGCAATCATATGGTTTATAAATTACACTATTAAGTGGCTTCATATCAAAGGCGGACATCTGTCATTTTCAGGAAGTGAAGAAAAGCAAATTTTTGTTACATAGCTTCAATTTAAACCAATTCTGATGATTTTTTTTATAAAACAAAGTTTAAGTTCACTTGTGAAAAATATTATCAGAACTGGTTTATATTGAACTTACATAACAAAAATTTGTATTTCTTTTTTCACTGAAAATGAGATCTATAACCAATGACAAATATGAAGCCATTCAATTACATATAATTAACCCCTACACTCATGAAAAATAGTAGTTTTAGTTTTTAAAGAAGCCTGACGAATTGACAGATACATTAAAATAAAAACAATAGTATTTTTTTTTAAATAGATATTCTTTGTAAAACATTTAATGAAAAATTAAATATTTGGAATATACCAAATTGAATATTTCCATGAAACTAATATTGATAATAATCTATTGATTCATATTCTTATTTTATAATAACTCTTTCAGATGAAATATATACAATTACAGATAAAATCAGTAAGAACTAAAACATCGAGCTTTACCATAAATCCAATTAAAAAGGAGTACAAAAGGTGGGGCAACTATGCCCCTCTTTCAACATAAAAAAAAATTAAAAATTAATTTTTTTCAGGTTACGTTATAGACCATGCAGATCTTTAGCCACACTATGTGGTCTTAAAGATGATCTCTGTTTTTCCTGATGAACTATATCTTGATTTCCTAATTGAAGTAAACGAATTAATATTTTCACTCCTATATCCAGTTGGCATGAGTTGCTTCCAGTAGGCTGATGGGCCTCACATTGCGGGGAGATCTCAGATAGTATGGGTTTTCCATGTGGACAGTCACCCATCCCAATATTTATTACGCCCAAAGTTGCTTAGCTATTTCAAGTGATGCTGATGCTGTTGGGAGTCGTGATGGCCAAGCATGTTAAAGTATAGATTTTAACATTCTCGAGTATGTCGTTGCTGGTTCTAATCTCGCTCGATTTGGTTGTGGCAGACCCATATAAGTTCCGACCATCCCACTCTGGTTAGAATAGGTTTGGTCTTACCTCTAGAACAACCTCTTTCTCCATGCCACAAATGGCAAGGTATGGGTTAATTGAAAAACAAAAAAAAAAGCTATTGCAAGTACTTAAGCTTTTTGGTCAATCTGGCCCCCTTCAGGCTACACTTAAGGATTTCCGAGAATAAATAGTATACACAAATATAAAAGGTACTAAGCTAAGAATTAAAGTTTCATTGCTAAATTGTTAACTGCTCTAATAAAAAAACAATTCATGATGACCCAAGAGGATCTTGGGAAAGAGACTGTAATAAGTATCTGTAGAAAAAGGCCTTTTTAGTCTCGATAATTAAATACTTAATTTATCTAAATTTTCGTCTCTTCAGGTTTTAATTATCATTTTCTCTTAATAGGTTCCATAAAAACATTTAACACAACTGGAAAATAATTTATTTCTATATATATTTTATTAATTTATATTTACAATTCAGGCTGTTCAACCACTTGGGCCATTTTAGCCATTATATAATATTTGAAATTACAAAAAAAATAATTTTATTTCTGCATTTATATATATTTTTTAAATTCAATCCAGTTAATATACATAATTACAAGTTAGCTTCATAAAAAAATAAATTATTAACAATTATTGAACCAATAGTATCACTATCAGTCAAAAAATAATCTCTTGTAATTTACAGGTAATTAATGTTTATAATTTGTCCACCAAGCAATATTAAGGCCATCTTGCTTCTTTTTTAACCTCAACTAGTTAATCTACCTAACCCAAAGGGTCCTTTATTTAATGGAGAACATATTGGACCAGATTGTGTTAAAGATAACTTTTTAAGTTGATCAGGAAGAGTTGTTCCACTGATAAATTTAGTTCCACAAATACTAAGCTCTTTAATTGACAAGTCATCAATATTAATAGTAATCTCTCCTAATCCATCCAATAATAATTTGTCAAGATGTTTACACATGTTCACACCTTTAATAAGACAATCTATTTCAATTTGTGTAGTAGGGCAAAAAGAAAGGTCCAGAGATCTCAGAGAAAGAGGAGTGTAATGCTGTAAATAAAACCCTATTTCACGGATGGTATGGGAACCTGTATTTGACAGTCTCAAATCAATGATAGTCTGTGCCTCTAACCTCCCAAGAATATCTGTGAGGCCTTCTCCAATTTCATTAAAGCTAAGATCCAATACTTCCAAGCATTCCAGGGTAAACTGAATAAAAGATGAAAATGAGCGTGTGGTGATCCCAACTGAAGGCAATGCTAAGTATCGTAGGCGAGGAACTAAACTCATTAATTCAGCTAATGGTCTCAAACAATCTCCAAGAGGGTTATACCCTAATTTTAATTTTTCAAGCATCTGGAATCCATTTTGTTTTTTAACTGCTTTACAAATCACTTCAAGACCTTTTGATGTTATGTTAATATTACTCAAGTCTAGCGATCGAAGCTGTGCCAACTTTGCAACACATTCTGCTAATACTGAAACAAAATTATCAGAAATATTGGTGCCAGTAATAGATAAGAATTGAAGAGGTGGATGGTGAGAGAGAGTATGAAAAATAGGAGTAAGCTGTTTGCGCTCAAGATACATATAATCGAATGCTGCTGATCCAGTGGCCTGACATGCTTCTAGAATATCATTCAACTCATCATCTACAAGTATGTTAGCATTGTCACAAGCTTCTTTGTAAAGTCCAGTCAAAGATAAAACTTTCCAAGATGAAACACGAGCATGGATTTGAGATATTCCCATCAGTATTGCTAAAGGATCTGACCCGACTAAAAGTCCTCCATCATCCATTTCGAGTCTTAACACTGGCTCCGAGCCTTCGAGCCTCCTGTATCGATCAGCAGCTTCTTTGGCAAGCCAAGAAATGGACAGTGATTCAAAGCTACTTTGTGGAATAGGCACTACAATTGTTTTATCTTCAATCCTCACTTTTATACAAGTAAAAGTTGTTTGCTGAGACACTAATGAGGGTTCAGTTGATATATTAATATTACTATTGCTAGGTGTTTTAGAAATCTTTTCTTTTATAACACCAGTTGCCAAAAGGGATGTTTGTTTTTTCTTAAGATTAGTCATTTCTTTTAATCTAGCTCTTTGATTTTGTGATGAAGAATCAGATCTCTGAGAGGATATGATTGATGTATCTTCAATTTCACTATTATCTCGATTCAATTGGTCCATATCACTACTGCTATCATCGATTAAATCTAACTCTTCAACAACTGGTTTCTCCTCATCACTTTCAAAAGAAATAGATCTATTTTTTTTAAATACATTTTCTTTATTTCTTTCATTCAATATTAAATCATCAGTTCGCCGTTTTTTGCTAGGCCTTTGCATGTCTATATCAATTTCTAGCCAATCATCTCCAACCGTTTCTTCTTCAGCTAACAGAGCAGGAAATGATGTTTTGTTAGTTCTTAATGAGACTAGCTTTTCATTACTGCTTCTGCCTCTCAGAGCTTTCATGGTACTCTGATAATCTTCAGTTGTTGATTCTTTTTTTTCGAAACATACTTGTTTAGGCTGACTTATATTCCTTCTATGGGAAGTAGATGGTTCATTATAGGTCCTACATGAATACTGCTTTTGTTCAAGCTTATCATCCACTTTTTGGCCTGCTTTTTCTAGAGTTTGTTTTAGGCTACTATAAACTGAGTCATAATGAGCACCTGTTATAGGATCCAAATCTACTCCTAATTCAGCATATCGACGTTCTCTCCATGATGAGAGACAATCTAAAACTGTTTCTCCCCTATTAGTTCTCATAAGAGGTGAAGCACCATAGCTCAAGAGAAGTTCTATCACATCAAGACTTCCATTTGATGCAGCATCTAGAAGAGGAGTGACACCATCACAATGAGCACCACCACGATCATTGATAGGAGCTTTGTTATCAAGTAAAACTTTAACTACTTCTAAATGACCATGATTACATGCTTCGTGTAGAGGAGTCCAACCACTATAATCTTTTACATCCACTCTATGACCTTGTTCAATCAATCTTTTGACAAGACCAACATTCCCATTAATTGCAGCAACATGAAGTGGTGTTTCACCTTTTTCATTTTTTTTCTCAAGTGTTCCTTTATGCCTGACTCTTGTTCGAGAAAGTTTTGCCTTCTTTGAAACATCATTGGCTGCTTCTTCATCAGATAAATCATCAATACAAATGTTAGCTCCAAACATTATTGTATTGTCTTCTTCCTCATCACTAGAATCCATGAGAACATCTAGCTGTAAATCATTCAATTCTCTTTTTACTTCTTCAGCCTCACTAACTTTATTGGCTGTAGTTAAAGCATAGTGCAAAGATTTTAATACTGTTCGTTTTAGCTTTAGATCACTTGATTCAGATGAAATAGATTTTGCTTTGGAGTATGTTGCTAACATTTCTTCAACATTTTCCTGAAGTTGGTATATTTCAGCAATATTTAATAGCGTTTTGCATGCCTCAGGAGAATTTGTTTCTTCTAATTCAAGTTCTTTTTTGAAATATTGTAAAGCATTAGACAATTGATTATTATCTTTATAAGTCTGAGCTAGTGACACAAATGATTCAATTAGATCTTTTTTCTTATTACCACACTTCTGAACACATTCTAGCATTAAATGATAGTATGTGAGGGCTAGACTATAGTTGTTGAATTCAGATGCTGCATCTCCCAGATTTTCATATAATTTTTTTCTTTCTTCAAAGCTATTATCTGGAGGCAGATCTGTAAGCTTATCCTCAAATTCACACATTGCAGCAACTGTTCTCAGTTTTTTTTCTATTTCAGCCTTCAAACTTTTACTAGAAGGCTTCAACTTGTAAGCTCTAAGTAATGCTTGTCTAGCTCCACGAAGATCTGGTAAATCCAATAATACATCTGTTTTCTGCAAAAGAAGTTCACATACAAGTTGAATTTTATTAGTTAAACGTTCAGCTACATCTACAGCTAGGTCATATGTTCTTAAAGCTTCATTTTTATCACTATGTTTATGGTAAATAGAACCAAGAGCAGTATATGTTCTATATAAATCTTCCCAAAGATCAAGCTTTTTACAAATGGCAACAGCTTTAAGCATATGATGAATTGCATCATCATAATGATTTTGACAGTCGAGTACAAGGCCAATATTTAAAAAAAGTCTTCCAGTCATTTCCATTCTCTGTCTGGTACTAATATTTTCTTCTGTTAGTTCATGACAAATGTCCAAACTCTTCATATAAAATTTTTTAGCTTCACTGAGAGCTGTTGTACGCATTTCTGAGTTACTATTTGGAACACTTTCTGCAAGTAAAAAATATGTTCTTCCAAGAGTGGCAAGAGCTCTTTGTTCTTCTATCTTATCAGATTCTTGACGGGCAATGGATAAATGATTTTTCTGATGGGTGATTGCTTTATTAAACTCTCCTTTCTCACAATACACTTCACCTATCATTCTATCTGCCCTTCCAACATCAAGCTTACAATTACTTTCTAATGAAATTTGTTTCATCTCATGATATTCATTTAATGCATCATCATAACGTTCAGCATTAAAATATATATCAGCTAACTCTTTGCAACAAAAATAAACACTACTTAAATTTCCTTCGGTGCGATGTTTCTCTTTTTTTTTCTTCAATTTGATTTCCATCGTTTGTTGCATTAGAATTATCTGACGCTAATTATTGGAGAAATTTATTGCTAGTAGAAATAGGATTTTGTTCACCTCTATACAAAACACTAAATTACTTTAAAAGTTAACTTCTGAGCTCGAAACACTATATGTAAACATTTTTAAATTAACCATTACAAAAATAAAACTGTACATAAAATCGAAGTTCTAAGTAAATCAGACAACCTATCATAAACTATCACAGACAAACATAAATTAAACAGCGCGCATTTAGGAAGTGTGTAGTTCGTGCTTGATTAGGTCAAGTAAAGAGTATTTTAATAAGATGGAAACTTCATGACGTCATATGAATTCCAACTAATAAATATTTTATTTTGGTTTATTATTTTCATTAATGAACATTTGAAATCATCCATGAAAAAAATAACTCCTCATATAAATTAGAAATATCAAGTTTCTAGACACATAGAATCCAAAAATCGTATAAGAAAAATGCAGGTCTGCCATACATGTATTGGAGGTTTGGTGTCCAAGTCACAGGTTGATAATAAAAACTAGTGTTGACAATAGAAATTTTGATGTTGATAGTTGAAATTTGTGTCAAAATTGTAGGCGATTAGAGATTTTATACACTCATATCTCAATAATTTATGTAGACAGCGCCAAAATATCAAGTGATCCGGAATAATTAAAACAGACCCCTTCATATAAAACCCTTTAAAAATGATCATTGTACTCAAGCCCTTAAAAGAATAAACAAAGATTTAAATTTTCTTATAAGTTCCTGGTCACGATCCCATCACCTCCCAAATCCTAATGCAACTTCCACGAAAAGTCCTACTCCTCACCTATATAAATAATGACGTAGTTAGAACCACCTATTTTCCTGATCCTTGGAAATTTTCCATAGTAAAAATGATTCTAAAACCTTAAAAGCCACCTGCATATCCTATCCATCCTCCTATCGTCCTATCTCCCTTCTGTCTATCATAGGCAAAATACTACGAAAACGAATATTAAAACGCCTTTACCCAATCCTAGACTCATGCTACATTGGAGAGCGGAATGTACTGCACGGCAGCTTTTATCGATGTTTGGCATTCAGGTTTGCTATTCAAACTTCGTCAATTCCTGCCTCCTACATATTTCCTATTAGTCCATTCCTTCCTCACAGATAGAACCTTTAAAGTAAATCATAACCCTGCCTACTCATCTTTCTTTTCTGGTGTTCCTCAAGAAAGCATCTTAGGTTACATCCTTTAGACAGTTTATACAGCTGATATTCCAACCCATCCTTCTGCCGTCCTTACCACCTATGCTGATGACACATGTGTGTTATCTTCCAATAATGAACCAATTGTTTCATCTCAATCACTGCAGTCACACATTTCAGCCATTGAAGAATGGTGTCATAACTGGAGAATCAAAATCAATCCAAACAAATCCCAACAAATTACTTTTACCCTGCGTCGTAAACCTACTGCATCATGTTCTAAAGTATCCTTTAACAATATTCCACTTATCCCTGTAGAACAGATCCTTTACCTAGGATTCCTTCTTGACAAACGTCTTCCTTGGAATCCTCATACTAGATTGAAAAGACAAGAAACTGCTAACAGATTCCGACTACTACATCATTTATTTGACAAACGCTCTAAACTTCCAATATTCTAAAAAAAAAAACATTTATACTTCCATCATCAGGCCCATCAAAATCATCATATTCTTCCCGTATCCAATCCTTATAATCCAAATTCCTCCGTAAAATCTTTAATGTTCCTTATTATGTCCCAAATAAAATTATTTATAAAGACCTCAACATTCCCTTTGTTGAAGACTTGGCCCGACTAAGATAATCCTCTTTTAATTCCAAACTCCTTGGTCACCCTAACCCTCTAGTTCAAAACTTTTCATCCAAAACAATTCCTGACAACTCTCCGAGGCGTCTGAAAAGAAGATGGCCAAGGGACCTTCTAAATTAATTTAATTTTTGAAGTGTTACCAATAGGTAGTTTCTTTACAAGTTTTTATCATGTTTTAGCATATTTACATATTGTATATGTATAAAGTTGTAAATATCAATAAATGGAAAAAAAATTCTTATATAGTACCTCTCCGATAGAAAGTAGGAAAACATGCATGGTTAAAACAAAATTTTATTATAGCATAAATCAAAAAGAATATATTTATGTGAATTATTAGATCATCATTTGAAAAGTAAATATAAAAAAATCATCTTAGCCAGATTAATAGTAACAAAGATATAGTGCACAGGTGAAGAACTTGCGGCCCCCGTGAATAACCTGTGCCACCGGGATACATTAGATGCGGGGGTATACACTAGTTTTTACGCGGTATACATTTATCTATCGCTATAATTGATTAATATTTAATGACTTAAGTTACGAAAATTTGAAAAATAAGTTGAACATATGTATTCACTTATAAATAAAAATAGCAACAGCATAAAAAAGTGATTGGGAACTCCATTATCACTGTCTTATCATAATGCGGTCTCTAACGATAAAAAGTTTCCTCGCTTATGATATGATATTGAACTTTATGTACACATCTTTTAAGTATCTTTTTACCCACGAGGGAGTAGGAAAGTGAAGAGGGGTTTTTCAACGCGAAATATTGGCTGGAAGGAGAACGACTCCCACCGAATATATGATTGGGAAGAAATTACTCTCAGTACCAGAGATCTGTACAGGCTTACCATATTATTGTAGTCTCCAAAACTTGACTAAAGTTCTGTATCCCCCTCCTCTTATGTTTTTTTCCAGATCATACCTTTATATGCCAACACCGGATTGGTTGGACTGACAGTTAGTGTTTAGTTCAGGGGGTCTTTATGTTCGCAATAGCCTGAAATACCGAATCACAGAAATACAATCCCCATCCGATCATCTATACATCGATAGATTTTTCGTGAAAATTTCTGCTTAGCATGTCTTCTCCTTTATATCACCCTACTTTATCTTCAACCTACGAATCAACCCTCTAGAACGAAATACTCAATTTTGTGACACTAATGTAATTTCGGAGAGATATTGATAGAAGATAGTAAAGTATATATTCAGCAAAGGTATCTATGTTAGAGTATTAATATTTCATTGTTTTGTTTTATTATATTGTACAATGGTATGTTCCCCGGTGACCTGATCTATGAGATAAATGGTAAAAATATTTACGAGTTCGCTTCCCGGTGCCATTTAAGGCTTTTAATTCTGGAATTAATCCCCCGCCCTCACCCCTGGCCCGGGGAAACCCCGTATAGCCTAACAGGTGAGGAAGAGAAGGACGAAAAAAAAGTTATCTTGTACATAAAGATACTTTAAATATTTAGAGTATTTTTCATTGTTTCTCCATCAATAATATTCTTTGTAAGATTACGAGCACGAACGATTTTGATGAAATTTGCTTGAAAGTATAGTCCTTTTAAATTTTCTTATACATTCCCACACATTTACATTACACACCACCCATTACAATTACACATTCCCATGAGTGTAGGAAAACTAAATTTTATTGGTGCATAAAGTACATAGTAACTCAAAAAGTATACATTTTAAGGTAAATTGTTCCGTAATCACTTGAAAAGTAATTCTACAACTTCAAAAAATAAAATTAAAATTAAAAGCCATCTTAACCGGATCACTATTAGAAAGGATATAGTACATTGGACTTTAAATATTTTTTAGAATATGTTCATGGAAAACCTCAATTTCTGATTTCTCCTCCTGAAACATCTTGTGAATTACGTAAAATACTCTTATAAAACTGTTGGATTTTATTGTAGAGGGAAGGATGTAAAAGAGGGGTTGGCAAAATAACGCTTGCTACACCTATGACTAAACGGACAACCTCCATCCCATTTCTCAATTGCCTGTTCCGTTCTTGTCCTCTCATGTCCTAATCCAAAGTTTATACAACATCCAAATCCCAGCTTTACTGTCTAAAACAATAACTTTCATTAACCTAGACGTCCTGTTCCTTGAAAAAACTTCACTAGCTTTGAAGTCATGGATCAGAGTGAAATTTATCCTTACCATTATATTGATCGTCGTGCCCTCGATTCTAATGCTCTTCTTGAAAGTTCTGCCTTCCGTCGTAGGCTAGTTTCTTAGATGTGTCAAGAAGTTAAATATTCAATAATGGTGTTAAGCAACCCGCAAACATTTTTGATAACATGACTATCCTCCACACGTGATACTAAATAAAATTGGCCACTCCTTCGTAAACTCTCTTTTTGCAGATTCCGTTCTTTACCAGTATTCCCAGTATCGTCCGATAAATTAAACTTATATTTATATTTGTTTATCTTACCTCTTCTAATATTGCACCGTCCTTCTTTTTCCAGTTTTCCTTGCCCGTATCATTTAACTAAGGAATCTCTACAAGTTTTGGTCCACGGGCGATATTGATGTATCTATTAAATCCCATGGGCCACATTGAGACCTCCATTAAAGTTTCGCGGGCCACGGCTTGTATTAAAAAAAAAATCTTGTTGACACTATTAAATTTTCATTCGAAAAAAGGCTTTCGTTGATTTTTTAAAAATACTTATGATATGCAAGTATCGTTATATTCCTTTAAAAAATAGACCGATTTTGGGAATAAACTTATTTTCCCATAACTTTTTTTTAATATTCAGATTCATTTAAAAAACAAATATTGCACCATCGGGTAACCCAATGTATCTTATCATCAAAATCCTTTTTAAACCATTTTATTCAAATGAAAATGTAATATTTATCGACGTTATTGTATACATAAAGTTAAATTTTTATGGTACAATTTTAAAAACTTTTTTCTTCGAATAATGCATTTTTTCTCTGCATACTGTGAAGAAATATGGAAAATTGTTTCACATAAAAATCTTGGTTCTGCTAGATCGTGACACAGGAGCCCGCGAGCGGTTTGTGAGTTGCCTCTAAAAATACTAGTAAACTACGAGGTCACCATTATCAAGGACTTCTCAAACCACACAATGAAATAGTTTTGTGAATATTTTCAGTGAAACATATTCCTCATCACTTTAACTGTTATAAGGAATATTTTATTTTATTAAATGCTCACATTATTGCTTCTATAGTAGATGGACGATATCGTTTTTTAAAAATACTACCAATTGAAGACTGAAATTGAAATTAAAGTTCATCCCCATTCAAAATATGATATATAATGTCTGTTTGCTAAATTATGTTTTGAAGCAGTAACGCAATTTGGTGATTGTTCATAGATTACATTTTTTATTAAATCAAACATTGCCATCAACGATTATGGTTAAAGTGACAATTTGTAACAGGCAGTAGTTTTAATTTGCTGGAGGGCTTTATTTTTTATTTATTTTATTTTATTTTTATTTTTAGTTATAAAGATAATTAAACTGCACGGAAGTGGTCCATGAAAGCCTGTACAAAAAGACAATAATAAAAAAAACATTTTAGAGATGAGTAAATAGTCGACTGATAAATTATATGGATGAAACAAGAACTTACAGTCAAGATATTTTTATTATTAGGTTAGTCGACGTTTCGACCTAAACACGTGGGTCATCCTCAGAGCTATTGTTTGGAAGTCGAGACAAGAATTTTCTCTCTGTCTCTTTTTTTTTTTTACTTGTCTCGACATCCAAACGAAAACGCTGAGAATGACCCACGTGTTTGGGTCGAAACGTCGGCTAACCTAATAATAAAAAATCTGGTGCGGTGCGCGCATCACACAACTTTCACTTACCACCCTCTCTTCTTAGCAGAAATAAGTATTTTAAGACAAAGAGGAAGAAAAAGTAAAAATTATAGATGATATATTTATTTATATTTCATTGTGAGTATTTTTATTTGTATAAGTACCCTTATATATACAATTTTTAATATATCGCTGCGATCTGTACAATTAAATATTAAATAATACCAATGAGCTATGCACAAATTTTTCTTTTATGGTTGATGTTATAGATTTAATCATTTAAATTGTTTTCATAATTTAGGTATAATGTTAATAAGGTTTGTATTGAGCTATGAGTTATTTACATTGTCATAATGTTTACTGATTTTCGTGTTAATTTATTTAACTAGTTCTATATAACCATACACACATAATAATTTTGAATAAATCAATACTTATTAATATTTTTTTAAAAAACTTAATCAATAAATAAACACATGCTTTGTATAATATAATTATTATTATTGTACATTATACAATAATTGCTTTAAAGTAAACATAAAATTAATAATTTTCTATAAATGAAGAAGGTTTTAATGAATCCTTTGACGGACGAAAAACGCTCAATTTAGGAGATTGAAAAGATTCGTTAACAACTTCTAAGCCGTTAGGCTAAAATACGGAGAATATGAAGAAAGTTTTGAAAATTATGTAATAAAAATAAAAATTCCAAAGTTTTAAAAAGAATTGTTTATATTTAGATTAATGTTATATTTATCATTATAAATATGTAGAACATGTAAGAACTATATTTCCGTTAAATGATTAACTATTTTAGGTCTTTTCAAATTGTATTCATCCATATTGGAACTTTGGTACTAATAAACACATCCGTATAATTAAAATAATACTTTATTAAATTTTATAAACGTTCGCTGTTGATTTCTAGCCATGTCTTCTTTCTTATGTGAACTTCGTTAAAAAAAAAGAAGTTATAACATATTATTTACCTATATTGCTTTTAGTCATTAACTTGATTTTCCATTTAGCGATTCAAATAGAGATCTGGATTATCCTGTTGATTGCGAAGTTATTTCAGATAGAGTAAGAAGGATTTTAAGAATAAGAATTTAAGGAAGGATAATGAATTTATTTATTTATTTAAGGAATAAGAATTTTCTTAAAGAAATTAAGAATTTTTGTTGATCTGCCGCAAAATAAGTTGAACTCAAAATTCTAGCCATAATTTGCTTCAGGCTTCCTTTACCAAAAGTAAGACCATAAGAATTAGGACGGGCATTTCATAAAATTCTTGAGATTCAAAAGAAGTATTTGCTTTTTAAGCAAAGTTAAGAAATCTGTACAGGAAATTCACCATCCAAGAAGGAAAAACAAATTCTAGAAAAACTCCTTCCTATAATTCTTATTTTATTTCAAAGATTAAGGCTAGAAATAGTTTACATGGCATTGACAGGCCTTTTTGAATTATTCAAAAAAGTTAATAAAAATTGGCTTTACGTCAATTTCAATGTTAGAGTATTTTGAACTTTTCTAGGGCATCTTTTTTAACATCAACCATAGATCATGCAATTTTATATCTTTATTGTTATGGTTTCTGACTGATCTTTTTAAAATACTGTAAAATATTAGACAGTCAAAAGTGTTGCGAAGGATAGTTGACGCACCGTTTTATGTCGCAAATGATATACTACATAAAGACATAAAAGTACCAACAATTGCAAACACTGCAAAAGAAAACTACAATAACTTTCATCAAAGACTGACGTACAACATGAATCCACTGACAGAAATTCTTCAACGTACGAGGAATCCCTACAGCTCACCACGACGATTAAGTAAGCGTTGGCCAAGAGACCTGCTGAGCTGATTTATATCCGGGACGGGATTGAAATCTGTCCAAAAAATGTGCTAATAGCAAAGAAATCCGCAGATTGCAAATTTAATCTAATTTTCAATATTTTTTTTCGGTTAGTAAAAATAAAATAAAAGATTACTTTTTTTCTTCTAGTGGTTATATTTCACTATGCAAGTTTTTTTTCTCATATTATAAATTATTAAAATACTACTTGTTAGTAGTTATAATACTTACAGAGTAAGCCTACTACAGAGAAACAAAGTTGTGAGGCTGAATAGAAAGAAAAACATGGCTTTAGTTGATTTTATTACAATGAGTGTTATAGATATAAAAAAAAGTCATTGTTATTGCATAAAAACATTATTGTATCAAATATAAGTTTTGATTTGTATTATCTTCGGCTTCATCACCAATTAGGTTGGCAGCTCAAATATTGGTAGAACCTGACAGTACAAGCTGTGCATCTTTGAACTCGAACTCCTCTGGAGGCTTATTTTGGCCAACCGTCCAGACGGATCCGTTCCTACCTTTCTCGAGGACTTGTACAGCAGCGTCGGCAACGGCATCGATCCTAAAATTAACATAGGAATGTTTTTATCGATTATTAGTTTATTTTCAGAGTTATTGAAGTGAATATTTTAATTTAAGGATTGTTAAAATTACAAAAGCAAACAGTAGAATAAATTGTGCAGCTGTATGCAGAAAATCGTACTGAATACATCATTGGAAGCAAGAGGAGACATTCATTGATTCATCGAAACCTACCAAGTTTTACTTAATGTAATACAAGGCAAAGAAAAGATCATAAAACAACCCATACATGTCATTTTAAAATTAAATATGAAATTATGACCTGTACGTCCATTCACATTATGACCCTGATGATTCTTCTTCTTCGTCGATACCATTAAAACCCAAAAACGGTCCTGGCTTCCTCCAACACCAATCACTATGCGTCGCTGTTCTGGGCCGCTGTCAGTTTCGTAAATTTCAATCGTAAATTTCCTTCAAAACTTTTCTTGCGCCATGGGCGACACAATCTGTCCACTACAGCTTCGGCCTTCCAACTCTGTGACGACTATACAGGAGCTCGATCATAATGCTCTTGGTAGGTAGATCGTCGGGCTTATGATGGCTACTCTAAAATTAGCAGAAAAGGGTAAGTTGTACTATTTAGACTCACATTAACGAGTTATAACAGGACGAGAACACATATTTACGAGAAATTTAACATCGAGAAAGCCCCTTCTGCAGATGCCGAACGGAGAACCAAGACACAGAGCACATCCTTCAGACATGCACTAAGCTGGAAGTCATCAGGACTCACATGTATCCAAACTCCACCGAACTAGAGACTAAGCTCTAGGATGATCTAGAAGACAAGTTCGTAGTTTTAACTATGAACTTGTCCCATAGTTTTAAACCCAGAACTAACTATTTGAGAAAAGATCGAAGAAGAAGAAATAATTTAGTTATTGGAGAACTTGTCCGAACTACTGTGTAGTTTTCTGCATACACAGTTCACTCTTATTCACCTGTAAGGTATGTACTATAATCAATGAAATTTGTAAATTAATTGTAAGCTCCTAATCCCAGACAAATTTTCCAAATTTCACCAGAATCTCACTCATCATCCTAATCCTGTAGCACAGTCTCTATCTACCTCCAGTCATCCCTACAATCCTCCTCGGAGGTTAAAACGGCAGTGGCCCCGCGACCTTTTGTAAAAATGTATATATTGGAGTACTGGCATTGGCCAGATTCTTCACTCATGTCCTGAGCGTCTGTTGCTCTAGTGTCCTCCATCAGCTTCCACTGGCTTACTATACCAGTGATGCGGCTGGGAGAGAAGCACTGGGATTTCCTGGAGTCCTGCTTTGGCTTCCACAATTGGGGGACAAAGCTTGATTCGGAGTCCCCTGGACCAATGTAAATATTGTACATAGGTGTGAATGTGTTTTATTTGTTTTGTTATTATTCGGCTGATCTGTTGTTTTAATTATCTTGTATATTACTTTATCTTTTTATATATATATATTTTTTTCCCTTTCTTATATACATATTGTGTGAATGAATACTATAGCCCTAGTACCAATGCCCTTCAGTGTGGGAGACTATATTAATACTCAATAAAAGTTTATAAAAAAAAAAAAAAAATTGTAAGCTAAATTTAATTTAATTTGAAAACTATTTCTACTCATCCCAAATAGGTGTTTCTGAGTGTTGCGAGATTCATGCATAACGCTGTTCAATTAATTGCTTACTATTATATTATTGTTAACAGTATATGGTAGCATTAAAGGGATCGAAATTACGTTTGATAGTCCCCGGAGGAGACACCGCTCTTGTAGAGCTCCACCATCTCAGGTCCTGGAATGGAAAAGCACTTGTCCAAGTTGTCGAAGAGGGCCGAGCCTCCAGTAGCGTGAGGGCACACTGCGACGAACCTCACTCCATTTAGCTTGTAATGGAATTCCGTCTGGGGTAAAGAGTGTAAAACAAAAATTACTTATAATAATAATTCATACAAGAGATATTTTAGTATAGTTTAAATTCATTAGAATTGTGTATTACCCCAAAGCACCTGGTGAAGAGGAGTACACCGGCTTTAGTCCCGGAGTATATAGGCATGATGGGAGACGCCAACAAGCCGAGGACTGAAGAGGTGTTGAGCACAGCCCCTCCGGCACCGCCGTTCTTCTTGCCCATGTACTCCAGAGCCAGGAGGGAGCCGATTATCGGGCCTTTCTGGAAAAGGAACAGAGAGTATCATCGTTAATCATGAATAACCTTATATTCTTTTCCATGGCCGGAAGTACGATTTTTTTCCAGCAAAGGTCAGCTTAATTTTGCAGTTTTCTTTTTCACCTCGTGCCTTATTTCCCTCCCCCATCAATAAAATGGCAACATCTTGCATCAGAATTTTAGGTAATGTATTTCGAAATAAATATCAAAATAATCAACTCTTGTCAGTGACTGATTCAAGGTCAAAACAATCAAAAAGTAGAATGAAATATTGTTTTACTTGAGCAAAAAGAAAAAATCACGAATTTCGTAGCTCTCTGAATTCTGCTGGGCGGGGTAAGTACGCGCTTTGCCCCTCACTAGGTTCGCCATGTTCTTTGGCAATGTTTTCAAAATTAAATGATCCGTTCTATTTTCAAGAATTTTTTAAAAAAATATGTACGTTAAAGTATTAAAAATAAAAATCACGCAGAATACAATTAATTATAACTATTACTTCAGTTAACGTAAGACGAAATTCGTTTTGTGGAATGAATTTTCAATTTTCCTACTAAACTAAATTATTCTGAGACCGATTTACTTAAAGTATTTGAATATAAGAGATTATTAATCTTTTGTAAGTTTAATGTAACAGTTGACTCTAGATAAAATGGTTGGTAACTAACGGATCCATGATTTCATTTGGGGCGAAGGACTTCAGCACGGAAGGTTTTTTTTCTCATAAAAATAGCGATAATTGCTTTGGAAAAAAAGAAAGAAACTAACTACCTATATGAAATGGTGTTTAAGTTATTCCTAAAATCCCTTTAAATGTAATTAATTACACGAACAATAATACTTTAAGAGATAATTTTTTAATATTTGTTTTCCATAAAATATGGTTATAGTTTACCATTTTGGAAGGGGCTTCAACCCCAAATCTCTCCCCCTGTAGATCCGCCCGTGGTTGGGAAGATGGGAGTTGCAGCAATCCTAAACTGTAAAATGGCCGTTAGTCCCTTCAATCCAGGGGAGTTTAAGTCTAAAATTTGAATTTAGCTCTTAAAGCGGAGTAAAGCTGCAAAAAGTGGTATAATTTTGATTTTTATAAATGCTTTATCCATTGAACCCTCGTTAAAAATATAACTTTTAGACCTCTCGCCTCTTGAACGTTTTCCGCCATTTTGAAAAACTGCTGCCTTTATTTTTTTTTGTCTATAACTCGATTTAATTTTAGGCAAAAATAAAATTAAGCTATTAATGCCTATTAATAATTAATTAATAACTATTAATGTCAGTAGTTTTACTCTAAGAACTATATTTTAAAGTAAAATACATATTTAACCATTCTTGTAGAGGATTAAATTTCGCTGAAGATCCAACAACAATTTAACAATTTTAGTGACTGTGGACTGCACAGGCCGATCTACAAGGGAGAGGGCTTTCGGGCTGAATTCCTCCCTCCAAAGTGGTAAAATATAACCATGTCCTATGAAAACAATATTAAAAAATTTTCTCTAAAAGTATTATTATTCGTGTAATTAAATTTAATAGCACTTCGAGAATCATTTAAACACCATTTCATATAGTTACTTTCTTTCTTTTTCTTCCAAATTAATAATCGCTATATATACATATATATATATATATATATATATATATATATATATATATATATATATATATATATATATATATGTATATATATATATATGTATGTATGTATAAAAGGTTTTGGACTGAAGCCCTCCCCAAAATTAAATCCTGGATCCGCTAGTAATGGACTGGAAACTGAAAACATCACTTTCTGATCAAATTACTATTTTTGAATCTGATATAATCTTTAATCCACTTTAGATGATATATTACATACAATAGTAATAAATGATAAGCACATGTAGTCACCTACAATTTAGATAAGCTTACTACTAGTCTAATAACAAGAACTAAAAAAATATAGTGAATAGGTAACATTATTATCAATGAGGACACATTTGAAATGGATATAGTAGAATTTTATGCATTTCATTATATAATTAAAAAAATAAACAAAGGAATCATAAAACTTTTAAAAACAGATCAGAAAAAATTAGCCTCGATTAGAACATAGGAGAGATTAAGAAAGAGAAGAAAATGGAACAAGCCATACATAATTCAGTATATTATACACATTCACAATTTATATATAATAAAGATAATTCGAACGTACTTATCAAACTTCTATTGAGAACTTTTATAGCTACTTACGAAGTTAATGTTGACTTGCCTCTCCCATCCAGATGGGCTGTCGTCCCAGATTCCAGCGTTGTTGACGAGCAAATTGGGATTTCCTAGGCTCGATTTGGTCTTATCGAAGCATTCTGTAATAAATATAATAAATTTTATATTGAATTCGTAACACTTTATTTTAAATAGCTTACTCTGTTTTTAAGAAAAGGTGACCATGAAAGTATCTTGGGAAGAGGAAGGGGGAGGAGTAGGTTATCGCGCCATCGATCTTTGGGGGGTTGGGCACCCCTGCCGAGCGGGTTAACGTGTTCTTTAAAACACGTGTTGCCTTGATAATCTGATGATAAACGGAAGATTACGAATTCGAATCTCGGTACCGGCGGGGCTTTTAACCTGACATAATTCTCCGGCCCAGGAAAAAATCCGTATAATCTAAAGGCGAGAAAAATAAAAGTTTGAACATGCCTAGATAGAATATTTAGTTGATGAAATGTTAACCATTCAAACCTTCCGCATTCTAAAATAACTTACCCCAGATCAAATTTAATATAGGTACATTATTACCTTATACAAAATAAATTATATATACAATAAAATATAATTTTTATTTTATTCCTTTTAATGCAGAGGTTTCGGCACTACCTAACTTTCTTAGATTAGTTGTCGCTACAGTCGGAAACAGAAAAAAAATAACCAACTGCCTTAGAAACCCGATCGGTTTAGTGGGTAATAAATTACCATAGAGATGGTTCCACTTAAACGAATTTCGTTGCTTTTCCAATAAAATGAAGCCCCCCTCTCTATTTCCAGTCGACGAATCGCTAATGACCTGCAGGCTGTGGGAGAGAGAAAGATCAAGGACACCCTGGAGGAAAACAGAGGCTTCACCGCGTTTCAAGGCAGCTGAAGTTGCGAAATAGTATCTATTTTAATAGTTTCCTTTTTATTTTTATTTCAATAATATTCTACTTGTTGTAAATACCGAAGCTAGAAATGTATAATGATACCTATAAATTATTTAATCTTCTTTTTTTAATATGATTTCGTAATTACGAATAAGCTGTCAATGTTATTAATAAATAAACTGAATAAGGAGAAACCTCTTCATAAGGACCTCTTTGTTTAAGGGACAACTCCTGTTACAAGACAATTTGCAATTTACCGGCGCTGAAGTACACAAAATCGGTGAAGAACTTTCGGAGATTAGCTGTTTTGAACAAACTACCATTTATATTTTTATTTATTATTTCATATTTTTATTTATTGATAACACTAAAAGTCGTCAATAGCTATTAAACAAAAAAAAAAGAAGGAAAGAATATCGATTGAATAATAGAGGAGAAACAGGGGCTGAACCGTTTTTTGTTTGTCTATTTATATAATGAAAATTTAAAGGGTATTGCTTGCTAAAATAAATAGAAAAAAAATGTTAATTTCTTACTAATAAGTATATCTCATTCAAGGATTATTAGAACGTTTTCTACTCTTAATTAATCAAGCAGATGTGATATAGAAAAGAAAAATTAGAACCAAGTTCGTTTAAAATCAATTATAATTCTAATCTAAGCCCAATTACTGTTTATTTCTCAATTAATGTAACTTATTTTTTTAAGGACTTAAATAAATAAAAGTTAAACTTTTACTATAAATAGCACTTTATTACTAAAAGCTCCTAAGAACTTTTATTTCATTAACTAATAAAACAATATCTATTTTGTTTAATTAAATTTATATTTATATCATATTATATAAAATGTTTTTATAAAACCGAACATTTACATTTTTAGTAAATGTACAAGTCCCACAGCGAGTTTCGTGTCAAGAAGCCGCCAAGGTCGGTAGTGTTTCGCTTCCTACCACCTCCAAACTCTCCTCCAGGCAACGAACCTTCCGAAAATAGATTACATCTGTTCAATGTTAATGGGTTTGACCTCAAATTTTATGACCACCTCTCCAGAATTATTTTTAGTATTTTTTCCTTACGGTGTTCTGGCCACAAGGGCAAAATAATCAGACTCTCAAAACTGTCTGGAGAAAAATAGTTCTTTGAAAATTTCCCAAAAGTTTACTAAAAAAAAAAAAAAAAAAAAAAAAAACTAGAGCAAAACACTATATTACAACCTGGATGAAAAAAGAAAATAATCCGCGCGAAATGAGAAAATAATCTATTATATAAAATATCTTCCTATGTAGGTCAAGATTTGGAACTTCTGTATACCTAGTTGATCTGTAGATGAGCCATTGCATGAGCCACAATAATGCAATCAAGTGAGATGTAGTAATATTGAGTGTTGTAAAATAGTTTTAGTTATAAAAATGTAGGTTATCATTTCTTTTACTCATCACAAATATACAGCATCGCTAAAAAGACCCACCTACAAAAACTTCAAACGTTCCAATCCAAATTATTGCGACTCATAACAAAAGCACCTTGGTACGTGACTAACCAAACTCTACATACTGACCTCCACTTTCCAACAGTTGACCAACATATAACGACCCTATATCAACGATTTTACACAAATTTAAATGGACATAATAACAGACTTATAAGAGACATGGCCACAACTGACATACCTCAGAACATGAGCAGGAGACTAAAAAGGCGTTGGATGAGGGATCTCCTTCCATAGACAACCTAAGTAATTGGAACAAGTTAGGGAAGAGGTACTGCTGAGTACTTTTCTTCCCCATGACTGTCATGTCATTATATCATTATCGCCATCACATTTGCTGATTGTCAACTTATTGTTGACAGGCGCAAATATATGTTTTATAGACAAAAAAAAAAAAAAAAAAAAAATCATTTCTTTAATGTTTATGTATATTTCGTTTATCTTGTTCAAAGTTCTTAAGCACTCCAGAAAGGCGTTTTGTCCTGCAGTCTATCAACCTATCCAGACAAGAATGGGTAGATAAAAATTAAATTGATGTTCTGCAATAAAATGTTCAACCCTTATCGAATTCCTGCGGAAATAAATATACTCAATGAGGACGAAAACCAAAACTCAGTATTATTAAAAAATGCATGCATTTTTTTTTTTTTTTGGGTTGGGGGAAGGAATGTGAGTTACTAACATGTTGGTGGTATAAAGTTACAGCACTAGCAACTAGGGATTCTAGAAATAAAAAGTATTTCTAGGCCTACATTAACAAACCTATTTTTTTTTTATATAGTTTTAAAAAAGAACTTATTGTGATTAGTTGTAATTTTTTTCTTTTATTCTCTGCATACGGAGGAGTACAAAAGTTTTTGTCTCAGATCATTCATAGAAACAAAAATGGATTCATTTAAATAAAAGTTTTCGATTTGGTGGTATTATAGACACAGATTCAAATGTTGGCTATGTACTAAAATTAATTTTTGTTTCGCCAAATCAACTTCGCATCGATTGACTACAGGATAGAAGATTCTTCAGGGGTACGCCCAACCTCTATTTAGAAGGAACTTTACACTTTTCAGAGTTAAGAGAAAAATAAAAATTGAACTTGATGATGACAAATCCATCAGTATTTGTTCATGTTTCTGAAGAATTAGTAGCTACTCATCAAGAACTGCACCCAATTTCCTTCTTCGATTGTGGTAGTTCAGAGTTATAATTGCTTAAAAAAGATATAATTTTTATTTTAATTCATTTCATTTCCTTCGGGTTGTAGGTAGAGAGATCCTGATGGCAAAAAACTTTCACGAGTCGAAGGACTAGGTCATCTTCGTGATACAACACTGAGGTCTGAGAGTATAATACGCATTTTTAAAAATTTGTTTGGATGTGAAATAATATTACAGTAAAATAAATATATAGATTAGCATTTTATTTTTTCTATTGGTTGGTTGTGGTATGGTAAATGAATAAAACCTGTTGCTCATCAACGCCGTTAATTAATATTATATATTATTATATCTTCTGGTTGTGAATATTAGGAATTAGATAAATTAAAATGATGTAAAATGCACATCAAGGCTAAAGTTTTTTACGGTTATTAAAGTATAGTTATTTAAAGTTAGCACGTTAAGTAAAATAAAAAAAATAAAAATAAAAAAAGAGGTGGGGAGTGAGAGATTGCGAGATTTCCAGAGATTCCTTCTTCAGAGAGAACATATGATTTTGCTCAAGATTTTTTCATCATTTCCCAAATCAGCCGATGTTTTTGTTGGTATTCCTCTTTTGTTTGATTCTCTGATGTAAAAGGCACAACTATCGAAGATATGGACCACTGTCATTCTCTCTCTACACTTCTGACAAATGGGCGGGATTTCTTTCGTAATTAAGTTAAGGTGCGTATTTTTTAAATTTACGTTGAAGGCTCTCTTTTTCTTTAAATATGGATTTATTATGTAAAAAAGAATATTTTAAGAATTTCGACTAACTTTAATTTTTAAATAAACACAATTGTACGTAAATTTGTGTATGAATGTTTATATATTATTTTCTAGAATTTCTTGTTTGTTGGTATATCTTTGTTGATTTTGTCAATGCTTCATCAATTAATGCCGAATTTTGTTAATGCCGAAAAATAAAAAAATCTGTCAGAAGTCAGGAAAATTAGTTATGAAAAAAAAAATTGGGAAATTAACTAGCAAAGTATTTAAAAGCATACAGTTCATGGTTGATTATAGTTATGATAATTATGAAAGTTTCTAAACTCACAACTAACGAAAAAAAAAATTATATTGCATTTATTTATTTCCATATTGCGATACCATTTGATTGGTGACCAATACACTATGCGAATTTTTCTCACGGGCCATCTAGTACCATTTTAATGTTGCAATAAAAATTCCTGTTTTAGGTTATTGAAATTTAAAAACATTTTTAATTTTAAATGACTTTAAATTAGCTGCAAAACGAAGCAGTAAAACTTCCTTTATAAGGAAAATAATTAATATCCTCAACAAGTAGTTGCCAAAATTAAGAAAAAAAACCTAAACAATAATACGCAAGGAATGATTTGTCGCAAACACTTAAGTTTTAAATAGCAGAAAACAAATTACCACCTCTTACCAAATAGCTGCTATTAGAATAAAAAAGCAAAGAAGCAATAATTACCTTTGAAAGACTTCCTGTCTGTAACATCGCATCTAGCGAAAATGGCGGAATCTTTGCCGTGCTTGGAATTAAGTTCAGATGCGAATTCTTCACCTTTCCTAGCGTCTATATCACAGATAGCAATCTGAAAATAATAAAATACATATAATATATGTATGCAGGCAGATAACTACTTTATAGGAACTATTATTAACGCGATGTATAATTTGGTTTGAAGCATGTAATGGTATGTATTAAATTCAACCTTGAGAGAGTTAGAACACGGAAAGTTGGTTAACTGACATTCCGTCAACAAAATATGTTCAGGCTGTCTACACACATGATGTACATATATATACAATGGCTGACAGTGAAATCGATGCACCCCATAGGGAAATAGAAAAAATACTTCAATGGTTACAGTAAATAAATAAAGCCAGAAACTCCAATAGATTTATTTATGATCTAATTTTAAATATGTACAAGAACAGTAGAATTATAATACTCAACTGTGATCATTTAAAAAAAAACTAATAAAAACTAAAACTGGATAATTTTACCTCAAAATCAAAATGAAACACCCCACTTTTTATTAATTTTAACTTTATTGTTAATTTAGTTCAACATCTTTTAGGCAAGCCATTATTTTCCACCACTTCTTTCATTCTATTTGTAATGGAGTCGACCGATTTTTTTAGTGATTCCGGATTTAGCCTGATACATTCTTCGAGGAGATATTTTTTATTCTTCTCTGCTAGAAATTTCGAGTTTTCTAATTTCTACCTCCGATTTTGCCCATAGGTGTTCTATCATATTAAGATGTGGTGACTTTGGTTGTATTTTTATAACTTTGGGGCAGTCATAAAGTAGTCATTTCTTAACTAATATGGCAGAGTGTTTGGGTTTATTATCCTGATAAAAATAAAATTTGTTTTTTTTTTTTTAGTCCAAACTTTCCTAGTGGGCGGGGTAGCCAAATGGGCTAAAGCGTGTGCACTGCACCGCCGTTGCCTGGTAACCTGACATATGAATTAAAGATATAAAAATAGTCACGAGTTCGCGTCCCGGTGCCGGGGGAGTCTTTTAAATCCCCGCCCACACTCCCTGGCCCGGGAAAATCCCGTATAGCCTTAACGGCGAGGAAGGGAAGGACCAAAAAAAAAAAAAGTCCAAACTTTCCACAAATTCTTCCAAGTTTCTTCTCAAAATGTCTATGTAAACGTGTTTATTCACTATTGCATGTGAATATTTCCACTATTAAGTGAAGATTTCCTACACTATTATTGTTGACTCACTATAAATTATTGTTTTTATTGTAATATAAATGGAACTATTTATTTATTTAACAATTTTTATCAATATCCAGGTGTATCATATCATGTAATGTAATGTTTCTAAAAAAAAATTTTTCTTAAAATTAAATTAAAAAACCATCATAGCTTAAAACTTCAATGACTCTCAACAGATAACAAAAATAACTGACTCACAGGCGCTGATGATTCTAGGGTTTTACGCTTTAAAGCCTAAAAAAACAAACTTCCAAAAAACTACGAACAATAGGTACTGAAAAAAAAGTACAATATAAAACTAAAAGAGGCCATACCTATAACAAAAAACAATGCCATTACTGTAAATCTCAAATCTGACACTATACACCTTGTAACACACTAATCAGATATACGAAACAAAATTAAAACTAATAAATTCAATCAAACCAATAGAAAAACAAAGTCTAAAGGTAAGTTCAAGTACTTCATAAAGGAGGCCAATTGATAGGCAATAAATAACTGACATAATAGAACATTATAAGCAAAATGGCACCATCAAATTTAAAAAGTATGTTATTTATATAATAATAACTAGTAGGCCCGTGCGAAAAATTCGCACAGCATATTGTTATCAAATGCCAGATTACTAATAAAATAAAATAATGCAACGTATGAAAAGATAAAGAAATCAAATGTTACTTTATCGATAAATTAAATCTTCATTTTTGTTTGGAACCTACATGTTTACAAATTTCAGTAAGCTGTATCTTTGCTAAAAATTGTCCGATTTCAATGATTTTTTTTTCCTTTTGTATGGAATTTAGTAATCTTTTATATAATCACGGGCATAACCAAGGGAAAAGTGTGCAATTTTTAAGTTCTTTGCAAATAAAGTGTGTTTTCTTTCATAACTTGTTTGCCTGAATTTTCGGGGTGATTGGACTATTTTGCCCGCCTGAAGGAGAAGGAAGCCTTCGAAATTGGTGGCTCAATCTCGAGATTTGGTGAAACATTGATGGTGATATGGCTTGCCGATCAAAAACACCATCGATAAATAATATAAACTCCTCCTCTCTCAATCATAGAGACATCAAGTCGACGAAATGAGACATGTATTCAATGACAGTACTACAATTAATGTAAAGTTGTTTGGATGCGAACCCTATGCCTTGCGTTATCTCGAAAATAGTACGTTCGTTTTTGGGCTTAAAAACGCAGAATCCGAGTCTTGCTGTACGCATCAAAATCTTGGAGATCCAATTTGTCCCGTATCGATCTACAGACCTACCACCGTTCAGATATTGAAGCCTAGCAAAATGTTTGTATCGACTTTATTTATTTTAGAAAGAAAAAGTGGAGAATACGATTCGCTAATTCCCCGTGAAATTCTGAATCCAACGGTACCCCATTCATGGTATTTGAGCATGACAGGAGCTTATATTCGGTACAAAACCGATTTCGAGCCTTACTGTAATAATATATGTGGGGATTATTTTGCATCTCCTATAAAATTGTATGATTTAAAGTTTACATGAAGACAAATATTAGTATTTTCTGTAGATAAAAAAGAATTAAAATTGACTAAAATATATATAGATGCTTCTACGACATAAAATACTATTAATTGAAGAAAAAAAAAACATTCTAATTTGAAATAAACGGAAATGAATAGGCTATAAAATTATATACTGGAATAAAATAACATTGGTGAATAACAGGATGTGAGTTAAGATCGGTTATAAACAGATATAATTTATGACAATTGACTGGTAACTTTGAAATTCTCACATGCTTACAGACAATTTTCCCTAGTGCAATTATACTGCTTCTATTTCCGTAATGGCGACCTTGCTTTGATACAATGATAGAGGAGGCACTCAACTAGGCCAATGTGAACCGACAATTATCCTAGCTTAATACTCTCCTATTCCTGGGCATAGCATTATCAACATACTATACTTAAAGTCACTGTAGTAACTATGTAATGTGTAAACGTATAACTGTCTGTACCTTCTTTTCTTTTACGACAGCTGAAGATAAAGAGATTACTTTGTGTATGAATAAATACCTAATTAAAGAAGATAAGCGCCTGTAAGAACCATAGGTGTTGTAAAGAAATATTACAAGCTCTCAAAAAATAGTTGTGGTGGACAAATAGAAACTTCTACTCCCACCGTTAAAATTTCTTGGGTGGAGGATTATGAACTATCGCTCTTGGAAGGTTATGGCATCCCTCCAGCTATGAAGTGTCGTGGTATTGTAACTAATAACGAAAGATAATTTTCAAAATTTAAAATTATAAAAAAATTACTTCTGAAGTACTAAAGGATCACTTTGACTTACTGATTACTGATAAGAACTTTTAACTACTGAAAATGTCAGAGTATAAATTCAAATTTTGACAAATTAGTTAGGAAATACTTTAAGATTAAGACCCGAAGAGGGTTGGGATAAGACATGGCTAATTTTGCACAATAGTTTAAAATTATATTTTAATTTACTATTAATTAAAATTAATAATTTTGATTAATAAAAATTGTATTATTATTTGTTGTTTTCCTACCTTTATAACTATCATTAATACTCAACCTGGTAATAAATACTCTGTAATTAGTATAAAAAAATATCTCGAATTTTAGAAGAAAAAAATAGAGTTGTCTGGATGTTTGGATCTCGGTACTAGGGATGGGAATAACTGGTCGGTTTAACCGATACCTAGTTACTTTTTTTTTTTTTTTTAATTTCTTTATTGAGTATTATAACAATCTGTCTGTTGGACAAAGTTACTTTAATTTCAGTTAACCCCTTTTTTCATTTTTCTTAAGGAACATAGTCCCTCGGGAAAAAAAAGCCAAAAAACCGTAATTTTGAACCGGTATAAGGAAACCGGTTAAACTTAAGTGAAAAAACCGAAGTAACCAATAACCGGTTTTATCTATGATTTTCTAATAATAGCTCAAACTAAATATTTATAACCACTTTTTATTTTATGAGAAAGAGAAGTGTAATGATTTTTTTTTTTTTTTTTAAATGATATCTCTTCCATTTATTATATAATTTTATTTTTACTTGTTAATGTTTCGGGTTCTTCGCTCATCTTCATAAACAATATTTTTAAGGTTATATTTTATATGATGAAAATTGCATTATTCATCTCAATGTAATTTTTAATCCAAAACCATATATTTTGACATATTCCAAATTTTTTTCATACTCTAAAATAACAATTTTTAGTCTAAGTTGTTCGTTTTAATGTTACTCTGCATCTGTTATCCGAGTTTGCAATCGAAAAAAATAATATCTTGGGAAATTAAAATATAAAATAAACCATTTTTTTGAACCATGAAATTTCCACCATTATTAGAGTTGAAGCAGAAATTTTTTTGACTATGAAAAGTCTTTCATTTCTCGGCAATAGTCATAAAACTAATTCTTGAAAAATATAAATTCCACTAGTCATTAATAAAAAAAAGTTTACTTATCATGGCTACTTTAAGTTTAGAATATGAAGTTTAGAATTTTTTTTTAGCTAATGATAAAGTAATTTATCTTCCTTAAAATCAATGTGAGTGGATGACTTTAAGAATAGCAAGGATTATGCAGTGAAGGAAGTGTCGATGGGATGATTACATTTAAAATTTCAATTAAATTGACATTTTTATTTTGTTGGCATCTAGTAGAAAATGTGTGCCGTATTTGTGACTGCGAGCCTAAAAAGAAGGTTTGTTGATATCGGATTTTGGTTGAGAGCCAAACCTTTGAAGTTTCCGTGCCTTTTTGAAATCTTTATAGGTATCAGAAAATAAGTTGAAACGGTTTCGAAAACCAGAATCGCGATATTCTTTTTATAAAATTAAAGTCGTGAATTAGGAGATAAGGGAACCAAGCAAGCATTAAAATCGATAGTAAAACACTGATAAGAGATAGTGTGCTCTAATGGTTAGATACTTTTATTTATGTTTTTGATATTTCCATAATTTATAAAAAAGTATACTAAAAGTGTTTAGTATCTTCGAACAATAAATCATAGAATAAGTAATTTTTTTTTGTAAAATTCATAATTATCAATTATGTTTTATATAATGCCAGTAGACAGGGGTGCCCATCGCCCCCCCCCCCCCAAGGTCGATCATATACAATTACACTTGCTGTGGTGTGTTCCATGTTTTATCCCTTAGTCCGAAAATTCATAACCCCGTCGAAATTTGTCTCCCTCAAAAATTAATAAACCCGTCAAAATGGTTGCTGGTGCAAATTTGTCAATATTAAACCGAACAACATGGAAAACATTGTTAGGGACCAAAACCTATGATTTTGTAATAACAAATTGAGTACCCTAACGAATGAAGTTTCTAGATCCAACAATATTTAAAATAAATGAAATTCAAGAGAAAATAAAAGAAAGGTGAGAGACAAGAAATTGTTGTGAACTGACTGGAAACCTAATGTTAAAACTTACTTTTATCCTTGCGCTTTTTTATTATTTTTTTTTTATGTGGAAAGAACATAAAATGGTCGTTGAATTGTCTGATCGTAAAAAGAAAAATTTAGAGGGCTGCTCAACATGGAATTGCGTGTCTTGCATTGCATCTATAATGGTATAATAGCATTGCTTTGACTGAAATCGGAAAGCTGTTTGGCTGGGTAACGAAGAAGTGTGATGAGCACTGAATAAACTTTTAAAAAAGTCCTAGCCGATGGAGCGAAACATATATGGGAAGATATAATTATACCATATGATTTTAAGATTTTAATAGGTCTTACCATTTTATTTGGATTTTGAAAAATTGTGCAAAGATGCCTATAATAGTAATGATAGAACAGTAGAAGGATGAGATAAAATTAAAAATAAACATTAACATCTTCGTCAAAAGTTAGATAACTACTTAAAATTATTTTCATAAGAGGTTCAAGATCTTTAGATTTTGGCAAAATTCTTTTAGGTATGAATATGAGATAAATTCAATCATTGTATGTGTGTGCATTTATATGTACGTATCAATTATTATGTCTCTCTCTCTCTCTCTCTATATATATATATATATATATATATATATATATATATATATATATATATATATATACATATATATAGAGAGAGAGAGAGAAAGACATATTATAATTGATACGTACATATAAATGCATACACATACAATGATTGAATTTATCTCCTATTCATATATATATGTATGTATGTGTTTATGTATATATATATATATATATATATATATATATATATATATAAAAAACCATTACCTTGGCTCCCCTCTTGGCTAACCTCTCAGTGATGGCCCTGCCGATCCCAGCCGCTCCTCCAGTAACCAGTGCGATCTTGCCCTTCATGTTGCCGACTGCTGAGGTTTGGCGTCCTCTTCGAGCTATATAGTCCCCCCCACCACGATCATCCAGTTTATGTTTATATTAAGTCACATATGACCCATAAGTAGATCTATTATTCTAAAATCAATATTCGAAAACTAACTGTTCTATTAAGAAATAAATTCAGAAATGTACCGAAGGTTAATTTAAATATCTTATTATTACACAGAAAATTATATTCCAGAAACATAATGTAACATGATCTGAAAATATAAAGATTATTATTATTATTTCCGACACCAGACTTAGTGGTTGTTAGATTGACCATTAGTACATAGGTAGGTATTTAATGATTTGTAACGATATAGCGATTTTTAAGTTCGATGCCTGAACTTATTCAATAGGATTCCGAAGTTATTTCGAAACAACTTTAGCTAAAAACTATGACAAATTATTGTACAAAAACTTCACACTATCCATTAAAGGTATGTGTAATGATTTTTTGAAGCTAACGGCTCTACCGATTTTTAAGTTACTTAGAGAGATTTCGTGGATGCTTTGAAATAATTTGATTTCGAAATACTGATTATGTTTATTAAATATTCTCAATTTTTTTTTGCTTTATATCATATCGTAAGTTCGTGTCCATGTGTGATGAATATAAATTATCAATATTATCCCAAATAGCCTCCACTTTCGTTTATTGTAGTGGAACACTACACCAAGTGTAAATATTTCCATTTCAGTAACGATCGACCAATGAGTTTAAATATATATGCAGGCACAACATTCCCTTTTCCATGATTCCATAATTTTTTTTTCTTCAAAATATTCAGCATAATATTATTACCTTCTTGTAAAATATTATTCTATTTTATTAATAGAATAAGCAAGAAAAAAAATCATTAGGTATACATTTTTAAATTTAAATTTAATGAAAAATAAACTCCATTAATTGTTAATTTTTTTTTCGGTGTAATCTGCGTTTAGCATACAAGTGCTTTTTATGAGGCATGAATTACTTGTCGGGATCGAGATAGATTTTTAAAAAGTTATCAAAGCATACTTTAGAGAAACAATGACTACACTAAAGATTTAAATTAGCCAATATTGTTCAAAATGGAATTTTAGATTTTAATAAAAACTACTGTCATTCGGCAGGCGCGTTATGTATACCATGCCGCATAACAAGATAGCAGTGATCTAAATTACACTTAAATGAGTTGTTATTGTTATTTTGGATCTCAATTAAATTTAAAAAGAAGGTTTATACGAGTATTACTATATAGCTATTGCTTATTGATTAATGTCAGTATTATATGTATAAATAAACTACGTAACGATACTTAAACGATCAATATTCATGATTTCAATGAATCAATAGATGGACCTTACCTGTCCTTTCGAACCTGTGTTTTCAGAACGCTCCTACACTAACAAGTTATTTGTTCCATTGTAACTAATTACGGATTAAATAAATCTACAAAACCAGGCATTGATTTGTCAATTTCAGATCGTGAATTATTTTCAGGGCCATTCTCTGTTCTGTTTAAAGAGTTTAATGACAAACTCCACTCTGTACAGTAAAACACGAAAATGATCAGAATTTCTCAACCAGGAAGTTGACGAAACAACTAGTATGTGGAACTATTGACTGGATAGTGTTCCAGTCATTCCTTTTCTTCAATCCGAAAGCTACAAGGAAAGAGTACAAAGAAAAATTATGTATTTCTTTTCAAGTTAATCCACTATCAGCCATATTTACACCAATTTAAAAAAAATTTGTTGTCACTTAATGACTACTCATCAAAATGACGACGTTTCGGCTCGTCGAGCCATTTTCAAGTCTAAAATACCCATCATGTACATGTCATATTCACTTATGCGATTGCAAGCGTCTACAATATAATAAAATTCATTATTATTGTCATGTTCACCATGTTTCTGAGTCACCCACATGTCATCCATCTCATTTCTATTCAGTCACTGAATAGAAATGAGATGGATGACATGTGGGTGACTCAGAAACATGGTGAACATGACAATAATAATGAATTTTATTATATTGTAGACGCTTGCAATTCGCATAAGTGAATATGACATGTACATGATGGGTATTTTAGACTTGAAAATGGCTCGACGAGCCGAAACGTCGTCATTTTGATGAGTAGTCATTAAGTGACAACAAATTTTTTTTAAATTGGTGTAAATATGGCTGATAGTGGATTAACTTGAAAATAATAGTATGCACCGAAGAAGAATTGAGTAATATTGTGAATATTATGTATTTCAATAAATTAAAAAATACTACTGTAAAAAGAAATAAATAGATCAATTAAACAAAATTAAAATCCCTTTCATATGTTCCCTAATCATTCATGTATTACATTAAAGGTTAAGATCAATTTTGTTGATTTATTTTAATAAGTAAATATTTAAAGATTGCTGTTATGTAGAATTTCGGAAAAATACAACAATATTCATTTAAATTTAGATAATTTAAAGAAATAAAGATACATTAAAAAAAAAAAGAAAAGTCATTCTTGCAGTATACCTATCGAATTATAAACATTAATTTGTTTCTTAAAATAAAAAACGGGTGAAAATTTTCGATTCCGATGCCAATTTTATTTTCCTATACATTTTTTTCTGCACAAATATCAAGATTCCTTGCCCTCGGGAATAACAATGAATAATAAAATAAAATAATAATAAAAATTGAGCTAATTATAACAATAATAATTATATAACAAACATATTTATTAATAATAAGCTCTACTTAGTATGTCATACTCAATATGACAAATTAATATAATTTTCTCTTATATATATTTAATAGTGAATGAATCAGAGACGGAAATCTGAAAACCAAGTTCGTCTGAAACCGGTTATTTGTTTTTTGTCATTCTTTTTAAAGACCATAAACCGCCAGGTTCTTTGTTCAAGTTCAACCAAAAGGAAATCCAGATGCCAAAACAATTAACTTTCAATGAAAGTAATCCATGAACTTTAAAACTATACAAAATATAAATAATATTTCATTTTAAACTTCAGTCAATGAATAATTTTTGTTACTCCTTATTGTCCGTGGTACAGAACCATTTTTATTTAATTATTACCATCCGCCTGAAACTTCGTAAATAGTTTAATCTAATCGTAACCTACAACTATTTTGTTTACGAAAACTCTTAGAATTGGGTCGTTTTCAATCTGGAGCGGGGCAAACTTTGTCTATTTAATTAGGTACTAAAAATTCATAAATACATATTTGCTTCCTACTTAGATCATAAGATAATTTGATTCCTTTGTGACCTTTAAAATATTGAGCCGTTTGGCGTGACCTACACCTCCAAATTTTCAAAATAACGAGTTTTATAGGAGAAACGGTCCAATATTTTTACACGCCACCTTTTTTTATCGATTTTGTGATCAAGTTATCTTACGATCCAAGTAGAAAGCAAATGGGTATTTATGATTTTTTAGTACCTAATTAAATAGACAAAGCTTGCCCCCCTCCAGATTGAAAATGTCCCAATTCCAAGAGTTTTCGTAAATAAAATAGTTGTAGGTTACGATGAGATGATACTATTTACGAAATTTAGGGCGGATGTTAATAATTCAATTAAAAGGTTTCTGTACAACGGACTATTAAGATTTGGAATGGACCAAGAAACCGTACTAAATCAATGTTAAATAAAGACCTAAATAAATCAACCATAGGTGTTTTTTTTTACGTATAGAGAAACCCTAGAAAACTATTTGTTTACTAGCGAAAATTGTTGTGTCAATATATTCAATTTATTGTTAATATATGAATTAAAAATGTAAACTTCAAAATATACTTTCGTATACAAATATATTTCATAGTAAAAATTAAATAAATTGATACAATCAATTAATAAATTACGAAACGAAAACAAAGCCGTAAATCGTGTAAGATGAATACATTCCTTCTTACCATTCAAGGACTTGCAGAATGTGCAAATCTTACATCTGCGATTGAAAGCATCTTGATTGAGCTTATTATTCCTTAAATATTTAACATATAGTGCTATAAATTAATTATTTGATAATTTTTTTAAATTATTATTATTTATGAAATTTACAACTGTACAAATTAACATACATTCAGTAAATGTGATACAGAGAAATATATGACCTGACAAGGCTTGTGGAGAATCTACCCATTGGTAACACTCTAATTATTTAATTATGATCAGTAGAAGTGGGATAGTTAGTAGAAACCATACGTTGAAGAACGATAAAATAGACCTAAATAACGTAAAGATGTGAAATAACGTAAAGATGCGATCGTAATATTTAAAATTATGATGCAAAATAAAGATGAATTTCAATCAATTTATCACAGAATGTTGAAAATTTCAACACATACATATGTATCTGCTTGTCTTGCTCAGTAGTCAACATGACCTGCCCTTGGTAGAGAAGAAATTACAGTTTACGTAATCCTCTAATCATAGACAACATGGCTGCTATATTTATACCGGAACTTGAAATTCCTACTTCTTTTTTGCATAAAACTTATTAACAGTATTAAGAAACATGATTCATTTAATAAATTCATCCATTTTTTAGGTTTCAGTTTATTTGGAGAAGAAAGTTACGAAAAAAAATGTATTCCGCCATGAGAAAGATATCTCTCATTAAAATAAAATTGAGTAAAAAAATTATTACAAAATCTTAAAAGCTTATTTTCTAATTGTAGTTAAGATTAATCTCGAATAGAAAATATATTAAATCCAACTCTTCGCTTTCTGGAAAACAAAAAAAACTTAATGTTTTACTTTTAATATTTAGAAAACGAATTTTTATTTCTCGAAATTATGTAGTTGTGTGTTGATACGATTTTATTTTGAAAACATTGTCCTGCTAAATTAATAAATGAGATGATTCAAAAAATATGATTTTTCACATATTACTAAAATGTAACAGTGAGCAACTGTTAATACATCATAGAGGTATCAATATACTTTAAATAATAAATAGAAAAACTGATTTCTTCTAAACCAAACCAGGTCTATGTTAAAATTTTTTTCCAACGTATTTTTCAATTAAAAAAAAATATCTTAAAAAGATTGAATGTTTTAAGACTTGAAAGATTTTGTATCCACTACAAGAAGGGTACATGTTATTATTTTAAAAATTTCTTTGAATATTGCATTCAGAGATTTCAGTAGCTAAATAACATAAGATTTTAAAGTCCAAAACAAATGTTGATACTAAGCAGAATATGCTTCCGGATGAGTATATTTTGTTATATACATGTGATACACTCATTTAACAAATTTCTGTTTTTTTTGAGGTATGTTTGCAGTAGAAAGCTTAATTTTGCATTTATTTTTTGTAATAACAATTACAATTACTTTGGATTTCTTTTCCAGTCTGTTAATATTTTACTTGATTCTAAAGCATTTGATGAACTTATTCAAAGTTATCAGAAATAGTAATCAATATCCAGAATCATAATAAATAATTATTTAATGAATATATGAGACATGTGTCATATATTTTATCCCTATATCAAGCAAGACAAATATGAGTATTTATATTTTCCAGGAGTGGAGTAAAAACGTATTTTCTTACAATATTATTTTTTTTCGAAGGTCTCATAATGTTGTTATATTAATTAATATTTACTTATTTTAAAAGTACTCATAGTCTGATTCAGCAGTTAACTTTCGAAATAAAATATTGAGGTAAATATAGAATCAAATATTGAGGGCAGAAGACCCAGACTGAGCAGAACATCGGGGCAGCCAACCTTGACATTGCTAACTCAAGGTCTTTTCTCCGATTCTTTTCTCTTGTTCCTCATTTCCCATCCTTCAACTTCCAACTACTGCAGTTAAAGATATGATATTTCCTTTAAAAATATCTACTTTAATTTAACACTAAGCACGGAGATCTACTATTGGATAGTATCTCAACAAGTTTATTAGTGTGATTATTCTTCATTTGTTCACATTTACTGCTTTTATTTATTTAATACTTTTGTAAATTAAAAAAAATGATATAAGCATACAATTAACTAAATTAGTCTAGGATGCAAAATAGAAGTCATTATCAAAATGAATATAATAATTGTAATCTGAGAAGTACAATCCTAATAATTTTTCAATATAATACAATTTAAAATATCTAAAAGAATCAATGAAATTTCATTAAGGAAAATGAATGCTTCATAAAGTTAACTTTTATAAATCATTGCTTTATTTAACAATATTTAGGCTATAATGATTGTGCATCGAGAAATTTTTATTCTGAGTGAAATGTATAGTAGGTATGCATTAATAGAATACATGAATTAGTTCCAGTAATAACAGACTAGATGGAGAGAAAATTTATAAAAAAACAGATTTATTTAATATGAACAATGAATTAGTATTATAATTTGGTTAATTAAGTTTCTTTGGACTTATTCATAAATACATCTATATATATATAAAAATGAATGTAGTCTGTCAGTCCGTTTGTTTGTCCTTAGTGCATTACTAAACCATTCAACCGATCGCCATGAAACTTTGGGAAGTTGTTCCGTACACTCCTGGGAAAGTTTCTGGCATAGTACTTCTGTCTTACGATAATTTTATATATGTAAAAAAAAATAAAAATGTAAATGTTTTTCTGTTCAAAGCCGCAAAAAATGTGTCGCTATAAACTGCAGTGCCAAAACGGCTTTACCGATTTTAACGAAACTTGGCTAAAGTCTTCCCTTTGAAATCCTTTTAATTTATTTGTATAACATTCCCGAAAACAAGCTGAAAAATGCTACGATGAATTCAATATTTTATTTGACGATAACTAAAAAAGTACACAATTTTTAACTAATATAATACCCATATTTATATGAAAGACTTCTGAATCGCTGACAAAATAAAAAAAAAAAAATCATCGAAATCGGACGGTTCATTGCAGAGTTATTTTGTTTTAAACATTTACTGCTTTCTCTTCAGAAAAGGCAGTTTCCTTTTGCTTCCTCACTACCGAACGTCGGCAAGCATTTTTTTTTTTTTTATTATTGACTAATTGAAAATTTTATAATTACTACAGTAATTGAAATTATCATTTGAAGAAGTTATATGTTTCTCCTTATGTAGGTCAATACTATTGTACGTTTTTTTTATTAATTTTTTAATTTAGTTTTATAAGTTCAACTAAGACTGTTTCTGATGATTATGAATGACGGCCTATTCACTCAGATGATTATGAATGTTTAATTTGAATCATGAGAAAAAAAAAACAAGTAGAATTAGTTTAAATTGAAGCCATTTTACAGACAAATTTGTTTCCCAACTTTTTAAAAATGACAGATGTCCTTATCTACTAATCTACTCATATGTGCTTTCTATTTTCTTTCTGCCAGGCTAAGCCACAGCAGTGCGTGGCCGGGTAAAGCTAGTTAAATATAAAAATACTTTATGCTTGTTAAATTTGGGTTGTATTAAACATTGAATAATAATTAATTTAAATACTTAATAATATAAAAATTAAAATAAAAAGAAAGTATTCTTCATTATATTATCATGAAAATTCTACTACTAGCTAATTCAGATCTCACAACTTTACATGAGGTAAAAAGAAACTGATTTATTTCATTGCTAATGACTTCCTTCTTGCAAGTTATACTATGTTTGAAGGTCAAAAGTCTTTAAAATATATACTTGACATGTACATGGTTATTATTTGATTGGGCATGAAGATACTCTAATTAGCTACCTAACTCATTTTAGTCAAAACCGGAGTTAGGCAGTGTTAGAATTTATAAGACAACATGATAGATAAATTTTAAAAAGAGATAGTACTGATATGAGAAAAACCTTGAATGAAAATTTTTTTGGGCAGAAATTCTTATAATTCTAAATTAAATAATGGTTTGAAAAAAAAAATGATGATATCTAATGGGTTATTTATTAATCCAAAATACAACAGTTACTAAATAGTGAGAATTTAAAAAAAAAAATTATAAAATAAAACATTGACCTTCATTCTGGAACAAACTATTCCCTTAAAATAATACAAGATAAAAGGCTCACATATTCAAATACAGACACTCATGTTAAGATCGTGATGAAATGAAGTAGAATATGGGATTTTAAAAATAAAAAAGTAATCAACATAACCAAAAAAAGTCAATCTCTCAGGGCTTTGAAGAGGTGGACAAGTCTGGGTTTTGAGGAAAGGCAGGTGAAAGAAACTGGGAATAGGAGGGTGGATTTCAGATGAGCAGTTGAACAAGGCAATACAATCTGAACTAAGGAGTAGCTAACTCAGCATACTAGCAAGAATATGCAATACATACTGTATAAAAACATTTTAGTTGGTATATTAAATCTTATACACTAAACACCGGTGTATATTAGGTCATCATGATTGAAGTAAGATAGAAGCTAGTGTGTTTTTAACAAAGGTACCACAAAAATTTTATGTCAGTTGTTTAAATTTTATGTAATTGAAAGAAGATTTAATTGTTAATAAATAAATACTTTTTTTTTTATAAATTAGAATTGATACAGGAACAAGATAAATCAAACTGCATAATAATCACAACGTACACTGCTGTTGTAGATGCAATCTAAAAAAATAAACATACTTATGAACAGTTGATAAAGTACATATAATACATGAGCGACGTTATTTATTGGATATGAATTAAATTTATATGGTAATAAAAAAAAAAATCAATAAATTTTAATTTACATTGAATAATGAATTCAATAATTACTAACCATCTGAAGAAGAGAATAGTTCAGATCAAAATAACCACAACTTGAAAAAGTCATCTTGAAACTAGTCATGACATGAAGCTGGAGCTTATCCTACAAAGTCAACACATATGTAAGTTTATAGAGCACTCTTGTGATTGATAGAAGCCACAAAATTCAAGCTACTAACGTTTCCAAATTTTGCCTCTGAATTATCATCTTCCATTAAAATTATTAATTTATTGTGGAATTCCTCACACTACCAACAAAAAAAAATTTTTTTTTCAATAACGAAATTTGTTTCATACAAATATTAATTAAGGTAAAAATAAGGAATGTTCAAGAAACATATATTAGAATCATGAATGAGTGGATCTGCTCTGAGAGTATCCTGGGAAGTCATCTCAGAGGACTATCCACAATTGAATAGTTCTTAAGACTAAAAGTTTATCAAATGGATAGATACTTAGCATTATTCTCCTCGAAAATCATTCTTTTTTTCTCCTCCCTTGTTGGAGTAATCGTATTAAATATTTATTAAATATAAATATATTTATTAAAATATTATTAAATATTTAAAAAGAAAAATAAAGGTGACAATAATCTTTTATTTTTCCACTTATTTCTTGTTCTTTTCTTTTATTGTTCACTTTTTCATTTTCATTTTTACTTTTTTTGAGGCTCAACTGGGCTAGAACTGGTCATGAATGTATGAAAATGAAGGCCAATCAATTGATTGATTGAGAAAATAGATACTTTAAATCAAGCATAAATAGATTGTTCTTATCAGTTAAGTTATTCATAGCCATATATACAATTTTTTTTCCTGTTAATTGTTTACTATATTAAACTTGAAATTCATTAACACTGATAAAAAAATTACAATCCTTTATGAATAAAAACATATTAACAAACATATAAAAAAGTCAACCACTATTTAAAGTTATAGAATTAATTTAGCTTCACTATCATCGAATTCACTACAAGGTAACATTAGATCATTAATAGGAATATGTGTAATTAAATAAAAATATTAGAGGATTATTTTTAGCTATAAATTACAGTGCAAACATTAAATTAAAATTTAGTAGAGCAACACATATTTATCAAGATGTAAATAATAGATGATCAATCAATATACTCATATAAATGGAGTTTCATTATATTTTATTTTTATTATTGTTTATATTTATAAAGTGAGGGAGGTTTGCTTAATGGCTCTTATAAATTACATACAATAATCTGTTACAAGAAAGCCCTTTTGCCACTAATTGTAGGAACTGCATTTTTAGGGCATGTTTTGTCTGAGATCAAATATCTTGTGAGAACCACATTTAGGAAAAATAATTTTCTGAACTTACTTTGTTAGTGATTGATGATCCTAAATGGCACATAAGAAATACTTGAAAAGAACGGAGTGTAAAATTTATGGAGTAGACAATTATGTCAATCTTAAAATCATAATCAGCAGAAGAAAAATTAATAAATGCCTTAGCAAGCAGGTAAGCCTGTGATATTATGTATGAAAATACTGATATAACGTAACAAAATATCTGAAGAGAATAAATTTCATTAAGCTTCTTATAAGCACTGTAAAGTAAATAATAACTCTTAATCAGCTTCAAGACATCCGTTTCTCTTATTAAAGATGAAAGACTATCAAGTCTAGTAGAAATAATCATAACTGTCTGTCTAAACTGATCTTCGAATGTCAAAGTAAAAATCAGAGGTAGATACTCCCAAAATCTCAACTTATCATCTTCATTTGCAATTGAATCTAATAAAGAAACAAATATTAATATGATTACAAGAAATCTTAATATATAGGATTTTTTAAAATCACAATGCAAAGAAGAAGTAATATCAACTTTTTCCAACAGTTCACCGAATTCTTTTAACAGTTTAACATTTCCGTATGATTTGTAGACGGCTACGATATAAGTACCACAAAGAAGGGCTAAATCAAACCAATGAGCAACTGAAAATGAATCGGAAGCATAAGCCATTAAAAATTCTGCAGGCCAAAAAGCGATGAGCAAAATTGTTAAAAATATAGAGTAATAAATAAGCTTTGTGTTCAGTTGTAAATTATTGTCATAAGGGGCCAAACCAAAAAACTTTCCCATTTGAAAAGCTGAATTTAAATGTTCTCTAACTTCCATGGTTGAGAAAAGAAATGAAACACCCCAATGCCAAGGTTTATACAGAAGAAGTAGGAAATACCAAGTAGAAGGTTTAGGTAGTAAAGCTACAACACTAACAGTTATTGATTACAGAATTATTTGAAAAAGAGGGCTCTTAAATCTGACAACTTAACAATATGGCAAGGATCAATGTACATCAGAAGTTTAGAAAATATTTATGATGGCAATTCTATATGCCGCAGTACATTAAAACCTTATAAAAAAGCAAGTTATACAGTCAATAGATGAAAAGCTTTCATAAAAACAAATTGAAAAACAACTTTCCTTTTTCCTTAAAAAACAAATTTGCTCGTTGAATTTTCAGATACTCTGAAATATTTTAGGTATTAAAATAAGTCAAAGTAAATTAAAATATGAATAATCAACAAAACAAAATCATGAATTATTAAATTTGACATTTACTGTTCAATTATTTTACAATAATGTAAAGTTTTATGGCTACATTTTGATCTACAATAAGAACCTTATATCTGTTATAATCTGCTCATGTGAATAAAATCACCATTCCCTACAAAAAAGAAAGTGTATCATAAAAATAGTGAAGTTTTTTCATCTAGCAGTCAGTTCTTATTTTTATTTTGAAATGAAAGAAAATATCACATTCTGAATCATTATTCATGTTCATACTCTTCTTCATTAAATGCTTATTATTTTTGTTTGGTTGTCTTAATAAGAATTTCAGGTGGGGAGAGGAGAGAGATACAATTTTTGCAGCTTTACTATCATTAAAAAAAAAAAAAATTAAACTGTTTTCACCCTTACAATTTTAATAGTCAACTATACATTCATCTCTACATTGTTTTTATTTTGCATTTAACTTGAATTTGAATTTCATCGAAGGCAATATATTTTAAAATATATATATTTTTAAATCTTATTAAAAACTGATTATTTTTTTTCTATTACTATTAATATGTATACACATAAGTTATGTTATACGAATTAGCTGTATTTGTACTTTCAAATGAAAAAAAAAAATTAATAAAGCTTTAAATTTGTTGTTGTTTATAAACCAATAAATTTTCAATGCCCATTTTCTTACAACTTCTTCAGTTATAAATTTTTCATTCCCAATCTTAACTTTATACCTCGATTATGATGTATTTAGTCTCAAGCATTCGAAAGGAAAAAAACAAATAACACACAAGTAAATCTTTGACTATTGGAGAGAAACTGATTTTTATCAAATATACTAACATATCAATTGTTTTATGCTAATATTTATGCCCTTTTTACAAAAATGGTGTAAATTTATGAAAACCTAATGATTTTCATTTTTCTATTACCAAAATTTAATAATTAAATCACGTTTAATATTTTTATAATACTTATTTATTCTAGAGACCATTGAAACTAAGAATTATTTGGTTTTCACTATATTAAAATGACTGTTTCTAAGAATTGTTACAAGAGGTTCAGTGACAGAAAGGAATATTATATGTTACTAAAAAGTCAAGTCAATGTAGATACAAAATGGTATATTATATAGAATATAAATATAAAAGATTAAGTTATAAAAAGTTTACATTTTAAAGGAACAATAAATTCTTTTCCCTTAAATGAAAGAGATTTTTAAGACACAAAATTCTTATTTTTGTACATATTTTATTAATTTTTTCTATGAAATGTACATATTTTATTAATTTTTTCTATGAAAAAGTACAAGAACTTCATAAACTGTCATATAAGTTCTTAATTTCAAACAAAACTTGGTTCCATTAGTTAAATAAAATAAAATATCAGGTTCATAATTTTTTTAAAGACTAAACAGTAAATTAATTTTAATGTAAATTTGGATACATCAATTGAATTGAAATTTTAAATCCAATTTACATTAAAAATCTAATGTACCTATGAAATTTCATTAATTGATTTATTTTATTAAAATAAAATAATAAAGTATATTAATAAATACAATATGTACCTAAATATAACACTAAAGCAAAATAAAAATATAGAAAAACCTACGTCACATAATTAGTAAATACAAATAGATTTAATCTCTCGTTTATTCGTCTTATAATTTATCTTCAATACTAATTGTAATTATTATCTCCAAAGCCCATATTTCGCTGAAACAATTAAAGCAAACTTGAGATTAGAAATACTTACTATCATATTCATTATTTTAATAAAAAGCTGTCACATTTTGAAAATAGAAATAGAATAATTAACAGATAAAATGTTTATTTAATGTATCATCAAAAGACAATGTCACATTGTCATAAAAGGACATTAACACTTAAATTTCTATAATTTAAAAGTTAACATACCAAGTGTGTAAATATGAAACTGGAATATTTTGATTGAAAGAATAAAAATATAAAAAAACACTGTCAAAAATATATTCAAAATATTGTCCATCACTAGCAAAACATTTTCTTCATATCTCCAGAAATTTATTTATGAATGGCATGCCAGAAAAACTGTTGCTCATATATGATGAACCAGCCATCAAATCATTTTTATAAGTGAAGCGCTGCTGACTAAGTGTGTGCTCCATCAATGAAAATAAATATTAGTCGGACAGAGCCAAGTCTGATGATTAAGATTAAGCTGCATATGCTACTATGTTACAAACTTAACATCTCAATTGTTTCTTTCAATAGTTTTACTATTTGTGATGGTGATAATAAAGCAGAGCATGAAGCGAAATCACTCGATTCCCATAGATCGTTTCTTGTCTGTATTACCCGTTCCACAGGGTTTTTGTAGCTTACAATAGATTAATAATCTTCTATCCATAGCAACTTGGTCTTGCAATTGATCTTGATGATTCGTACGGATTTACCCACAGCAATGTTTGATGCTTAGGATTGTCAAAATATATCCTGTTTTCATCACCTAATACAACTTGATAAAGAAATGACATTTTTTTGTATTTGGCGATCAGCTTATCGGAGGTGGTTTTCTTGCCGTCTTTCATTCAATTTATGTGGAACACATTTTCCAATCTTCTGGATCTTTTCTTTGGCATACAAATGTATGGAGATTGCTTCTCTGTTACATTAAATTGATTCAC